ATGTTTATTCTTTACTCATGGAATCAGACGAGGAAAAGAAACAAGTAAGGGATCGTTGTGAAAAACTTCTTTCACATTACAAGGACGTGAATGATTTGACTGGAAAAATGAGCCCAGATTGTGCAGCATGGTTATCTGTTGCATTGCATCGCTCAACCATTGAAACAAGTGAGGAGAACCAAGAACGATCCGGTTTCCTCTCCTTCCTGTTCGAAAAAGGTCTTTCTGCAAGCGAATGGCTGCAACATTTGAAATCATATTTTAAAGAGAATGTCACTGTTGACTCTGGAGTTTATGCTGAATTTATATCTTCGTATCGAGATGATGAGACAGCCAAGATGGTCATGTTGCATTCCGATGTGAGAACAAATGCCAATGTCATGTCTGCTCTCATGGAGATTGATAGAGAAGAGTCGAGTGATTTAATTCAAAAATTGTTGAGAAGTGTTTTGGCAGAAAGAAACAACCATCCATATGGAAGATGGAGAAACACCATCGATAATGCCTCATGTATGATTTCAGTCACTGACTATTTCAGAGAGTTTGAAAAGGACATTCCTGACATGACTGTGAACACATGGCTTGTAGACACCACCAAGCAAGACGAAACACTTTATTTGGGTCCTCAAACTTGGAAAGGAAGAAGCAAAGATAAAATGACCACATTGTTACCTGTGAAGGCCCTTATTCCAAGACAATACATGGATGAACAAGTCATTGATCCACAACAACATTTGAATTGTAACAAAGAATTGGTCGTTTCCAAAGTTGGAGATGGACGATTGTATTACCGAATTGCCCTCAGTTATACGCCTGAAAATTTAACACTACCAGCTCTCGATCGAGGTTTCTCAATCCATAGAACCTATGAAGGAGTTACTCACAAGGAGCATGTCACATTTGATAAGATTGGAAATTCATGGAAAATCAAATCTGGTGAACTTGTTCGTGTCACTCTCACATTTACCAACACGGCTCGAAGATATAACATTGCCTTAATGGACAAGTTACCAGCAGGCTTGGAACCTGTAAATCCAGAATTGGAATCTCAACATTTAGATTTGAAAGATATCAATCTAACATCGAATGATTCTACTACTGACATGACCAAATATTGGAGTCGATGGTTTGAGCATCAAAATATCAGAACTGAACGAGTGGAAGCATTTGCTAGAATTCTCTACGAAGGTTCTCATACCTATTCCTACATTGCACGTGCCACAAGCATTGGATCTTTTGTGGCACCTCCAAGCCATGTCGAAGAAATGTATTGTCCTGAATGTTTTGGTCGATCTAAGACTGAATTTGTTCAAATCTTCAACGAGTAGTAGTTGGAGCAGAAGATTCCCGTTTATTAACACAATAAAGGAAGTGATGTAAATTTACCAATGACAAAGAATTGGAGGACTTGCATCATTACAAATTTTCAAACTCTCTCAACAATTTGTGTGAAAGAGAAGCAGGTAATTGATCAAGATCAGAATGTTCTTTGAATAATTCATTTCTGTGATTCACTCCAAAATCAATCATGATTTGAATCACTTCTGAAAATAAATCATTTTCAAAATCCAATGAATTGGCAATTTCAAAATAATTATTGCAATCAATTTGAATGGATTTGAATGCAAGAGAAACTAATTCTGACATTTCATTCGCTGAAGCTGTTAAAATGAGAGAAATGGCATGTTCTGGTTCAATCTGCTCCAATTGATCATAACAATATTTGACAATATATTCCAAATTCATTGCATCTTCAGGTGTGGAAGGAATGAGTGTCAAAATTTCATCTTTTTCATCATATTTCAGATCTTCCAATTCATATCCACTGTTGAACATGGCTTCAAAAAGTTTTCCACGAGAACTCAATATGGTTCGATGACCATAAATGAATGAATTGTCGTTCTTATGAGAGAGTTTGATTCGAATATCACTCGTACGTTTGTCATTCCACAATGACTTGATCATTTCGTTTGGTGATATTGTATTTTCAGTTGACTCTTCAAGAACGATGGGAGATATCTTTGTAATTGAACACTTTTCAAGAATTTCAACATTGTAAGGAATGAGTCTTGGGTCTGTCATAATATTCAATCCTTCTCTTAATTTGATTTGAACAAATTCCAAACAATAATTCTTCAACTTAGTCATGATGGAATGAGAGGGTTGTTTTGTCAAGTATTGTTCAATCATCAATAATGTATCAATGACATGATCAGAAGTCATGTGTTTCTCCAATAATATCGAAATAAAATAGTTTTTCAATTCCATGAATTCACCGTGAGCAAGACCCAAAATGTACAAGTATTCAATAATTTCAGAAATCATTATAGGTTCCACAATCGTATCTGGATCATATAAAACAAAATCAATGACATTTTGAATCAATTCAAGTTCACGACAAGACATGTCAGAAAGTAAATTCAAATCTTTCAAAATGGTGGAATGAAAATGAGGATAAAGTTTTTCAAAAAGTGGTTGAAAAACAATGAGTTTGGTGTTGGGAATCATGTCTCTTTCATATTTTGAAATGTGTGAAATGAAAGGAGAGAAATATGAAAGGGGACGTTGATAGGGACTATCTCCATTATATCCTTGAGTTCCATTTCCTGCAATGGTTGTGATCATTCCATTTTTCATAATTTTTCTAATTCTATTATTATAGGTATCTGCAATATAAACTTCATCATTGGATGAAACAAAAACACTGTATGGACGATAGAGTTGTGCATTTGTTGCCAATTGATTGTCTCCATTGTATCCTTCAATTCCAGTTCCTGCAATGGTTGTGATCATTCCATTTTTCATAATTTTTCTAATTCTATGATTATAGTTATCTGCAATATAAACTTCATCATTGGATGAAACAAAAACACTGTATGGACCCCTGACTTGTACCTTTGTTGTCACTTGAATGTATCCATTGTATTCTTCAATTACATTTCCTGCAATGGTTGTGATCTTTCCATTTTTCATAATTTTTCTAATTCTATTATTATAGTTATCTGCAATATAAACTTCATCATTGGATGAAACAAAAACACTGGATGGACGATAGAGTTGTGCATTTGTTGCCAATTGATTGTCTCCATTGTACCCTTCAGTTCCATTTCCTGCAATGGTTGTGATCATTCCATTCTTCATTATTTTTCTAATTCTATGATTAGCGGGATCTGCAATATAAACTTCATCATTGGATGAAACAAAAACACTGCTTGGATAATTGAGTTGTGCATTTGTTGCCAATTGATTGTCTCCATTGTATCCTCGAGTTCCATTTCCTGCAATGGTTGTGATCATTCCATTTTTCATAATTTTTCTAATTCTATGATTAGCGGGATCTGCAATATAAACTTCATCATTGGATGAAACAAAAACACTGCTTGGATAATTGAGTTGTGCATTTGTTGCCAATTGATTGTCTCCATTGTACCCTTCAGTTCCATTTCCTGCAATGGTTGTGATCATTCCATTCTTCATTATTTTTCTAATTCTATGATTAGCGGGATCTGCAATATAAACTTCATCATTGGATGAAACAAAAACACTCTTTGGACGATAGAGTTGTGCATGGATTGCCATCATCATTTGCGATTTAGATGCTTCCGATGATGACGATTGAAGAGAGAGAGCCATTTTTTTGTCGTTACGAAAAACATGCAACCAGAGTCTTTAAAAGAATGAAAAACACTCAAGTCTTGCGAGGTTACAACATTTTTTTTCGACTTTTCTTTTCGGGACTAGTTGCGACAAGTTCTTGTAACCTTGCTTTATCGAACTTTTCAAGACTCACTCTAGCTGAAGTCTTCTAAAGCAAACTGCTTCACAAGATTTTCTCTACAGAAACTTTTAGCGAGTAGGGCTTTGAGAACACGATGGATGTACAAAAAGAATGAATCATGAAGCAAAGACACCTGAAGCTTTCAGGGACGATCTTTCAGGCTTAATCAACAAGTAGTTTCGTTTGATTCATCTACAAATAAGTCCTTCCCCAGTCACATTGCTGAAAAGACAAAGCCTTCAATACAAAAGTTCCAGACCAGAAAACACACAACTGAGTGTCTTTCTTTGTTGTATCGGTGGCGTTTCTTAATTTTAGATCAAGTTCTATCACTCCAATGCAAGGACTTGTCCTAATTGGTAAGGTGGAATTGAAGCTCAACCAAAGTTCGTCAACATTAATTGTTGTTGTTGTCGATGATGTAAAAGAAGCACACAAAGTCCTCAACAACAACACCTCAACCATGGAGCTCTACCTTTCCTCAAGGAACCAACACGTCTGTACAAATTACAATGACACACAGTGGTTTCACTAGCGCCAAAGTTTGTTGGTGTATTGGTTGTTGGACTCTCTCGTCCTTAATAGAGATTCAATACGAACCAATGATGCCATTTCCTAGGACTCATCAGACTCTTCATCAGAAGAAGTATCACTATATTCATCACCCACCCGCTCGTAATCGTGATCCGTTCCATACTTCTGCCCCTCACGGCTCGTTGTTGAGTAGTCCCTTATTTTCAAGTTTCATCGGTTGTTGTTGTTGTTGCTGCCATTTATCAGTCCCTTATTATCATGTTTCATCCAAATATTGTTGTTCTCACGAGTTGCAAATGTTCTGCATGCACTATTTGTATTTTGCCAAAAATCGTTATGCAATTCCGGGCGGATCTGCCTAAAGCTTTACAAGGCATACACCCTCTCGGTTGGAATTGAGGCAAGAGTTGTGCAATAAAGTACATAAACAAAAGCACTCAAATGATGCATCAAGAAACGTTGACGTCTTCCACATTACCACTGTCGGTACTGTCACTGCAACAAGTAGTTGATGGCTTTTAGTGCAAGGTCATAGTGTGGTTCAACGCAACTCCCCTTTTGTGTTAGACCCTCGCCAACTCGCCAACAAACTCGCTGGAGTATTTTGGCTCGGGTTAAACCACTATGTGTCACTCTTAATTTCGTAAAGACGTTGTTGTTGTGTTTTGAAAATCGTTTACAAAAAAAAATGAATCTTGATCGAAGCGCCGTTACGACTACGGATTCATCCTCCTCCTCCTCCTCTGTTCTTCATCACACAACCTTGGAACAAGTCAAAGGAAGAAGTAAGAGAGCATCGTCCAATCCGTTAGCTCTCTCTTTGAAAATTACGGGTATGTATCATGGATGATCAACCGTGTGATGATTTATTGAATTTAAAAAATTGCCGATATGGTTTGCATCATCAATTATTGGATCATCAATGTTGCTAACAAAAATTCGGAATATTTTGGATCGTTCATTACTTTTTGGAAATTTGTAAAACACAATCCAATGCACATTTGATCATCGATTTGATCGAACGTGGACATTCACCAAAATTTTCACGATCATCATGATGTCATTATTAATTTATTTTTTAATGACATGTACAGTTCCGGAACCATCTTTTAAAAAGATTGATGTACAAACGTTTGCAAGCATGATCGGAAAGGAAAGCGTGTTAATTATTGACGTGAGGTATGAAATCAATTGATCTTTGACCTTTTTCAAAATGTGTTTTTTGTATGAATCAACTCATTTCCTAAAATTAGAGATGAAGATTATGAAGGAGGACATGTCAAAGGAAGTCTGCATTTAGATTTCTCAAATTTTGAGCAAGTTCATTTACCAACACTTATAAAGACATGTAAAGAAAAATCCTCAAGTTTGGATACCATTGTATTTTACTGCATGTATAGTGAACAGCGAGGACCTCAATGTGCCACAAGTTTTGCCGAAAAGATTGCAGATGATAAGGAATTACAACATTTGAAATTGTAAGTGTGTGAAAATGATGGTCGTCGAGAATTGTCAAATAATCTTATGGAATCAATGAAAGATTTGTACCCTCTGGAGGATTTAATTCATTCCTGAAAAAGTATCCAGCTCCCAACGAATACATTGATGATTATTCGGCCGAGTTTTTTTATGAAAATGAAGATGGACAATTACTTCACAAAATTGATGCTCAATATCTTGATGTCATTACAGGAGAAAAGCAAAATTTTATTCATCCTCATCACAAGCAGGAATAAATTTGTGTATTTGAAAAACATAAATTTTTTCAATCGAAGACGACTTTTGAACACTACCAGCGCAATGCCAACACCTAAAAAAAATGTCACTCAAAGCTAACATAATCTCGGAACAACCACCACATTCACAACAACACTTCTCTCATCGTTTGATTGATTGGCTTCAATTCCTCACAAGTCAATACAAATGCATGTCTCATTTAAATCTCTTCCGAAATGATCATCACTTCACAACTAATTCTTCTACTCCAATTTCCTCACAAAAAATTTGTGAAATTTATCATTCTCAAGACGAATTCTTTATGAATAATGGATTATTATTTATTGGAATTATGAATCATTATTTTCCGAAACATGTGAAAAATCCTGATTTGGCAAGTGTTAACTTTCAAAAAGAAATTGAAGTGGTATGGACTTTGGCACACACTCAGCTCGAAATGCCATGTCATTATTCTCTAGAAGAATATCATTCAAGTGTCAAAGGAAATGGTTTGAATTTTTCTAAATTAGGAAAACAAATTGAAGAATATTACTTCTTTTTTAATAATGATGAAAAAGATAATGTTTCATCTTTAGGGCAGAATTATACAAACTCACAACGAAAGAATGACTCGAAAAAACAATGTGTCATCTCATCGGCAAGTTCCTTAGTGACTGCACTTGGAAATCAATCCGTGTCGACCACAATTTCTTCGAAACAAAACTCTCCAACCACACAGAAATTCAATCCCAAAATTGAGGACATCATTGTCTTGGAATATAATACGCATCAAGTGGCAGGTAGTACGAATCCAATGAAAATGACTAGTCATGAATTTATTCAAAATTCAACAACAAAGAAACCTCTTCCAACACTTCCTGTCACATCATTTCAAGACAAGACAACGTTGTCATTAAACAAGACAAATCCTCAACTAGAAAAAGCAATCACTCAACTGATCAGTGAAGATCATGAAGAAAAGGAGCAACCAGTTTTCTTTTCAAAAACTGCATTCGTCGATAAGGAAGACTCTGAAGAATATTACCAAAAATTCAAATATTAGTACCTTATAAGAAAAATTTTGTTCACGTTCGAGATCCATGTAAGGTCTTGTCAACAACAACTTGATTGTAAAAACATAAGCCAGAATCCATTTAATTGGTTGTAAAATCTAACTTGTTATGTTTACAAAATTATACAAGTCAATTGTTTATAGCAAGTACAATATTGAGAGTGTAAAGAGCTCACCACAGAGAATAAGATTATTCTGTGATTTGCATGGCATCCTTGGTGCTGCTTTCTTCCTCAACGATCAACTTGGATTTCAATTGCAGAACCTTTTCATTCAAAACAGCAGTAGTACCACGTGGAATGACATATTCACGACGATACTTTCTTCCTGATGGAACATCATAACCACGAATATAATTTGCAACTCCATCCTTATTAATGACACACAAATCAACATTGGAACCGCTTCCCAGATCGTTATAAATACCTGCAGAAATTGCCTTATGAACAATTGCTTTGGCTTCTTCTTCAGTCATATCATCTTTATATTCACTTTCAAAAACAGACATGGCAGCCAATGATCCCGAACCCATAGTAACAAAAGGTAATCTATCAGTTGATCCGTGAGGATAAATTGTGTACAATGCTGGACCATTCACATCCACACCACCCAACACAAGAGCAGCACTGATATGACCTTGATATCTCCACAACATTCTCTTGAACATGGTCATGGCTGTATCCACACGAGATTGCTTTCCAGTAGCATAACGATGAAGTTGTAATTTTGAACTGATCAAAGCTGTTGTATTCTCTGTATCGGCTGCAGTACCAGCACCACAACAATAAATATTAGGAGCAATGTAGTGAATCTTCTCACAATTCTTATCGGCCACAATGGGTCCATTGGTAGCTCGGGTATCAGCTCCCAAAACTACACCATCCTTGAACACGACACCACAAATTGTAGTACCTGTTTTCAGAGTTTTTGGAGGTTGTACATTGAGATTGTTTTGTAAATAAATATTACGTGCAACATTGCCAAAATCAAAGCCTCCGATGACCTGAGAGTTGTTGTGTGTTGCTGAGGACATTTTTTTTTTGATTTTGGCTGAAATATTTTTAGATTTCCTTTCCTGCTTCTTAAAGATTGAAAAATCGATCAGGTGGCTGTTATTTTGGCCCACTTTGGACTTGAATCATTACAAATTTTCAAACTCTCTCAACAATTTGTGTGAAAGGGAAGCAGGTAATTGATCAAGATCAGAATTTTCTTTGAATAATTCATTTCTGTGATTCACTCCAAAATCAATCATGATTTGAATCACTTCTGAAAATAAATCATTTTCAAAATCCAATGAATTGGCAATTTCAAAATAATTATTGCAATCAATTTGAATGGATTTGAATGCAAGAGAAACTAATTCTGACATTTCATTCGCTGAAGCTGTTAAAATGAGAGAAATGGCATGTTCTGGTTCAATCTGCTCCAATTGATCATAACAATATTTGACAATATATTCCAAATTCATTGCATCTTCAGGTGTGGAAGGAATGAGTGTCAAAATTTCATCTTTTTCATCATATTTCAGATCTTCCAATTCATATCCACTGTTGAACATGGCTTCAAAAAGTTTTCCACGAGAACTCAATATGGTTCGATGACCATAAATGAATGAATTGTCGTTCTTATGAGAGAGTTTGATTCGAATGTCACTCGTACGTTTGTCATTCCACAATGACTTGATCATTTCGTTTGGTGATATTGTATTTTCAGTTGACTCTTCAAGAACGATGGGAGATATCTTTGTAATTGAACTTTTTTCAAGAATTTCAACATTGTAAGGAATGAATCTTGGGTCTGTCATAATATTCAATCCTTCTCTTAATTTGATTTGAACAAATTCCAAACAATAATTCTTCAACTTAGTCATGATGGAATGAGAGGGTTGTTTTGTCAAGTGTTGTTCAATCATCAACAATGTATCAATGACATGATCAGATTTCATGTGTTTCTCCAATAATATCGAAATTAAATAGTTTTTCAATTCCATGAATTCACAGTGAGCAAGACCCAAAATGTACAAGTATTCAATAATTTCAGAAATCATTATAGGTTCCACAATCGTATCTGGATCATATAAAACAAAATCAATGACATTTTGAATCAATTCAAGTTCACGACAAGACATGTCAGAAAGTAAATTAAAATCTTTCAAAATGGTGGAATGAAAATGAGGATAAAGTTTTTCAAAAAGTGGTTGAAAAACAATGAGTTTGGTGTTGGGAATCATGTCTCTTTCATGTTTCGAAATGCGTGAAATGAAAGGAGAGAAATGTGAAAGGGATGGTTGATAGGGGCTATCTCCATTGTATCCTTCAATTCCATTTCCTGCAATGGTTGTGATCATTCCATTTCTCATAATTTTTCTAATCCTATGATTAGCGGGTAATATTTTTCTAATTCTATCATTACAGCTATCTGCAATATAAACTTCATTATTAGATGAAACAAAAACACTGTGTGGACGATAGAGTTGAGCATTTGTTGCCAATTGATTGTCTCCATTATATCCTCGAGTTCCATTTCCTGCAATGGTTGTGATCATTCCATTTTTCATAATTTTTCTAATTCTATGATTCGAGGTATCTGCAATATAAACTTCATCATTGGATGAAACAAAAACACCATACGGAAAATTAAGTTGTGCATGGATTGCCATCATTTGCGATTTAGATGCTTCCGATGATGATGATTGAAGAGAGAGAGCCATTTTTTTGTCGTTACGAAAAACATGCAACCAGAGTCTTTAAAAGAATGAAAAACACTCAAGTCTTGCGAGGTTACAACATTTTTTTTCGACTTTTCTTTTCGAGACTAGTTGCGACAAGTTCTTGTAACCTTGCTTTATCGAACTTTTCAAGACTCATTGTCACACTTTTTTCGCAATTCATATCGTTTTTTTCCATTCTTCGGTGGTCATGAAATTTGAACGACAAACGTCTTATTGTTTTTCATACTATTCATGAATTGAAACAGCTGTTTGGTTTCATTTGGTAATAACATGTTTTTTCTTTCGGTTCTGACTATAATCCATGTATTCCATTCAAAAAAGTAGTATTCAACTCTGAACTCAAAACAACCAGCTTGATGAGTTTGAGGTTGTTTTTATTCTTTCAAGTACCTCAATTTACTGTTACTTCACCATGAAATCAGACAGAATTTCAAAATGAACATTGCAACTATTTTTAATGAACTCATACATTTGCTTCGCGTTGAACAAGCCTTTTCTTCACAACGCAATGCTAAAAATACAATGAACACAGCATATCCCCAAAATACTGGAAATTTATTACTTTCGACGATTTCATAGTTTAAAACTATGATTCCATTTTTTTATAGATGCAATGTTCATTTTGAAACCTTGTATGATTTCATCGTGAAATGTCTACAGTAGTTGCAAAGGAATAGAAAGCTAAAAATAATATTTAAATCCATAATTCTTTTACATCAAAAAAAAAAAATTAATTGTATTGGTGTTGTGCACACTTTTTCATCATCGTTCTCGGAACAAGCAAGACCAATCCTCTTGAATTAAATAATTACCAAACCTCGTCATTCCTAATAGCTTGATATCAATTGCTCGGATCACTGTAATAAGAAGTTATCAAAATGCCATTACCAACCTTTGACCCTGAAGATCCATCATCCAATGAAGTCGATCAAGAACGAAAAAAGAAGCACATGGATGTAGATTATTCCGAGCAAACTGATCAGACCCTTTCCGCAGCTAATCAAACCATTGAAAAGGGTGGTATTTCTGCACTCAAGCAAGCTTTGGAACCAGTCTTGGCTCTCGAAAAAACCGTTCGTCTTTCTGAAGATTATGAAAATTTGAGCAAAGTTCTAGTGAATATTGTGGCCTTGTGTGCCAAAGTTCAAGCTTGGGATGAATTGAATGATCAATTGACACTTCTTGCAAAGAAACGATCACAATCGAGAGGAGCCACCCAAAAAATGATTCAAGAAGCCATGAAATATATTGACTTGACACCTAGCAAGGAAAGAAAGATTGAACTCATCAATACAATTCGTAAAATCACTGAAGGTAAAATCTTTGTAGAGTTGGAGGGAGCTCGAGTCACTCGAATGCTTGCCAAAATCAGAGAGGAAGAAGGAAACATTTCCGAAGCAGCCTCACTTCTCCAAGATGTACAAGTAGAAACCATCAATAGCATGGCAATCAGAGAAAAGATTGACTTTATTCTTGAATCGATTCGATTGTGTCTCGAAAAGCAAGATTATGTGAGAGCAGTCATTGTCTCCAAGAAAATTACTAAAAAGAGTATTTCTGAAGTGGATCATCAAGATTTAAAGATCCGTTATTATGAACTCATGATTCGATTCTACTCTCAAAAGAAACAATATTTGGACATTTTCCGTTCCTATCAACAAATTTTCACAACACCTAGCATTCAATCCAATGATGACGAATGGATGAATATCTTGCAACACATGGTCTTGTACATTGTATTGGCTGAGTATGGAAATGAGCAACATGATCTCATGCATCGAACCTTTGAGGAGAAGAAATTGGAAGAACCAAAATTACAACCTTTCAGAATGCTCTTGAAACAATTTGTGAGCCGTGGCGTCATTAATTGGCCTCAATTCGAAGCCCAATTCGGGGCCATCATTAAGAATCACCCAATCTTCGCCAAATCACCTGAAACCTATGCCGACCTTCGCAGTAGAGTCGTGGAGAAGAATATTCGTACAATTGCACAATTCTATTCGAGAATTGAGACCAAACGCATTTCTGAACTCTTGTACCTTAATGAAGACGAAGTTGAAGGATTCATCTCTAGAATGGTCACCAACAAGACCATTAATGCCAAGATGGATCGTTTGCAAGGTGTTATTGTTTTCAAGCAAGTACAAAATGGAGAAGACAATGACGTATTGAACTCGTGGGCCCACGATATTGTCAAATTGTTGCAATTGGTCGAAAAGTCCAACCACTTGATTAATAAGGAATATATGATTCAAAATGCAAGACAATAGATTGCATAATAAAAGGACATAGTGCCACATTTAATTTATCCGTAACCTCCAGTTCAACAACAGTTAGTGTTTTGAAAGATATTCAACCATGATCAATGTCACACCGTCCAAAGTCAACCTTAAAAAAAAATGGTGCAGATTCTTCCACTTTCTTCTTTTCATGCACAAGATTCACACAGCGACGCGAAACACCAACAACCAATCCATAAAATTAAAAATCAAAATATTCAATGGTTTCTGTCACTGACTCAATTCCGAGATGGAAAAGAACTCATGAAAACAACCGACTATGAATATGAAGTGTTTCCGCGTAATGATGATCATCAGCAATCATTATCGAAATTTCATAAAATTCCCATTAAGCAAATTCCATGTAATGTTCATTCCATTCTCTATGAACACCAATTAGTGAATAATCCCTATGTTCGATTTGAAGAATTAAAACAATTATGGGTCGGATATTCGGATTGGAAAATGGAATGTGTTATAGATGATTTGGAACAATGGTTCGAGATTGGATCATCGGATCGGGTCATCCATAACGTTCAAGAGAATAATATATCATACGCGTCTTGGTTATTGGTCTTGGAAGGACTAGATTGTGTTGCCGACATTAAAGTGAATGGAACATTGGTACGATCCTGTGATAACATGTTTCAATATCATATTTTGGATATTTCTGAATGGTTGCAACAAGATCACCCTGGAAAACTCTCTCTGCACATTGAGATTGATTTTAAATCAGCCATAGTGGAATCCAGAAAGCGACTTGAAAAACATCTCAAAGAACAAGCCTATGAGATCCCATGTCCTTCCTATACCAGAGACTTTGATACGAGAGGAAGAAATTTTCTAAGAAAAGAAGGTACGTCTAGTGTGTGTGTGTTGATCTCGTGTCATGGTGGCATCATATTCATTGAATGTTAACTTGTTGTTATTTAGGATGTGCATTGGGATGGGATTGGGGACCTGCGTTTGCATCTATTGGAATCCATAAGCCTTGTTATTTGGTGAGATTTAATCGTAGTCACAGTGCTTTGAACCATCAGTGGTCACCTCTGACACAAACCATCAATGCTAACACGATAATTTTCTTGAAAGATATTGCTCTGTATCAACATGATTTTTCTGACATGGGAACGACAGGAAATCACGAAACCTGTGAACATGTTTCACTCACTGCCAAATTATATTTCTATTGCAAAAATTTTGATGGCTGTGAAAGAATCAAGCAAGCTATTGGACAAGTGGAAGTGTCCATCGTTGATGACTCTTCACATCAAAAAGTTCATGTCCATTCTCTATGGTGTGACCATTTAGAAAAAGACACGGAATTGGAAGACATGTATATCGCCACATTGAGTATTGGATCCATTCGAAATTTGAAATTATGGTATCCCAATGGCTATGGCAATCAACCACTATATCATTTCAAAGTGGCCATCCATAATGAACCCTTTAACCAAGAAAAGCAGATTTTATTTGGAGTAAGAAAAATTGAACTCGATACCTCAAAAGACGAATATGGTCACAAATTCCAATTCAAAGTGAATCATCGTGCGATTTACTGCAAAGGCAGTAATTGGATTCCTTCCGATTGTTTTCCAAGTCGATGCTTTCACGGTAAAGACCATATTCACAATTTAATCAAGAGTGCTCATGATTGTCATATGAACATGCTACGCGTATGGGGAGGTGGATGTTACGAATACGACTTTTTCTATGAATTTTGTGATCGATATGGTATTTTGCTGTGGCATGATTTCATGTTTGCTTGTTCATTATATCCATCAGATGAATTGTTTTTGAAATCTTGCCGCATAGAAGTGGTTCAGCAACTTCGACACTTACAACATCATCCATGTATCGCTCTCTTTGCTGGAAATAATGAAAATGAGGAAGCGCTTTTGAGTTGGCCTGAATGTGTCAATTCTGAAAGCAAACAACGACTTGTTGTCGATTACCACAAGCTTTACTATGATACCATTTATCATGTTGTTTCACACGAGTTTTCTTCTTCCAAATTTAATACTCCACCTTTTTGGCCAAGCTCTCCATCGAATGGAATTATGAAGTATGGAAATCCTCAAGATTTAACTCAAGGAGATGCACATTATTGGGCTGTTTGGCATGGTGGTAAGCCATTTTCAAATTATTTAACAGTCATACCTAGATTTAGCTCAGAATTTGGTTTTCAATCGTTACCAAGTCTTGAAACATTGGCTCAATTTATTATTGAACAAGAGGGTGATGAACAAGATTTGAATATTACTTCACCAGGTACGTATTTTTGGTACATGTAAAAACATGTTGGTCATATTAGATGCTTTTCATATTCTCACGACAATGTTTAACAGTGATGGAGTCAAGACAACGAAGCTATGTTGGAAACAAGTGCATTCTTGAACACATTTCTAGAGAATTCCGATTTCCAAAAACATTCCAAGATTTAGTCTATTTATCTCAAGTCAATCAAGCACTTGCTATCAAAACTGCATGTGAACATTGGAGAAGACAATTAAAAATCTGCTCTGGAGCACTCTATTGGCAGCTTAATGATATTTGGTATGTGTAGTAGTTTTCAGTATTTCTTGGAATATCCTATTCATTTCATATATTTCACGGATATTCATGCATGTACTCTCAAACATTATTATTGCCAGGCCTGGTAATTCATGGTCCTCTCTAGAATGGAATGGAACGTGGAAATTGTTGCAGTATTTCAGTAAGGACTTTTTTGCTCCCTATTTATTCTCCATTGCATGTTCGGCGATCACAATTACCATGGACCATCATGACAATGAGCACGCTGCTACTGAACAATTAGATTTTTGGTTCACTTCAGATTCTACATTTCAACACGATTCGATTGAATTGAAACTTTTGAAAATTCAAATGCTTTCGTATGAGAATGGACAAGAGTTGTGGAGTAGAGAAATTTCTGAATTTCCATCGTGTTGCGAAAAGGCATTCAATTCCACAAACAATGACATGGCAAGTGAGATTCTTTATTCATTGCCACTGAGTCGTGAAATTTTGCAACAAAAGACTTTGGGATTTTTAAAATGCTCTCTCGATATTGAAATAATTAGACCAACCAACAATAATTCACATCAACACGAAAGAATTCAACACACTCTCCAAGCAGTTCATTTCCTATGTGAATTGAAAAAGGTATACAAAATGACAAAACCATCTCTGAAACTTCAAATAGAACAAGAAACCCAAAGCCATGTGAAATTAGCCATCACGTGTTTTAAAGCTCCATCGTTTTTCACTCGCTTATTTATCAAGACAGGAGAGCAGTATCGAGACACTTTGGATAAATCCTCACTTCGATTTGAAATGGATCACTTTGAAGAGAATGGCTTTTTATTGCTTCCCAATGAAACTAAATACATGTGGATGAAAAAGAGAGCAAGTTTGTGTGGAAAAACAAATGTATTTGCGTTGGAATGGATTGGAGTTGAAAATTTAAGTGAGAAGTAACACATTCCCTCCACAGTGTGTGTTCTCATTCAACGACGCTAGGTAAAGTCTGCCCCGGCTAAAAACTTGCGTTATCGTTGTATGAAGCGTTTTAGCCCTTTCCCAATGACACAGCCACAAAATAAAAGGACGCCAATTCAAACTCCTTGTTCAGTTTGGCTTGCGTGATATTCCAGTATTTTGGGGATATGCTGTGTTCATTGTATTTTTAGCATTGCGTTGTGAAGAAAAGGCTTGTTCAACGCGAAGCAAATGTATGAGTTCATTAAAAATAGTTGCAATGTTCATTTTGAAATTCTGTCTGATTTCATGGTGAAGTAACAGTAAATTGAGGCACTTGAAAGAATAAAAACAACCTCAAACTCATCAAGCTGGTTGTTTTGAGTTCAGAGTTGAATACTACTTTTTTGAATGGAATACATGGATTATAGTCAGAACCGAAAGAAAAAACATGTTATTGCCAAATGAAACCAAACAGCTGTTTCAATTCATGAATAGTATGAAAAACAATAAGACGTTTGTCGTTCAAATTTCATGACCACCGAAGAATGGAAAAAAACGATGTGGATTGCGAAAAATGTGTGACAATGAGTCTTGAAAAGTTCGAAAAAGCAAGGTTACAAGAACTTGTCGCAACTAGTCTCGAAAAGAAAAGTCGAAAAAAAATGTTGTAACCTCGCAAGACTTGTTTTTCATTCTTTTAAAGACTCTGGTTGCATGTTTTTCGTAACGACAAAAAAATGGCTCTCTCTCTTCAATCATCATCGGAAGCATCCAAATCTCAAATGATGATGGCAATCCATGCTCAACTGCAAACTCCGTTTGGTGTTTTTGTTTCATCCAATGATGAAGTTTATATTGCAGATAGAGGTAATCATAGAATTAGAAAAATAATGAAAAATGGAATGATCACAACCATTGCAGGAAATGGAACTCCAGGATACAATGGAGACAATCAATTGGCAACAAATGCACAACTCAAACATCCAACCAGTGTTTTTGTTTCATCCAATGATGAAGTTTATATTGCAGATACCGTGAATCATAGAATTAGAAAAATAATGAAAAATGGAATGATCACAACCATTGCAGGAAATGGAACTCAAGGATACAATGGAGATAGCCCCTATCAACCTCCCCTTTCATATTTCTCTCCTTTCATTTCACACATTTCAAAATATGAAAGAGACATGATTCCCAACACCAAACTCATTGTTTTTCAACCACTTTTTGAAAAACTTTGTCCTCATTTTCATTCCACAATTTTGAAAGATTTGAATTTACTTTCTGACATGTCTTGTCGTGAACTTGAATTGATTCAAAATGTCATTGATTTTGTTTTATATGATCCAGATACGATTGTGGAACCTATAATGATTTCTGAAATTATTGAATACTTGTACATTTTGGGTCTTGCTCACTGTGAATTCATGGAATTGAAAAACTATTTAATTTCGATATTATTGGAGAAACACATGACTTCTGATCATGTCAATGATACATTGTTGATGATTGAACAATACTTGACAAAACAACCCTCTCATTCCATCATGACTAAGTTGAAGAATTATTGTTTGGAATTTATTCAAATCAAATTAAGGGAAGGATTGAATATTATGACAGACCCAAGACTCATTCCTTACAATGTTGAAATTCTTGAAAAAAGTTCAATTACAAAGATATCTCCCATCGTTCTTGAAGAGTCAACTGAAAATACAATATCACCAAACGAAATGATCAAGTCATTGTGGAATGACAAACGTACGAGTGACATTCGAATCAAACTCTCACACAACGACAATTCATTCATTTATGGTCATCGAACCATATTGAGTTCTCGTGGAAAACTTTTTGAAGCCATGTTCAACAGTGGATATGAATTGGAAGATCTGAAATATGATGAAAAAGATGAAATTTTGACACTCATTCCTTCCACACCTGAAGATGCAATGAATTTGGAATATATTGTCAAATATTGTTATGATCAATTGGAGCAGATTGAACCAGAACATGCCATTTCTCTCATTTTAACAGCTTCAGCGAATGAAATGTCAGAATTAGTTTCTCTTGCATTCAAATCCATTCAAATTGATTGCAATAATTATTTTGAAATTGCCAATTCATTGGATTTTGAAAATGATTTATTTTCAGAAGTGATTCAAATCATGATTGATTTTGGAGTGAATCACAGAAATGAATTATTCAAAGAAAATTCTGATCTTGATCAATTACCTGCTTCTCTTTCACACAAATTGTTGAGAGAGTTTGAAAATTTGTAATTATTATTTCTTCCACACTTGGCTCTGTTTTTGGTGCATCTCAAACTGATGAATATCGAAAAAGAATACTTAGATTAAAACATTTTAAATATTCTTGTTTATTAAATATTCACCGCTTACATGAACTTTTTAAGGTGAGTGAATTTTCTTCTTTTTTGTTTTTCAGTCAAGCTGTCGAAAAGATCCTGAGTTTTCATGGGTCCTGTTTGAGAATTGCCTTCTGGTTTCTGCTCAACCATGATGGTTTGTTCATCCAATTCAAATGGATCATAACCCTTGTATTGAATAATCTTTTCCTTCTTTCTTTCCAGAGCTTCTGTGTGAACATTGACAAGGTTGAAATCATCAATTTCTCCTTCCCATTCCATGTCATCACTGGCAGAGTCGCTTTGAGCATCCTCGTCGTCAGCGTCCTCATTCTCAATAATTTCTCCATCTGAATTGTATAGGACATCCTCATCGCCTTCTCGATCGAGCCGGTTATCTTCTTGATCGTCGCCATCCTCACTTTCTGTAAAGTATTCGTCGTCATCGGCCAACTCTTCGTCATGATTAATGACAATGACTTCATGGTCATTATCTGTGTGTATCATGTTATTGGACACCAATTGATCTCCTTCCTCCAAGTCAGTCACTTGAACATTTTCAGGAGGTGCATGACAGAATAGAATTTTACCATCCACATAGTCCTTCAAGATTCTACGAGCAGCCATTGGATAATTTGGCACACCATTCTGTGACATGAGACCTTTGGCTTTGCAAAACGTTCTCAATAAATTTTCTGGGGTCACAAAGGTCATTCGGGCCTTGCCTGGTATCTTGGGGAAAGTTAAACCATAGGTCAATTCGAAAGTTCGTCGTGGAATACGTCCACACACCAATTCCATAGGTGGTCTATAATCTCTCATTTGATGGTCAATAGACAAGATACCATCGACAATCATTTCTTCCTTCGTCGTTTGAATGGATGGGAACACGAGACCAGGACAATCAGCAAGCATGACACTGTCTCCTATGGGTAGAGTTTGGAAGTGCTTGGTTTTGCCAGGAGTCGATCCTACTGCAACCTTTTTTTTTCCACACAACACGTTCACGAGAGAACTTTTACCAACGTTAGGGTAACCCACCATACCCACCACAACACGTCCCGTATCACTCTTCTTTTGCTCTGGATTAAAATTCTTCATGAGACTCTTAAAGAAAAATAGTAGTTCAGATCGTGAAAAGATATAGGTCCAGTCACTCTCTTGTGGAGAAACATAATTGGTCACATCGTATTGATCCAATTCTTCTTGTTGCTCCTTGAGAAGCTCCTCTCGTGTGATTTGACGATTGGCAATTTTTGTAATTTCATTCTTGGCAGAGAAGAAGAGAAAATTAATCTTCTTCTTTTTAAAATAGCATGCCCATTTGAAGCGTTGCTTTTTCGTTAACAAGTCAGCCTTATTCAATAACAAAAAGTTTTCCTTCTTTGGATCAACTTCTTTGACGTACTTTTCCAAATCTTCACATTGGAATTGCAAGGGATTACGACAGTCCACTATTTGAACAACAATGTCACTTCTCTCAACCACACGCCACAACTGTCTCCAAACTTCAATATTTTTTTCGTAGGGTGTTAACGTGGCGTCGTAACTTTCCTCGATTTCAGCCAAGCTTCTTCTCCATCTCAAGAATGAATCTGTTTCAATTTGAATGAGCTGTTTTTTTGCTTGTAATTTGCTAGCATTGTTCGATTTCTTCTTTTTCTTTTTTTTCTTTGTTTCTTCGCCCTCATCTTCATCGTCAGAATTTTTCTTGAATAATTCATAGGCTTCCCTAGGTCTGCGAGGAATTGGAAGTTGAACATTGAGCTCTTGCATTTCTCGTACACGATCGAGGATTTCTTCCTGAGTCTTTTCTTTGAGAATGAGAGTACCTTCTGCATATGCTTCCTCGTCGACAATGTCATCCTCATCCTCATCGTCAGAGTCTATTGGGATGAAATAATTTCATTGGTTGTGCATCACAAAGAAGTGTTCCATTGATTTGATACACATGTGGTTAAATTGAGACATTTGTTGCGGAATGGAAATTGTGTCAAAAAGTTTTATCGAATGATTACCATCTGAGTGTTTGTTAAACTTACTTTTTTGTGCTTCCACAACTTTGTACTCTTTCGGAGCGCCATCTCCGTCCTTTATCAAAAATGTTGCACTCTCCTTTTCATACCTTTTCAAACTCATCTTGGCATTTAGCATTAAATCTTGTAAATCATTGGTTTGAATTATACTTTCTAATTTTCCTCTTCCTCTATTAATCATATTGTGCATGACTGTGTCTTCTTTTAAAATTTCTTCTTCAATAGGTAATTCATCGGAACCCACTTTTTCATCATGATCTTGTTGTATCGATGCTGCAAGTGTTTCCTGATGACGATCCGATAATACTTTTTCCTTCTTCTTGTTTCTTGATTTGAGAAGGGTCTTTCCCAAACCGCCCATCTTGTTCTTGGTTCTTGTTCCAGGCATTTTTTTTTATCTGCAACACTTCAAAAAAAATTCAAAACTCTCAACATGAAACTTTTTGAACTTATGGCGATGGACGAGATTGAAATAAATACATCCTTGAGTTAATTTTTCAATTCCGATTTTAAAAGAGGATGTATTTTGGGTGAATGCAAATATTGTAAGTCATTATTAAACGTTGTTGCAGAAAACATCATGACAAACAGTTGCTTGAAACCAAGCGAGAACCAAATCGCTTCGGGAAACCATTACAATTGTTACGTATAGCACTCCTTTGAGCTATATTGGAGTGCAAGGAGAGCCAGGGTATCGTCAATTTCCTTTTCGTTTCAAATTCAAAGAAACCAACTGTAAAAAAAACAACGTCTTCCCTCTAACACTCACTCTAGCACCACTAAGGCTTTGCAGTAAGGATGACCTTATTTCAAGGCTTTCTTTTGAACAAGATGCGGAAGAGTGGAGAGGCTTCCTCCCTTCAACATCACCATCAAACACATGGTTTAATGCAGGGCCAATTTCAAAGTGATGATTTCAAAGCGATCTTGGTAACGATGTTCATTCTAGGTTTAACGATTGCTGGTCCTGTTTCGGCAGCAAGTAATGCCCTCACGCTTGAGGTGAATCCTTCGGGTCCTCGAACCGACTGGCCCGATAATGCAAATCTTTTGAATTTGGGGATGTGGGTAGATTATGCAATTTTCGTTGGTATAGTTGCTGTGTGTATTGTGTTGATTGGCATTCTGCTCGAGTCCATGGATTGCATCATTTGGTGTTCCCGTAGAGTTTGTAATTGTTGTGGAGGATCCAAATTGGAGGTAGGTTGAGGAGAATACTAATACGTTCGAAATTATCATCCATGATGATGAATGCGGGTTTTGGAAACCTTTACACAAATCACAACCAATATTGTTGATTACTATCGGATTTATGTTGTGGTACATTACTGGGCCTTTTCAATAGGGATATCATCCTTACTCAGGACCTGCCTACACAAAAGGGCGTATTCGATGTATGGGTACCATGGTTCTTTCGACATTTGTGTTGATTGTGATCTTGGGAGGAGTGTTTGTCGCATTCAATGCCTTATTCTCGATCAACTTACGACGAGTGATCTCTACTGCAGAAGTAATAATTTCGAATATCAACGGAACGATCAATGCAGCAGTCGATGCCACTGTGATTGGTGTGCCTTTGAGTGTGGCTGCCTCCATTTCATCGATTAAGCAAAAGACCATAGTACCAGCAAAGCAACTGTGTGACAATGTTCAAACTATTGAACCTTTACTCACACAAGCTAAAGATACCATGATAATTGTTGGAAACCAGATATCATCCATTGATGACAATGTCAATACAATAACCAACTTGGCCCAAACAGTAGGGTCGAAACTCGTCTTTCGAGCAAGCGCCATTTCCAAACCAGACTCAAATTTATTGTCTTCATTCACAAGCGGAAATAACTTTTTGTTGTATAAGGATTCCACCAATGCTGCAATCGATGATGCCTTAGATAAGGTCGTATTAACACATCAGTCATGCTCCTATACTATATCTGATGCAGAAGTAAGTTGTTGCTTTACTTTTATAATTTATTAACTTTGTTTCCATCGAGACAAAAATTGGAGACACAAAAAATGGCCCCTTTAAATCAGCCATTTCAACCATTCAATCTGGCATCCTGAATATCTTGGGGGTTGCCATGAGTTTGTTCAAGAAAATACCGCCCGACACTGTCTCAGACGCCACCCTTTATGTAAACATTGGTGACTCTGTAAGAATATCCATTGAGATGGTCATTCTTGTCGTTCCCTTATCTATGTACCTTTTTGCCTTGGTGGGTATCTGTTTTAGAGTCAAATGGTTTATGAAACTTTCTGCATGCTTTTCATGTACATTGTACTGGCTCCTCTTCCTGCTTTCAGCTCTCCATATTATTGTATATATTGTGTTGAATGATGCCTGCTTCAATATAACAACAAGAGGTGTCACAATTGTTAGCGCTGTCACAAATATGACCGGTATAGACTTGGAAGCATCTGTAGGATTACCAACATCACAACTCATTACTGGCGTTGCAAATTGTGGAAAGTATGACAACTTTGTGAATTCCACAATTGGAAATGCTGAGGCTGTCACAACATTTGTGACCAACAAGTTCAACATGGGCAATGGATTTTCGAGCGGATTAAATGATCTTTCGGCCTCCATGACCATTGATACAAACAGTATAGCAATTGGTGATAACTTGCAGTCTAAATTCAACGCATTGAACCTTGACTACAATTCAATGGCATCCTCGTTTAATTCAAGCTTGAAAACATTTGAAACTGATTTACTTAATGTTCGTAACCAAGCAAACGCAACTCTTCAAACAGAGCTTGCTAATTCATCTCAAAATATGAGCTCTATCCGTTCATATTGTGTGGGCAGAGAAAATCAAACACTCTGTATCAGGTACGCAGAGTATTTAAACGCCACAAAACAATATGATGATTGTAGCACAATTATTCAGAGCATTCGTCAGCAATTAACTGAAATTGAAAGTACAGTTTCAAACATTAATGACGACCTACAGACCAATTTGGCGCCTGTTCCAACTAAAATCTCAAATATTGTAACTGAGTTGTCCAGTAATATGACCAAACTCGTAAATGACACTGTGGCACTCGCTCCCACTTTGCTATCAGACACAATGCAAAAAATCATCTCAGATTTCAGCTCTCCTCTCAAATGCACCTATGTTCCTGCTGCACTGAATGATGTGAACGAGAGCGTGTGTGACGGAGGAATTGTGCTAGATTCATTGGTTATTGGAGCCTCCTCATTCGTCATTGGTATCGCGTGTGGTGTTGGATTTGTGTACATCCTCCTTGTTGACAAGTACATTACGTACCGATTAATTAAGGAACAATCTAAGAAGGGCTCCAAGAAGAAGGCCAAACAACCTTCAAAGCTTGTCGAGTTGCCGTCCCTCCAACTCGAAGATACTCCAGCGCTTGAAAAGACAGTAGATTTTGGTCAAGATGATTTAGGAAATACCTTCCAATATTGAAAACTAGTAGTGATTTATTATAACAAGAGTAGTACCACACAGAAAATGATAACAATTTATTAAAAACTGTAATTACCAAAGCTTGCGTTATTAAGAAAACGAGTTTTAAATAAAAAATGAATCGACGTAAATATAAACATTATGGAATACCCTCTGATCATACATATGGAAACAGGGAAATCCATCAGCCACAATTCGAGGATGAGGAATTACGAGAATATTCGGATGATGATTTTACGATGAATGAGGAACCTGTAGAGAGAGTTAAAAACAGTAGTGATGATGAGGACCATTCAAGTTATGGGGATGCTATCCAGCATCATCCATACACAAGTTCATCGTCCGGAGAGGAGCAGCATGATATTCAAATTAAAGTCCAAGCTAGAAAAGCACTCAAAGACTCTAAACGTTTCCTTCATTCGACCACCAAGCAAATGGAGCATAAAATCGCCTTCTCACAAAATAATTCCTTAATGGAGAAGATGCTTGAAAACTCTGCTCGCAACAAGGATGTTGTAGTGGAAAACTTGTTGCATCAAATGGTTATAAGAAACTCAAAAGATTGGTTCCTGAACTTGTCGTTCGAACAATGTTATACTAAAATAAGGAATATTATGAGAGAAACAACATTCAGTAGCGAACGAAACAAAGCAAAATTCTCAACCATAAATAACACCAAGATCCACAACTCCTACAACAGGAACAACAGGAGAGAAGGAGATGGCTTGCAGAACCATAATGATGAGAGCCGCCCAGTACCTGAATATTACCAATCTTTGGACCCACCCTCAAAATTACACAAGAACCAACAAATAGGAGTAGTTCGTATCCCAAAAAACATCAAGGAGGAGAAACCTTTTGTCTCCACTCCAAGAAAACCAGTTCAACAAGTATCATCGAAACAACGTCTTAAAAAACACAAATACCAAAACCGAAAGCTGTACCATGCTTCTGAAGAAGAAATGATGTCTTTGGAGGCATATTTCGGTCCAGAACTAGCGCTAGACGTCCTTGAACATGCTGATACTTTTGTGAGCTTTCAAAAATACTGGAGAACCAATAGAAAATATCGTTTCAATCGAAAAGTGCAAGAACTAAGGAGTATGTTCCAAACAACACTGTTCGAAATGGAACGGGCTAAATTGGAAAATTATGACACTGAAGACTATGCGAGACAAATCAAATATCTAGCGTCTCAGTTCTGTATAGAAATGAATCCTGCAAAGCCATACACACCTGGGCCTATTAAACAATCCAATAAGATCGATAAGCATAGTTTTCTTCATAGAAAAGAGGAACCCACCTTTTTGAAGAAAGTCAAAAAGAAGAAAAAGAGAGGAAGTAACATGCACGACATGACGAAATCAAGTCCTCAACATCCATCACCACCAGTTGTGATGAATGATCAACAAGCGGTTGTGACAACGCCAAACGAACAACGCAATGATAGCATCCCAGCATCTTCTACTCCAAAACGAACTCCACCAATTCCTTCACTCAACTCAGCGTTCAACAGATCTGTGAAAACTATTGGCTCCATTTCTCCCAAGCGATTACAATTGCAATCAAATAACCAATCACACGAGAGTGCTGAATCAACTACCATGCAAAATGTACCAAGCACACCAATCCGTTCTGCACAAAGAAAAACCTTGTCGAGCAGAGTATTCAAGCTTCAATCAAGACTTGATAATGATAGAAACAACAATTCCAATACGGATCTAACACCTGAAGCAGCATTGTCGTTTGAAGACCCAATTGATTTTCAAAATAGGGAGTCGAGCAGTATCGTTGAAGATTCGTTCCAGTCCGATTCATCATTATCATCGAGAAGGGATGATAGCAGAGAACTATCATCATTACCACAATTTCAGGACCTGGAAAATGTGTCTGCAGAGAGTGGCACTAATGATCAAACAACCAACAACACTAATCGTTCTTCAAACACCCCAACCAGAATACCATTGGAAGTAACCACAAACTTGAACCAAGAGTTGGTAGACAATGAGGGTATATCCTTTTCACCAGTATCACTTATTCCGCCATTGTCTCCAATCCTTAGAAGGGCTCCACCTCCTCCACTAGAACACGCAGAGTCTGAAGAAACAAAATCCAACGAAGAAGTGGACGAAGAAGAAACCATCACAGACATCCGGAGCAACACAGTCGCAAGTGAGAACAATGAAACAAGAGATGCTTTGCCACTTCTGAAAGAACCAATTGATGATGTAGTGATACAGTCAACGTCTTTGAGCGATGACCATCAATCAAATACCTCTGGCAAGTTGGATCTTGAGGAATTTGAGCAGCAGCTCCAAATGGAAAGCAAGTATTTCAGCCCCAAAATACTCTTTGAGGAGCTTGATAGGGCAGAGCAGGATCGAATGTCATGTGAAACTTTCAGTCATACCTCCACCAACAGTGATGAGGAGAATTTTAACGAATTGCACATTCTTCAAACAAGTGTCGATGACTACATACCTGCAAACAATTCAAAGAAGTTAACAACACTTCCTTCAGGTGCTTCAGAAAGCACTTATTCACCAATGACAGTTTTCAATCAGTCCAATAATGAGCCTTCTATTGAATTGCTTCCACAATTAATCGAACGCCCAAATTCGGCTTTTAAACCAGCAGACGAACTTGTAGGAGTTACAAACTCTTCAAAAGATTCAAACGTAGAAGATGTGGTTTCAAAGGAACTACAACGGTATGATTCAATTAATGCCTCAAAGAGCAGTCATTCGTCAACATTAGGAGAAGTAACATCCACTCCACGACCTCCCTCTAGAAAACCGCCACAGCCCTCTCTTTCATTGGAGGAGCTTGTTGAAAAAGATCGGGTGCGCTTTGCAGAAATTGAAAACTTGGTCTTCTCCTTGGATGAGTCATCGGTAATTTTCCAATTCGATAGAAACTATGTGTACTCGGGGTTCAAAAACTCGAATTAATTAACAATACACATGATAATGGTATCTGTTTTGAATTCCTTAAGGAAACATTGAGGCCAAAAAGGGTATGATCTACAACCATTGGCTCGTATCAATATTAATACCCACGACGTGCATCTTAACTCGAGTTGTTGAATGTATGTGCATACCATGAGCTTCATTGGAGACTTTAAAAGTAGTGTTATCACAAACTTGAGATAGTGTTCCAATTGTCATTGATTCGATATTGAACACCCTTCTTGTTCATTTGGTTTGACAGCGGTATTTAAAAGGAAATTAATTTTCCGAAAGAGAAATAACCGTTTGGAGAACCACTTTCGACATTTGGTGGCCAATAGCCAAGCTCGTTCGCCCTGTCTTTACGCAGCAAAACAAAGCCGTGTTGAGGTTGTGACTGGTTGTATGGAAGGACCAAATCAACGACACCATAAAAAACAACAACACCAACAACACACTCTAAGATCCTAAAACTCTGCAGCCTCTTTGCTCGTACTCGAACCACACGTGCTATTTGGCTGTCCGTTGCGTAAGTAGTAGTAGTTCATCATGTTGCTGTATCATAATACAACATGCAAAAATCAATCCCAAACATACTGAACTTTGAAAATCGGGTGGTCGCTAATATTATTACCTTTGCGAAAATCTCGAACATGGAATGATGGTCAAACTCTATGTTTCTTCATAATGTCTCTCAAATAATGATGATGAAAATTACCTTCTTCTTCATTGTTATCCAATCTCCTCTTTAATAATAATCAACACCACCTTGTGTATTTTTGACGGACAAAAACACGTGATGACATTTGATTCCAAAACGACGTCGTTGTCACGGCACACACTTAGTAGTTCTCAACATCCAACATCAAGTTGCTTTCTGTATTATTAAAACAAAAATACGTGCCGTTCGTTTTAATTCACATCAACATCAACAACAACAACATGACAGGTGTCAACAAGACGATTGCAGCTGACTGTTGCAACCACACAAAGATGAAGAGACGACCTTTATCATCACATCAATCGCGTCTCCCAAATAGGACACGACCATCCTTTTTCACACAATTATCATCATCTCCTTCCACTTCAGTAGCCACCATCATGTTTTATATCTTTGCATTATCATCGTTGCTATCCATACTATCATCATCATCACAATATTCCATTAATGCTCAAGTCATTCCACAAGCGTACTCTGAAATTTATGACAATGCTGTCGTAATGCCACCGACATCATCCAAATTACCTGCGAAAATGGTTTTAGAATGGGAAGAGAGAAGTACCATGACTGATCTATTGCCCTTCTCATCGAGTTGTGCACTGAATGGATATGTAAATACTGCAGACTCGACCGATGTGAATAATAATGTAAATATGCGTGGATTGAAAAGTTTGAGATGGCGACTCAGTGTTGGAATTTCCAGTCGATTTGTCAATGTGTTTTATGGCTTTTCTGATGGAAGCAATGGAGCTCTTTGGAGTGCCATCAAGAAGGTTTCTGCTCAATCGGCACAACGAAAAGATAATGTCTATTCATCGAATGTGAAAGGAAAATGGACAAAAACTATGAATGGTGCTTCCACTGCCACAACGGATGCAACTCTTTCTGTGAACTATTACTCGTCTTTGGGTGGCTATCGAGATGGTTCTCGTCTCGGTGAAGTGAATCCCATTTCTCGTCCAAACTTTGCCAATTACGTTCCCTTGTCTTCTCTCAATCTCACGTTCGGAGATGTGTTTACAAGCACTAAAATTTTGTATAACACTCAGGGAATTACCAGTGCAAGAAATTTGGTTCCTCTCCTTGTGGATACCTCTGCTCTCAAAGCTGCATCCAATTTAAGTGTCACCGTTGGTTCGATCATTGAAAAGATTGGAAGTGGAAATCGATCGATTGAAGACACCTCCTTTGTAGATTCGAATGGTTTTTCAGTGCCATACTTTTTGAGAACTCGATCCGAAATTACAATGGATATCATTCAAAAAACTGGTCGTAATGCCCTTCTTAATTCGTATGAAAATCAAGTCACTACCTATGATTTCACATTCCGTACCACGAATTGCTATCAAGACATGGTTGGAAGCAGCAGTTCTTCTTCAAGCAATAAGGAAATTTATTTCTTTGCTCTCGTGGGTAGTTATTTCCCATTGATGAATGCAACTCTTACTCGACGACTTGCTACCGATTGGGACAGCAACTTTGCTCAATTTATTGTCGTGTATAACTTGACTGATTTTTTCAATCAACCCACTTCATTTGCCACAACAACAAGTTCTTCAGATTCCACCTCGAACAAGTTCAACATGTGGAATGACCAGCCCATGAGTGAAAGTGCAGAAATGCAAAGTCAACAATCTGTTTCTTCATTCCAAGATGCATCCGCTGTTGAAATTTATTCCATGTTCCACTACAATCCTACTGAAACTTACAAACAATTGCGTTATTTGAGAATGTCCATTGTGCTCTTCTTCAGTTTGTTGATTATGGTCATTCTTGTCCTTTCAAGAAAGAGTCAACCTGTGAAATCTCGTTTCTTGATTAACGGTTCTGTATGTGCAGTCGCCATTGTGTATGGTTTATTAGGTATCATTTTCGCTGCTGCCTTACCCAGTTATGACAGTATTGTCAGTTCTATGGAAGTCCTCTTTTATTTGGTTTTGGGATTCTTGTATGTGCTTTCAGCCATGAGATACTTCTTCTCGAGAAATTTGTATCGTACCATGAGAATTAACTTTTCATCAGATTCCAAATCCAAGAAGAAGGACAAGAGAATGACTCATCATGGAAAAAAGATATCAAAGGGATCTCAATCATTTGAGGAACGTCAATTGAAGTTATTGAGATTGTTGGCAAATCTTGCATCTTGGAAGGTCTTTCTTGTGGGTGTCATTCTCGTGTTGGTTGTGATTTGTGCCCTCTCATTGTTCATTTTGATTTCAGTGGTCACTGGAACTGCTTCCAATTTCGATCAACCCATTTCTACCATTGCCACTTACACGAAATTAGCTGGTTTATTGGGATTGGTCGTTCCAACTGCCATTCTCTCCATTATTGTGGATGCCATCATTAATGCAAAGAAGGTCGTCAAGAAAGGACTTCATTGGTACCTCATTCAAGACGATCCACTCTTCTTTAGATTGGAATTTGGTGTGTTCATTCCAGCTGTCATTTTCGGAGTGTTGCTCTTCATTTTGGATCAATATTATAACACGTTGAATTGGTTTGACATGAATCAACGTGCTGTTGTTTACTTGGTTCACGGCTTGATTTATTCACTTTTTGAGTTTTCACTTGTCATGTTAGGTTGTGGTGGATTTATTGCAGTGGTTTACATTATTCAGTACAGCAGAATGGCAATTCGAAGAAAATCCTTACTTCCAGTTCCAGAATCAAAACTCAACGATGGTTCAACACTGGGAAAGAAGACAGAATTTGAACTCTTCATGTGTGACGATGAAGCTCGTGTCATGTTACAACAATATTGTGAACGTGAATTTTCTTTGGAAAATTATTTACTTTTCGAACTTGTTGAAGAATTGGCCGTGTTAGCTTCTCAGGAACATCCAGGATCGGTCAACAAGATTGCCATTTCACCTGCACTTGCAAAACCATCAGTTGTGACTGGAGAAATGGTTGAAGAACGAGAGGTCCTTTCCACAACTTCCATTTCAGTCAAGAATGGAAAGAGCTCATCCGGTAGCGCCATGTTATCTTCCGATAATACTCTGGTCAACTCATCTTCTGGTTCTCTCTCACCACGTCCAAGCCATCAACCACCCGAACAACAACATTTAAACGTTGACGAACCTGGTTCTCCAACTTCTCCTTCGAGCGTTGTGTCAGCTTCAGAACCATCTTCTCCTTCTGTTAAGAATTTGATGAAGAATAACAATAGAGAAAGTGTCACACAACAAATTGATCGAATTATTTTGAAAATTTTAAAGACCTACTTGAATGAAAACTCTGTTTTGGAGGTCAACTTGCCAAATACCACTAGAAAAATGGTATTATCATGTTTTAGAAAGAGACTTTATGCTGACGATGTCAGTAAATTCAGTGGTTCCAAATCGATGGATCACATTCCAGAACGAATGGATGACAAACCAGTGGAAACACTTGACATGACAGTTTTAGATACTTTGAAACAAGATGTATGGCTTAATTTGAAAGATACATTTGGAAGATTACAACTCACTCAAGAATATAATTTGTATAAGGCAAAGAAGACTTTGGAAAAGGAATTGAATGTCGTTTAATCATCATTAAAATACTTTTTCTGTCCTATTTACAATCAAAACATTCATACCTGTCTTTTTGTTTATGGAAATATATATTTGTAATAAATACCAGCGGATAGTGTTGTTTAACATTCACTAACTTCTTTTGGGTGTTCATTTGTCCCCAAAAATATATTTCCAAATTTTTTCACCAATTTCTTGTCCATTAGTGATTTCATACTTTGAAGTCGAGGCTTGAGAATAGAAATGCCATGTCCGAATGTCAATTCGTTTGTTCAAATGACTCAAATGGGAAGAGTATTGTGCGGTTTGGTCATTATAACAACCTTTTTGAAGCTTAAACGTTGGGATTGTTTTTTTTGGATTTAAGTTATGGTAAACATTAAAAGCTATTGCCCATGGTACCTGTTTCAATATTTCAAGATTCTCTTTTGCCAACTCGGTTACACATTCTATCTTTCTATATTGCTCAGGAATTACTATATCAGGAAACTCGATTAGAATCTCTTTTACAAAATTCCAATCATTGTAACTCAATTTCTGAAATACTTTACGGTTTGCTTGCAATGCTTTCTTAATGAACTCATTATCCTGTCGTAACGATTGTTCAGCACAATTAAAAGCATCAGCTTGCTTTGGAATTAGAGATAAAATGAAATCCTTGTCTTTGCAAAACCAATCGTTTACCATAGACTAAGAACGATCCCAACTGTCACAATTATTGACAGCAGTAAAGATTAACTCCTTTAGTTTATCGCTCTCCGATGTTGATAAGAATGCACGAGATATCAAACTTGGATTGTAGTTAATACTGTTCAAATATTGTTCTAAGGGATCCTTAGAATAACTATCACATGTATAGTTAGCCAAAGCGTCCTTGATACTATATTCATCACAACGTTCAAACCTGCTATGGTAACTGCTGTTCGAAAAGTGAGGATGATCACAACATTCAAACTCACTATGGTAACTTCTGTTCTCAAATCTCTTGTTCGAAAAGAGAGGATGATCTTTAAACTCGGACATGACATTAATTTCTTGTGTCAATACTTGTCGAAAATTCTCCAACCTATCAAACACTTGATACAAATCTTGAGGCTCGTTCATGTTTCGTAATTGAGTCCATTTGGAAACTCTTTCTGTGACACCTCTCAGGTATTCAATTCTCTTATCCATAACAAATCGATCCAACCGCAACTTGTGTTGTTCCATTTGTTCAAAGAATTCTCTCAGTCCCTTAAAATAGTGTTTGTAATAATTTTGAGACTTTTCATGATCTTGAATAATTTCTTCTTCAGTTTTGAATTTCCACCAATCGTCAGTAGCCCATTTTGGAACTTGTTCTTTTTGTTGTTTCAAATTGTCTCTCAACTCCTTGTCCATCTCTGAGAAGACAAATATTTGTTTGGAATCGAACTTTTATGTTGTTGTGAATAAGTACATTCCAAACAAAGTAACTTGAAACAAGCTTTGCAAAACATTCTCAACGGCTGGTCATGTGAAGGACATTGAGGAATGTTGTTTTTGGTAGTGGTGGCATTCTTGTTGCTAACCATGACACTGATTTGATGTTGTTGTTTTTTGTGCTTGTTGGTGTGATAGTTGCAAAGAGATGAGTTGCATGTGGTGCATTGATGAGTACATGGTTCTTCAATGTCTTCCAGGAGACATTCAGAACAGAGAGAGTGGTTGGGAATTCGCATGTTTGAGAGAGATTTTTTTTTGAATTGGACAAGTGACAGGTTGAATGATGGTCAATGTTACTTTCGACACATGTGATTCAATACTATTTGCGTATTCATCTTGGAAATCATCTTATCTTGTTCCGTATAATGCAATCCATCTGAAAAGAGTCCTCTAAATGAATTACCCCAAGTCGTTTGTTCCAATGGTACATAGTCTATAAAATCTTGACGTAATGCAATTTGACGTTGAATTTCAGAATTGGTGAGTGAAAAGATCAATTCTGGACCGACGCGAGGATCATGTGAAGGAATGACTTCACGCCACAAAATTTTCAAATGTGGCGAATGCTTCTTCCATTCAGAAACCCATTCGAAAAATTTTGTAATGTGTGAAAATAATTCATGTTGAATCCATGCCGTGTCAAAATTTCGAAAACCTCCTCGTCCGTAATGTCCAGCCATTTCATGAAAGGTAAAGGTCATGATAATGACATCTGACGTTGTAGCAATTTCTTGCACTTCTTTTCGTGCAGCATCTAATTCCATAATACTTTGAATGCCTCCCCAATTATGATCGACATAGGCATGAGCGAGTCCTCGATTTTGAATTTCAAAATGTTCGTGTTTCAATGTGGAATATCTAAATTTGGTTTTGCTTAATTTTTTACCATTAAATTCAGAAGGAAATGAGAGTTTGTACTTGACCGAAGGATCGACTTGATACATCCATTCAAGAATGTGTGAAAATTGTTCTTCCAAAGAAGAATCTCCAAAAAAGGCAACCTTTTTTCCATGAAAGCAATCCATGACTTGGCGTGGATTAAAAATCTCATAGGGTCGAGTGAAGGAATTCGATGATTCTTGTGAATTCTTGAAATATTCTTCTCCCTTACTTTGAAAAAGAGACGCAACAGGAACATATACTTGATTCGATCTCACCATTTGATTCAATAATGGAGTGGAATTTTCAACTTGTTTGGAAGGATCGTCGTGTTGAGGTGTTGAAAAATCCTTCTTCTCATGGTTCGAATATGGAATGGAATTCGTTCGACACACTAGTTGATCACATTCTCCAGATTTGGATTGCATCCAAAATCCAATTTTTTCATCGAATATTTTCTTGGAAAGTTTCAAATATGGGTCTTGGGTCGATTCCATGTCAAGTTCATACGTTCCAAATAATTCATGTGCAAGAAATTGCTTGAATTTGAAATATTCTTGCATGATGTAACGATGAGAATGATTTGGAGATTCTTGAAAGTTAGAATTTGACCAATTCGTTCTTTCAATTCTAAATGGAATTCTTGCAATTTGAATTCCATGACTTTCAGAAAAATCCATACTTGGACTTGAATAATCTCGTGGAGAGAAACAATGATGAGTCATTCGTACATCTACTTGAAATTCTCCTCCTTTCAATCTTGGAAGAAAAAATTGACCCATATACACTCTCTTATTTCTTTTTTTGGAAGTCAATGTTTTAAGGTCCACAAATATTGGATGTCTCGAGTTGTCTTCTTCATCTTTCACGTATTGCATGGAATGTTCATTGAATTCTCTTGTTTCTAAAATTGGAACAAATCTTGTAAAAGAAACTGCCAAGGAAGTGTCAAAATCTCCTGAATTTGCAATATTGACTTGATTATGGTCAGAATGCTCCTTTTCTACAATTCTTGCATGAAACAATTGAAAATACGGAGAATCCAAATCAAATCGATCGAAACTTTCAATTCGTAAAAAATACACATGTTCCATCGAACTTGGAAATGGTCCAAAAACTTTCACTAATTTTGGATCAAAATGTTTTTTAGAGCAGTCATAGTGTGGTTTTCCAATATTACTCTTTGAAATGGAACTGCTTTGAAAAAGATTCAATTTTTCATCGACTTGTCTCCATGATGTGTACTTGTGAAAATATTCCGTCTCGTTGTAATAATATTTAAAAGGTAAAGGAGGTTGTAAAAATTCAAAAGATTTCATTCGTAACGAGGATGAATCATCTCGTGTAGAAGTGGCACCAATTTCGGATGTTAACAGTCCTCCTGTAGAAGGAACAGAAATGACAACTTTTTTATGAGTGTCAGCAATTCGCTGGAATTGAACAGGAGTCCGAGGATATTCTTCCCATTTTAGTATTCCTTGAGCAAAGAGAAAGAAAGTAGTAATTAATGAAAAGATGGAAATGGAGAGAGTGATGAGAAATTGACATTTGGGTGATAATGAGGAGATGATGTGGTGGTTTGCCATTGTGTTGACTTGTTTGCTGTCACTTGTCGGAACACGTTGATGTTCTACAAAATTAATTCCATAATAAAATTACAACTAGTAAATGATGATGACAGACAAACTCTGCGGATGATGATGAGATCGGAATGTACAACGTTCTTATTTTTTTTTGTTTTGAATTGATGACAATTTTCAATTTATTTTAATAACAAACAATTTTCAGGCTTCTTGTTTAATTGTTTTTACAAGTGATTTGTTTCCATTTAACCATCTTTATCACATTTAAAACAATATGATACAACAGTATTCATCCTGTTGTTAAAACTCTCTTTTTGTTATCATATTTCCAAAAATTGTCAAATCTGACAGCAATGGAAAGGTATGATTGAAAAAAGTCAAAACAAACTTCTTTAAAAAAAAACGCAATTCGAGCTCTCTCCTCTTGGATTCCTATTGAACACCTAGTGTCCAACCAAATTCGCAACCACAAGAAATGATCACTCTTGTCACGAGTTGGATTCTTCTTTTTGTTGGTTTGAAATTGTATAAATTTGTTGTTCTTTTTAAAAAGACAATTGGAAATACAACGAATAGTAATGACGATGATGATGACGCCATTCGGAAGTTGAAAATTGAGATGACAGGTTTGGCAGCAAGGTCAGCATTACAAGAAAAAGGACAACAACATTCTGTCAGTAATCAAAATGTTTCAATGGACACTTTGGAAATTAGAAATGATCAAGAAGAAAAAGACGATGCTCGATCGAAGGAGTCATCCTCCTCCTTTGATAAATCGTTACAAATGGAAGAAGAAGGTTCTTCTTCACGTCATATTTTGAAAATTCGAAATCATTATTCATTACTTCCAAACGAAGAGGATGACACATTACAAGCAACAGAAGAAACTAGTCCAAACAAGACCGTGAACGATCTACATCACTCATCTTCGTCATCTCTTCATGAAAATATCAGATCGCTCCAAGAATTTGGAAATTATTTGTTAAATTATGAAACTCTAATTACTAATTTAGGAATTCTAGGTGGAATTTTATTAATTGTGTATTTGGGACACACGAAAAATCCATTGCTATTTGAAACTACAGAAAGAGTATATTCGAGAGATTTATTCATTTCTATTTGTATCATTTCCTTAATTTGTGGATTTTTCACATTGCAAAAAGTTGAGAAAAATTCGGACGTCATCTTGTCCAGAGAACAAACCGAAGAATGGAAAGGATGGATGCAATTGGTGTTTTTACTGTATCATTATTACAATGCTCAAGAATTGTATGCTCCCATTCGAGTTTTTGTCAGTAGTTACGTGTGGATGTCTGGTTTTGGAAATTTTTCATACTTTTACAATAAGGGTGACATGTCGTTTGGCAGGTAAGTGAACATTTGAAACCCAACTTACTCAATTTCAATGAAAATATGTTGAACATTCCCTAGGTTTCTACAAATGCTTTGGAGATTGAATTTTTCTGCGGTTGCATTTTGTCTCGTTACAGGAAATAGTTATTTTCTCTATTATATTGTTCCGCTTCACACTCTGTATTTTGTAATGATCTTTGTCGTGATGAGAATTGGAAGACCATTATGGAATCAACACTTTCTCAGAATTCGAATCAAATTGATTGTCAACTTGTTATTAATTTATGCCATTTGGGAAACTCCATCCTTGTATCATTTCATATGTGCTGGACCTCGTGACTTGTGGAAACGATATTTGTGGACCTCCAATTTGGCCTATCATGATTTCTATTTTAGAACCTATTTGGATCATTATTCTGCATTTTTTGGAATGCTTTTTGCCTTAAATTATCAATCCTTGAAGGATTTGTTGAATCATGTTCACAAGTGTGAGAAGAAGGGACATGTTGTCAGTGCTGGCTTAATAGTTCTATGTTCCAGCATGATTGCTCTGTGGTGTTACATTTATTTTCCAACTTCCAAATTCACATACAATTCCTTTCATCCGTATTTTAGTGTCGTTCCCATCATGTGTTTTGTGTATTTGAGAAATGCAACGCCAACGTTAAGAAGTTACTACATGAAGAGCTTTCAATTCATTGGAGTGGTGACTTTGGAAACGTATTTACTTCAACATCATGTCTTGATGACTGACAATGCGAAAAGTGTGTTAATCGTTCGAGGATTGAGTGAATTTCCACTGTTGAATACCATTCTTGTATCCATTGTGTTTATGATATTATCGTATCAACTCTACCATGTGACCATCTATTTGAGAGATTTCATATTTGAGAGAGTAGTGGATTGGACCAGCGTTGGAATACTTTTTGGATGGTGTGGAATTTTATATTTCCTAATTTATACTTTACAAGATTTTATATTAAGGAAAGAGAGTATATTCATGACATTGAGTTTCATTGTATTCCTTACGTGTCTTCAAATGATTGGAATTTCTGCATTTGGTTTCTTCACTACTCATTCCTCAATTCAATCTCGAATTTCCATCATCCTGTCACTCTGTGCCATTATTTCTCTTTTCATCATTCATTTCACACGTTGGTTATTCAATTCCTCTTCTCATGTTGAAAAAGAAGTGAATGGTTATATTGGACATAGTTATTATCAAGGATTTTTGATCGTGTGTGCTGCATGTAGTATTTTGATGAGTGGAGATTCATTGTTTGGAGTGTTTCATGTGTGGTATCGAGTGGCGACTTGGAATTTTTCACCATCTCTACCCTTTCCATATGATGGGAACGATTTTAATTCGAATCAGGGTGGAAAATATCCTATGGTTCAACATGCTCATGAGAATTATTTGGAAATTGAAAAACAATTGAATTTTAAATTGGATGAGGAACAGCAAGACAAGATTTAATGTGTGCATAAATACAACCTGATGGTAATTCTACTCGAGAAGAGGTTAAGGGTTGAAATAGTCGATTGAATGGACTACTCCTTCCAATGTGTTCATGTTTGTCAAGAAGGAAAACCTGAGGTCTTGAATGAGTGAGAGATGGTGCCTCACTCCATAAGCTTGGGATGCAACTGAGCTTTTGGAAAAACTTTCAAATCTACTTTTCAGAGGGTTGTTTTGATGGAAACTCTGCTAGTATATGATAATATTCAATATTGAAATATCAAATTAGATCATTGGTATTTGCATGAAAAAGCACCAATGTCAACCCCAGCGTATTAGTGAACACAAAAAGTAAATTCCCGTCCTGAAGTAAACTAATCAACGTTGATGAAATCCTGTCTCCTCAGCCACAACATTCCTTTTTAAACGGATCGTAGGAATATATTTCGTAATGATGAACACATAATAACGAAAATTTTAGAATACAACATTGGAAGGTGGATTGGGAAAGGCGTTGATTCAACACGTTGGAGTGGAACTGAGGCAAGAGTTGTTGTGCTATAAAGTACAACAAACTCGCTGGAGCATTCAACCATGTGTGTGGCCTGACTTTTAATTTCGTAAAAGGTTCGTTTGAAAGGTTACAAAAAAAATAGGCAATTACCACTCAAAGGCAATGGCTGCGTCTTCAACACAAAAAAATGGCTCTCTCTATTAGAAAAAGCAAGGTTACAAGAACTTGTCGCAACTAGTCTCGAAAAGAAAAGTCGAAAAAAAATGTTGTAACCTCGCAAGACGAGTGTTTTTCATTCTTTTAAAGACTCTGGTTGCATGTTTTTCGTAACGACAAAAAAATGGCTCTCTCTCTTCAATCGTCATCATCGGAAGCATCTAAATCGCAAATGATGGCAATCCATGCACAACTTAATTTTCCGTATGGTGTTTTTGTTTCATCCAATGATGAAGTTTATATTGCAGATACCGATAATCATAGAATTAGAAAAATAATGACAAATGGAATGATCACAACCATTGCAGGAAATGGAATTAAAGGATACAATGGAGACAATCAATTGGCAACAAATGCACAACTCAATTATCCAAGCAGTGTTTTTGTTTCATCCAATGATGAAGTTTATATTGCAGATCCCGCTAATCATAGAATTAGAAAAATTATGAAAAATGGAATGATCACAACCATTGCAGGAAATGGAACTCGAGGATACAATGGAGACAATCAATTGGCAACAAATGCACAACTCAATTATCCAAGCAGTGTTTTTGTTTCATCCAATGATGAAGTTTATATTGCAGATCCCGCTAATCATAGAATTAGAAAAATAATGAAGAATGGAATGATCACAACCATTGCAGGAAATGGAACTGAAGGGTACAATGGAGACAATCAATTGGCAACAAATGCACAACTCTATCGTCCATCCAGTGTTTTTGTTTCATCCAATGATGAAGTTTATATTGCAGATAACTATAATAATAGAATTAGAAAAATTATGAAAAATGGAAAGATCACAACCATTGCAGGAAATGTAATTGAAGAATACAATGGATACATTCAAGTGACAACAAAGGTACAAGTCAGGGGTCCATACAGTGTTTTTGTTTCATCCAATGATGAAGTTTATATTGCAGATAACTATAATCATAGAATTAGAAAAATTATGAAAAATGGAATGATCACAACCATTGCAGGAACTGGAATTGAAGGATACAATGGAGACAATCAATTGGCAACAAATGCACAACTCTATCGTCCATACAGTGTTTTTGTTTCATCCAATGATGAAGTTTATATTGCAGATACCTATAATAATAGAATTAGAAAAATTATGAAAAATGGAATGATCACAACCATTGCAGGAAATGGAACTCAAGGATATAATGGAGATAGTCCCTATCAACGTCCCCTTTCATATTTCTCTCCTTTCATTTCACACATTTCAAAATATGAAAGAGACATGATTCCCAACACCAAACTCATTGTTTTTCAACCACTTTTTGAAAAACTTTATCCTCATTTTCATTCCACCATTTTGAAAGATTTGAATTTACTTTCTGACATGTCTTGTCGTGAACTTGAATTGATTCAAAATGTCATTGATTTTGTTTTATATGATCCAGATACGATTGTGGAACCTATAATGATTTCTGAAATTATTGAATACTTGTACATTTTGGGTCTTGCTCACGGTGAATTCATGGAATTGAAAAACTATTTTATTTCGATATTATTGGAGAAACACATGACTTCTGATCATGTCATTGATACATTATTGATGATTGAACAATACTTGACAAAACAACCCTCTCATTCCATCATGACTAAGTTGAAGAATTATTGTTTGGAATTTGTTCAAATCAAATTAAGAGAAGGATTGAATATTATGACAGACCCAAGACTCATTCCTTACAATGTTGAAATTCTTGAAAAGTGTTCAATTACAAAGATATCTCCCATCGTTCTTGAAGAGTCAACTGAAAATACAATATCACCAAACGAAATGATCAAGTCATTGTGGAATGACAAACGTACGAGTGATATTCGAATCAAACTCTCTCATAAGAACGACAATTCATTCATTTATGGTCATCGAACCATATTGAGTTCTCGTGGAAAACTTTTTGAAGCCATGTTCAACAGTGGATATGAATTGGAAGATCTGAAATATGATGAAAAAGATGAAATTTTGACACTCATTCCTTCCACACCTGAAGATGCAATGAATTTGGAATATATTGTCAAATATTGTTATGATCAATTGGAGCAGATTGAACCAGAACATGCCATTTCTCTCATTTTAACAGCTTCAGCGAATGAAATGTCAGAATTAGTTTCTCTTGCATTCAAATCCATTCAAATTGATAGCAATAATTATTTTGAAATTGCCAATTCATTGGATTTTGAAAATGATTTATTTTCAGAAGTGATTCAAATCATGATTGATTTTGGAGTGAATCACAGACATGAATTATTCAAAGAAAATTCTGATCTTGATCAATTACCTGCTTCTCTTTCACTCAAATTGTTGAGAGAGTTTGAAAACTTGTAATTATTAGCTCTGACTTCTCGGCTCCACTAAAAAGTTAACTTGTATATTTATTATATTGAAAATATTATATATTCCATAGTGTGAAGCAAGCAAGCACCAACTGTGATCAAATCAGTTGTTGATTAACTTGCCTTTGAAGAAATATCTGAACGTTTACACCTAATTGCGTAACTACTTTTCCATTAAATTGAAGCATGGTTTTGATGCTCCATCTGTGAATATTAAAACCAAAACCTTATTTCAGCTGATATTTCTATTGACCTCATCACAACTTAAAATGCCGTTGGAAGTTTTGAGCAATAATCAATGAATTAGAAAAATTATGAAAATTGGAAATGGTTGGAAATGGCATAATCGTTAGGATAATTTTTCAAATGTTCTTTGAGAATGTTTTCAGACTTGATTATCCATTGCTTTATTTCCAATCAACTGAATGGACGATTCAAGGAAAGAAAAAGCCGCCTCAAAGTCCTTAAACCTAGAACTTGCTTTTTGTTGCTCCAATTCGTATATTCATTCTATTGACACAATATTATTCTGGACACACTGTGCCAAACGTTATACCTTGCAACGGAATAAATGGTAATCTTGGGGAACAAGTTCTGGCTTGAGCTTAATACGGGATGTTAGCTGAGGTTTTTTAAGCATCAGAAGTTCCTTTTTCTTGGCTCATCCTTAATGACGTTAGTGACATTGTCACAATAGGACATTGCATCTAGTTTACCTGTATTCAAGTAAATTAGTAAAGACCCATCTTACAATCGCTTGCTGAACTTTAAATAATTCGACGGTATGTAATAGTTTGCAACCAGATAAAATTTTTGCTTCATGGTCACCTTTCGAATTAATCAAAGCATCGGCAACATTCTCCAAATCCACTACGCTAAGTTCAACTCCAGTAATGACGTTATTTGGTAATCCCATTCCCCCATTTTTCTTGGTGGTGGTCAAAAGTATCGAAATTGCTTTTTCTGGCCATTCGCTACAATCCGATTTATCTAGGACAAATGAATCAATTTTCATGGTTCCGCTTTGTCTTTGCAACTTTGAGGTCGATGCAGTCGGGACATGTTCGTGCTTCCTAGTCCTCTTGGATATTTGGATTTCTTTTTCTTCTTTCTGAGAGTCGACACTTTTATAGTCAGATACTTGCTCCATTAACTCTGAGATGTCAAGAACAGCTTTAACAATATCCCATGAAATTTGATCTTGGTGAGGTAGTTGAAAAGAAGGAACGCTTGTAGTGTCATCACTGCTGCCAGTAGCGGGGTTATAATCCACACTAGTAATGATTTTAAATCCTATATCTCTTCTTCTTTCGATCAAATCAAAACTAATCAGGTCATACATGCTGAATTCCTTGTCGATACAAGAGAGAAACTTGTTTAGGTATCTATGATGATTTGCTTCACAAACAATTAGCACACAAGAACGAACAACAACGGAAGCAAAAGTTTCAATATCATGAACAATGGTCTCTAGTGCTCGTCTTTGTACGTATCCATTGACTTTACAAACCGCTGCTATTCCTTTTATTTTCCGTTTTGCACCCAATTCGGATGGTATTCCAACCTCCAAGCAAACAGCCCAATGTGTGAGGAGGTTGCTACTACTGCTCAATTTGTTTCTCCAGGACAGGTTTTGAGGCATTTTTTAAGGCGTGGTTTTTATCAAATACTCTCTGCCTCTCTCCTAAAAACGATTTGAAAATGCGAAGCAGCACAAAATAAAGCCACAATTTACTACCAACAAGTCAATATAATCAACAGGCTGTACCTAGAAAACCTTTATTCATTCTTTGAATCATACAACTTCTTTTGGAGGTCAATATCATTAAATATTCTTCTTCGATTCCTTACTACTCATAGAATTAGTTTTTGAGCACCTTGTGTGCGTTGGGTCTTTTTCCCCTGGCTTCCATTGAGAGTTTGCTTGCCAGATCAGCACTTTGTTGGATTTGTTTTGTTCAAATTGTTGATTTAAATTACCCAAAGTCGTTAAAAGGCGGGTCCATTTTCATTTCGAGTAACATCGCATTCATTCAGACAACGCTGGACGGCTTCCAAAAGGTGTTCTTGCTCACTAGGATCAATGGTTAAACTTTAAACATTCTACTTGATTTTGCTAAATCTTAAAAAGACTTCACTCAGAACCATTCGGATCTCAAAACGAGGGCTTAATATCATTTTAGAAAGTATTTCATCTAATTGGTTCCAGTAAATACAGAACAATTTTTGAGGGAGAGTTTGCAAACTTCTCAAACACATTAACACAAGAGGAATTATTGCATTCACTATATATCCATCTTGTCATTACCTTGATCTCGTTCTAAATAAAACGTTAATACTTGTTTAACAGTTTGAATAAATCTGTGGACCCCAAAGCCTACTATTTCTGACTCGGCATTGTCTTGATATAATGAAAGTATTTGAGAAAATATTCTTAATAATGTCAGCCATACTTCTGTTTCAACATTAATCTTGTTATTAGATGTTGTAGTGTATTCCAAACCTTCCAAAATTGTCACAAACAACGGAATATATTCATATGATTGATTTTCAAATAAAAACGAGAGTATTCGATCAATTCCTTTGGTTATGTGAATAAGGGACTCGACGAGATTCGTGTTTTGGCCATTCTGTTTTGACACAATCTCTGCTAGTAAATGTTGCATCTGCTGCCAATGACGGTCTTGAAACTTTCCGCCACATGTTGCTAATAGTATTTGGATGTTTTCAGTTCCAACTTCAAAAATTTTGCTGTTGCTTGAATGTTCTACGGAGTTGGATGTGTAGCATTGCCTAATTAACCTCAATATGGATGAAAATAGATCAATAGAAAAGTCTGAAGAGAAATTTTGGTCTAGCACTGAGACAAGTACTTTGAAGGCATTTCTACTCGTACAATCAATCCAACCATTGTCAAGAACACCTTCGCTTCCACTCGAAAGATGGTCAAAAATTGGTAGTAATGCCCCATTCAACACCAATTTCCAAGCCTCTACTGAGAACCTGCCAATAATGGCCTTATCGTGTAATAGGGATTGTAGTGACATCAATGCAGCAGAGCGAATGTCTTCCCTATAATCAGCACTGACCAGAGATGAAAGACATGCTAAAATTGGGATCCAATTTGTCACGTCTTCGCCTGCCATTTCCATTGTTGCAAGCGTATTGGCACAGTCTTGAATGAGAGAAATAGCCTTCAAACAGGTATCCGTGACGGAAATGTTGTTTTGACCAAAGGCCTTCAAACAAAATACCAAATCTACAAAGCATGAATTTTTGAGAATCCACAACAGGTATTTACATCTGCTCTCGTGTTTGTCGAAAAAGCAGAGCAGCCTGTCAAAGGAAGCTTGTACTATTTCCATTTGTTTGCTTGTTGCAGCAACCGAAAATATATGAATCCATGATTTGCAACCTGTTGTAATGAAAGAAGTTTTTGTTAAAGCTAACGTGACTATACATTCTATGGCCATCACTTGAATTTCTACTGAACTACTTTGCTGCACAATGACAGTGTACGGTCTAAGCATCTCTTGTTGAAAGTCCGAGAGAGAACCAATTTCAATGAGTTTGAGTATCAATTGACGCAGAGTATCCACAGCATACATGGCAAGAGTAGTGTCCTGATGTGTTGCAACACCAATAAAAAAGTTACTGATGACATTCCAAATTCTACACCACAACTTATCCATTCGGAACATGTTAAGGTAACATGTTTCAATAATTTTGTTAAGGCAAAATATATGACGTTGAGTCTCATTTGCATGTCCTTTACATTGAAGAGAACAAAGAGCCTTCACATAGTGTTCAATAGACAATTCATCCATCTTTTCATTGTTATTACTGAATATTCTGTCAATGGTAGCTTGATCGACATGTTGAGTGAACAATATTGCCATGTTATCAATTCCAGAAATTTGAATGAATATGTCGTTGTTGATGGATGAAGAGAGTATTCTATCCACTTGATAAAACACTTCCATTACACCGCTCCAGCTCTCTAAAATAAAATTTACATTTGTTTCTAAAATGTCCAAAATAAGCTTGAGGGCAACAAGGTTCTTCTCACTCATATCAAAACTGTCTTTACGGTTCAGTAAGGATGTAAAAGTACATAATGTTTTCAGGTACTCATTTCGAGGTATTGGAGCTTCAAGGTCAATTGATAGTTGAATTGCAGCTTTCAATGACTTCAACACCAAATGATGAGTTTTCAGATTTGTTTCAAATAGAGAAATGAATGACTGATGGAAATATTTCCAAATACAATTGAAAAGAGCTTGTGAGACACAAATTTGAGTGAATGATGACGATTCAATCTGAATCAAAGTGTCTTCTTCCATTGAACAGCATTTTGATTTCAAAATCCCTCTCATGACTTTCTCAATATTACCATTTCCTACACTGATATCATCTTTTAGAGAATCAAAAACGGACATGTCATCTTCTGTGAGTGTAAATTCATGTGCTTTCAAGTCATTGAAAACACGTTCCTGTATTTTGTGATCTATACTTGCAGCATCTGTTAACGAATTTCGTTGAATAAAGGACTCGAGGGTGGTGTTGTGAATATTTTTCACAGCCGCATTGTGTAGTTCAGAATTGAGCATTACAACGGATATAGTAAATACATAGCAAGCATCGGGAGTGTGAAACATTTCATCGATGATTTGAGGATTATCGTGAACATACTTATCAGAAAAAGCTGATAGGACTCGGTGAATTTCCTGACTTTCTTTTGGCAGCATGAACAGGTCAAGACATTTTCTGAGAGCCTTCTCAAACAACATTCCAGAAAAGGATTGCAATTCAATGAACTTGATCAAAGCTCCTACATGGTCAGGAGATGCAAAATACTCACCAATCGCATGCTTTGAAAAACCTTGCGTAGTATGTAACAGGCGGGCTAAAGCTGTTTCAAAAACGTCCTTATTCAAGGACGGGTCCGGTAATTGTTCAATTTGTATAAAATACTTAATTCCTCTCTTTGGGTTCTCATTGAATCGAGAAATCCCTTCATGAATGGTACTCTTGTCTCGTTTTTGTTGTTCTAGTTTATCGTGTAATTGTTTGCGTTGCTGTTGCATTAACGTGAGAGACATATTTTTCACACATGTTTGCAAACAAGTTAATATTTGGTTCAATGCTTTAAATGCAATGGTTTTCATGTAGATGGTTTGAGTGAGGGTAACTGCAGAGGTATTTTCCACTGATGTAATTTGCATTTGGGTAACATTAGTAAGGGAAGCAACAAGTCTCTCGACAATATTTAACATGCCGACCTGACAATCGAAATTTAAAAAAAGACAATGTATAAAGTCAGAGTTGTGAGTAGCAAATAGATGAGTCAAAAATTTGATGATTGAGATTTTCTGCGAATGTGTGACACCACTACTATTCATCATTCGGGTTAAATTGGCAAAAAATAAATGTATCTCATGTTTGAGAGAGTAGCCAAATGTGATGAGTACTTGATGAAAAACTTTTAACACAAGAGAAAATATTGTATAGCTAGAGCTTAGTGAATTCATCAGCAACGATGTAAATAAATTTGGTTTCACATTGTCAAATAGAGAAACGTGAGCACTGTGGGTCAATAATTGACCACTGTTTTCAAAAACATCCAATAATAATTCCAAATAAATGGATCTTGTTTTTTCTTCAAGCTTGGCACTAGTGGTTTTTCAGAGTTGTTATGTCAAATTTCCTCACATCAGAACTTACTTGTTGGATAATGTTTTCATAGACATTTTACATAGAGAATGTAAAATAAACATGACATCATTTTGGATTTGAGAATACTCATTGGGAATATTCCAATCATCCAACTTGGTTGAATCATTTTGATCCAACGCTGTTGGAGTTGTATTTTTTGTCACGGTGGGAGTCATATTACAGGTCGCTGATAGTAGTGGCTCGACATTGGTTTCTTCCTCTTGATTCAAGTTTTGTTTTTCAATGATTTCATTTGCTGCTTCTTCAATAATAATGTCAACAAACTCTTCAATACAATGGCTTGCGGACGAAGTGTAATTAGAAACTACGGACTCAGAGTCCGAATGTATCAAAGAGTCTTCACTCAGTCTCTTGAACACAATATTGAGAATTTGTTTAAGGACAGATTTTGGGTTGTTTTCATCCTTTGAAACAAACATGATATTTAAGCACGTTTTGATTCCTAACATTAAACTCTTTCCGGAAAGGTTGCAACATGTGACTGCAGTCAGAATAGTTTTCAATGTTTGTAAATGAATGTTTTCATCTTGACGTAACTCAAAACATGACGCTATTGCTTGAAGGAGTCTGACGTCCGAGAGATGGTGGAATTTGCATTTGCTGTCATTATTGGAATTCACAACACTTGTGCATGTCAATAATCCTAACTCCATTAACTTTTGAATACAACTCAATGTTTGCCGAATTAAATTCGAGTGTTGTTTGCAATTTTGACATGCATACTCGAGAGGTCTGAAATAATCATTGATGTTTTTCAACACGTCATGCTCAAGTGAATCGTTGCATGATAAAGTACTCGATACATTTTCCAAACGTTTCATGTTTTCTTAAAAAGAAATATGTATCACATCCAATGTGCTCCAAAACATACCAATGATTTGCCCAAGCTCTTTCTTCAATTCAGAATGCTTTTTCGGAACACTAGACCATACATTTTCAAAAGCAAGCCTCAACATGCTACCAGTTGTGGATGGTTGAATATTGGATGATTTTGTTGTATTAGAGGACGGGGATGTCGAATATGACGATCGAAGTAAATGAAACATTTTTTATCACGTAAGTGATACGAAGAGATCCTTGTTATATTTTTAAAACACTGCTAGATTCATCATCATGAGGATGAAAATGCAAATATTTCTTAAAAAGTTCAACTGCCACGTATTGACATGTTGTAATCAACGTATCTGTGTTGGGATAAGCGAGCCATCTATTGGAAGGGTGCTGTTCCGACAGCTTTTTATCAATTAAACTTGGAGATTGCACCAGGTTTTTTAATTAACAATATTTTTTTACATTTAATTGTGTGAGTTAAATTGCAAATGCACACCACACCAGTTTTATTGTACCATCTCATCTTCTTCATCGTTTTCATCACCATCCTCTTCGTCATCGCTCTCATCTTTATCTGTGCCAGTCATGGTGAAATTCTCAAGATCTGCATCAAAGGCAGTTAACATGGCTTCCTCTTCCTCTTGAATAATCATTTCAGGTGACATGATCGTAGAAGAATGATCTCCTCGAGTAGTGGTTAATGTAGATTGTGAACTCTCAGAAGCAGTATTATTCGAAGAAGGAACCATCAAATCTCCAGATCCTGTCAACACTTGTTGTTGTTGTTGTTGCAATTTCAACTTCTTTCTCTGCTCTTTCTTTTCTTGTCTTTTTCGTTCCTTGTATTTCTTTAAGGTACCCACCAAACTCTTATTCGAAATATTTCGCCCTGAAGTGAGATCATTATAGAGAGTGGCAGAGAGATCGAGTTTGTGAGCCTCTTCTTTGCCCATACATTCTACCACAGTTTTCCAGACAGGATCTTCGGGACTAATTTCTGGTATTTGTCCATTAATATGTTTTCGAATGTATTCATTGAACCCTTTCATCATACCTTTCGCTCTGTCCATTCGAAGCATGTTGATGGCAGGTCTTGCATTTCCTCCAACATCTAGTAAGTGAATTTGTGAAATAATGGTTCGGTGTGAATCTAATTTCTTGATTTGGTAAAACTGAAAATCTCGAATGTCAATGAGCTTTTTACCTTCATTCACATTCTTGCCATCTTTGTAAAATCTTTCATGTTCACACGGTTTATACAACAATGTCAATTTTTGTTCATTCTTGTCATAGTATGAGGTGCAAGCGCTCAAGAAACTTCGTTTGGTTTTGAAGGGGAATGGAAAACAAACTCCGTAACGAATTATGGAAACGGATCGTTTACCTCGTTTGAATTTCTCGTTGGGATACATCTTTTTCAGAGCTTCAAAATCATAATACGCAAGTTCGTCGCAACTGGTAATATTGGGATCGTATCGGTGCACGTGAAATCCTGGCATGCAACATTGACGAACGGCCTTATTGGTAAAAATTAAGCAATCGATTTGGGAGTCGCACAAATCAAGAGTTAACAATCGGAGTAAAGACATTTGGTTACTACTTACATCCTGTTATTAATTGTAAAATTCGAATGGTTGTCATGAAAATTATGAAAAATTACATGAAAAAAATGTTATCAACCATGATGTACTACTACTTACAAAAGGATGTGGTAAAATTCCCCACCACTTATTCGTTTGCATCTTTTGATAAATTCCAACATTAGGAAAGAGCATCTTTCCAGAAATTTTGTACACATTAATACTTGGTTCTTTCGTAGATCCAATTAATTTCCAATTATAATCATCCCGTGCCAAATATTCCATAAATTCAATATCTCGATCAAAGACCATTGGCAACTTGAAATCATCATCCGTGTAGGGAAAATAGGTGGCTTCCTTCAATCGACCAATCTTATTCAAATAGGTCACACCTTGTTGCTGTACACATTTGAGCCACAATTCACTTCTCACAAATCGAGGAAAACTGTCATTTTCCAATTCGAAAAGAACTGAATTTTTCACAGTTCTAAATAGCAAGTGAGGTAATTGTGGCAAGACCCACTCATCAAAATTTTGGTATTGCTTGTATTGCCAAAATAAATTGACATAGGTCGTCTTGTCACGAGAGGAAATGTTAATTTCCTTTTTTGAATCTTCCTCAATAAATTCTTTCATAATTTTTATGGCACTCATGATGATTTTTCGCTTCATACTGTTGATACTTTCTTGTTTGGAACGAGGTGTATTCATTGGAAGTGCCATTCGAGAAAGAGCTGAAGGAGTAACTTCTTCAGAATTTGCATTTCGTTGTTCTTGCCCATGGCTATCATTTTGTTGGTGAGGAATTGGTGAGCTGGAATTTTGCGTGTCATCTATTGCTGCTGTTGATTCTTGTGGTGTTACTGAGGAGTTCACTAAATTTGAACAAGTATCGGAAATTTCGTCTTCCTTCTTGGTCAATGCACTCAATTTTAAACTCAATCGTGGCAAACTTGGAGCTGGGTTACTAGAACTGACCTCACTCAAGTCGCCACTTTGATCCAAACTAGATGTACTATTCTGAGCTCGAGCTGTTCTCGATTCACCTTGATTCATCGTTGGGGATCCCAAGAGTGGACTCTTCTGCGAGGCCGATTGAAAATGTGTACTGTCCTTATTCTTTCCAAAGAATGATAAAATCAACGATTGTACGCTAGAAGCTTGAGTGAGATTGTTACTACTGCTGCTACCACTAGAATTCATTCCTCCTCCACTATTATTGCTGCCGCTACTAGTCAAACTCTTAATCACTCTCATCAACTTGTAATAATCCATCTCTAATTCATTCACTTGTTGTACAAATTCTAATGGCTCTGTATTATGTTCCGTTTCGAGATAATTGTAAAAAGCTTTGAACATATTCTTGTCCGTAAAGATACGATGAAAATGGAAAATATAATCTTGAATAGTATTCATATTAATGGAAGAAGAGTTGGATTCTTGTTGGTTCACCGATGATGGTTGTGTATGAGAGGAAATACTTAGGGCACTTGATTTCTTGGATAACTTTTTCTTTTCCGATGATGAAGAGACTGGAATTTTGAAAACGACATCGTGAGGAGGGTTGGATGGTGAATCATCGGCTGCAACATCTTGATGGGCACTTGTTGTTTGATCTGTGGTTGTTGTCGTGGAGACTTGTTTCTTCTTTTGAAATCGGCTTAACATTCGAGCAGCTAGAGATTCTCTCCGAACCAAACTAGTGGGCTGAGAAGAAGAGGCTTGATGAGAAGAATGATCATGGGATAAAGGTCTTCTGAGATTCGAAGGTTGTTGCAACAATGATGGCTGTGATTCTTCTTTCTCTTCATGGATGGATGAAACAACTCCAACAGCTGTTGAAGTAGTGGTGGGTATGGATGTTGTTTTAAAATTTTCGTCATGATGATGATGGCTGGAGTCATTTACAACAAGAGCAGGAATAGACTCACTCGGTGGAGTCGAATCATTGGAAAGAGTAGTTGAAGCAGAATTGGGAATAATACCTGCCGAAGAGGGTGTTGTACTCGTCGTGGTCATCATGGATGTTGTTGTTGCTGATGATGAATCAAGAACAAGTGTTTCTTCTTTTGAAACCATAAGCACTTGCTGTTGAGTTGAAGAGGTCTGTGTTTCGTCTTGCATTTTGTTATATATTGTTGTTGTTGTTGTAATTGTTTTGTACTGATTGCAACTGTTCTGCATAACAATCGAAAGTCTTAATTCGTGAATGGCTGACTGTTCATGTACAAGAATTGTTGGCAAGGCAACGGTACAAGAGTATATGGTATTAATTAGGAACATTCCATATAATCACACGATGTTGTTGTTGAATATTGTGTCAACACATTAGAAGAAATTGGAAATCAAACCATTTTTCATCATCATCGAAATTCAATCCTTCTTAAATATCTTCAAAAACAACAAACCTTTTCAATCCACACTCTCTCGACAACACCAACAAGAAATTGATCTCAACAAAATCTCTCGAGATGGTCTTTTTCTAGATGTTAACACAATTTCCCACTGCAATGATCAATATATTGGCTCCACCTTTCGAAATCAACCACACACAAAAACGTTTGTGAGATTGTCGTTAAATTATTATTATGTACTGCCAACAAGTTCACGTTCGTTGAATGCAAAATGGTGCTGAAAGGTTTTTATGAAAGCACAGATTTGTGTGGATCTGCACTGCAATTTTTTTAATGAGTGAGTGAACGGAAAAGGAATGGCTCGGTATTATTTGGGTTAATGACATGATTAAATGTTTTTGATGTGCTGACTTTTGGGTTCACACACGCTTCAACAGGAGGTTTTTCATGATACCAAATGACAAGCTTCAAGAGAAAATCAAGACGCATTGAAAGAAGGGATGATGATGCTTGTGTTGTGGCATGCTCTTAATCAAAGATTTTCAATTTGCTCTTTTTGCAACAGCTGAAAATGTCACTTGTCATTTCCAACACCAATCAAGAAAAAAATTAGCGAAGCGCCCTTTGTGGTGTTATCCATCAGTACTCTTCTAGTCCAAACAAAAACATCATAATGTCCTCGACCACCATTACTTCATCTCCTATTTCCTCTCCACAACAACAACAACAACAACAACGAGCGTCAAGTACTCCTCCTTCCATTTCCTCTCCATACACAAGTCCGAGTCAACAATCATCATCTCCTCGTTTATTAAATAATTCCTCTCCATCTTCATCCAATAATTCTAATAATAATTTCAATAATAACAATTCTACTACTGGCCATTCGAATCATTCACAAACATCCGAATTAACATCACCAACGACACCCCGACAGTTTTTATCTGATTTTAATGACATTGACATTCCAAAGGTGGCTCAATTTTTTGAAAATGATTCATTGAGTGTGTTGGAAGAAGATACTTGGAAGGAAATGTTATTGTGTTGTTTTGTACCATCTTCGCAACAATTGACTTTTAAACGAAAAAAGTATTCATTTGGAAAGAAGAGTCAATTATTGGGAGGAAATTCTTCTCATCCATTGACGATGAACGAGACACAAAATGATGTCATAAAAGTCATGAAAGGATTAGATAACACGTCGAAAGGAACAGCATTGATGGATTTGAGCGGATTGCATCATATTTCTAGCAAGTCGCTTTTCAGATTGAAACAATTATTGTATTATAGATTTTTCTTCTATTCGATTCAAAACTATGCATTGGGAAATGTCACACCAACCGAACAATCCAATGCTTCAGGTACTCCTCACCATCATCATCAAACCTCTTCGAGCTCTTCCTCTCAATTTCTAAGTCCAAATTCATTATCTACAAATACTAGAAACTCAATTCGATTGGCTCGTAGTAGTACTCGATTCGGAGAAGGTGGAATTTCACATGCTCTCGGAAGCGAAGCCACTCATTTGGAAATGTCAAAAAAAGAATTTTCAGCCATGAAAGAAGAACAACTCGATGCATGGAAACAATTTAAATTTACAACCAATCCTGCATTGAAACCCATGTGGGTCAAATTCTTGACATCGACTCGTTTTACACCCATTCAAAAATGTTCACTCATGCATTTAGCTTCCAAGTATAACCAGAGCTTAATTTTGGAATGGTTGTTTGATGAGTGTGGAAATGAGTCACTCTTTGCTGTAGATACCATGAAAATGACTCCTCTCTTTTATACGTCATTCTTTAACGCAACTGAAAGTTGTGCATTTTTATGTACAAAAATTAAGAATGCATCCATGCCTTCACGTCAACGCAAGCAATCGAATGAACAAACTTCATCCACAGGTAGAAAACCCTTCTTCAAATCAAAATCAGATTCTCCAACAACATCGAATAATTCAACTTTCCAAAATTCAAATGCACTCGAAAAGATCATTCAACAAGTTGATGATGAATATGGATACAATGTTTTCTATGTTGCTCTCAAGAGAGGTTGTTTTGCAGTGTGTGACATGTTAATTTTATTTGGAGCTACTCTTGATACGACCATTCGAGGAGGAGAGACCATGTTGCATCGAGCATGTTTTGAACTACCACTCGATCGAATTGTTTATTTAATTCAGAAAGGAGCTGTCTTGTTAAAAAAGGATCAAAAAGGATGCATGCCATTGTTTAATTTAATTGGAAGAGAAATTGAAGCAGAGACAGTACCAACATCTACGGAACAACACAATCAGCTAGTGTCACCTCGAAAACTCACTCAAACTACTTCAACAACAACAACTGAGAATTATGTATCATCCAAAGACGTGACAAATTCTGAAGATCACACAACAAGCATGACTACTTCATCAACTCTACATGAAAACAAAATCGACGACCATTCATCCATATCTACAGCGAATGCAAACTCTTCAGGTGCAACACCGTCGGTTCAAGTTGAAGAGGATTCAACAATTATTGACGAGTTTTTAGAAAATCATTCTCCAATTGCTGAAAAACATGACAAGGATGCACAAATAACCATTACCGCAGCTGAAAATGAAAATGCAACAAATGTGGCTCACGTATTGAAACATTTGTCACCCAAGTTGAATGTTGAAGGAAATGTTTCACCTTCTTCGAGCGCTGATAGTTCAGATTCGATGGACATCTTTAGAGAACTCGATGAAATGTTTATGAGTGAAACTGGACAAGTCGATTATCAAGTGAAAAACAAACTCTTGACCAGTGACAACCGTAAAAAGAGAGAACCTGTCAAACTTCCAACAGCTCTCAAAATGCGTTCCAATTCTCTCAATGCCATTTCTGCAGGATATACACCTCCCGGATTATTGGAAGACATCAAACTACGATCGTCACCCATTGTCATTCCAACAAGCAATGTCTCTTCCCAAACCAATTCCAATAACAGCAATACTGGAAGTAGCAACAAGACTCTAAGTACTGTATCTGCATCGTCAACGACTTCTTCATCCAATCTTTCACCAAATAATGGCTCCCGTTTTCCAAATCACATTTCCCACTGCTTGCAAGATGAATTTTCTCTCAAAAAGAATATCATGTTTAAGGCCATGGAACAATTGGTACCACAAATGGGATGGAGTTCTAAAACTCTCATTCTTGCAGCAAAGAAATTTTATGGTTTGAGTGAACAAGAAGCACGTGATTTGTTTTATAATGAAGCTTCTGTCATGACTACGAAATTAATGGCAAGTGCAAGTCGAGGAGAAAATGTTACGGCAAAGAGTGATTCTAATCATGCATCAAATCCAAGTAGCTCCTCTTTAGAAAATTCCAATTCAGACGCTTCTGCCGCGTCTGCTCCACAAGCATTGCCATTTCCAAGACCCACGGCCATTACTCCTTCACATCAAAATATTTTGACACGAAAACATCCATTATTGGAAATGATATTGCCCTACATTTCGAGAGAACAATTTTGTAAAACTCTCAAATCTCAAAATTATCATGGAAGAAATATTTTGCATGAATGTGTCATTAAGGGAGACTTGAAAACAATGCAATTAATTGTGAATGATTTATTACAACCTCGAAAGAGTACTCTAGGTTCAGCGTTGAAAGTTCTTTCTCACAAAAATTCACATCAACAGCTTGTCGAATTGTCAAACGAACAAAAATTATTGGAAAAGCAACGCTACGATGAAGAGTCCATGGAGAATATTTTTATTTTACATGATTTGTTGATAGAAGTGGATAATGACAAGTCACAAACTTGTCTTGCCTATGCTTGTGCAGAGGGAAACTCGTTTGCTGTGAAATATCTCATCTCAGTGTATAATATTGTTGGAGTTCAAATGATGAAGACACCACCTCCAAGATCATCAAATTCTTCTTCGACGTCGTCTCTTACCTCTCATTCACAATCGGTTTCATTGTTGTCTCCAAGAAGCAATGACGGTACAGCGTCAACAATATCAGCAGCATCCCCTTCATCCACTTTTTCTCAAAAGAGTTCATCCACCATGAATTTGGATCAAAAATCAACAAAAACTTTATTGTACAAGGTGTTGCACATGAAAAATAAGCATGGTAAAACACCTTTGGAAATTGCCAAATCATCACATGGTAATCTTCCATGTGAAGATATTATTGAAATGTTAGCGACAGCATTGGAGAAGAGTGGAACTCAAAATGGTGATAGCTCTTCGTCATTCCAAATTTTCAAAAGAAAGAAAAACAAGCAATAAATTTTCAACATTATCCAATTCAAACTTGAAACTTGTTTTTGAAAAAGTCAAAAATTCTAATTGAACTCAATTCTTGTTTCCAACAAACGGTTGTTCTACTACACGTAAGAATACAAATGACTTTCACAATATTTGGCAAGTTCTTTTTCATATTTTTCTCGTTGGTCCTCGACAGTCTTGACATAGTGTAAACTCATGACACATTTCATGCTTTTGTATTCTTTTTCATCTCTTGTCCAATAGGCTTGAACAAATTCTCGGGCATGTTGAATGTTCAATCCTGCATGCTTGAAACATTTTTCAATTCGATGATCTGTGGCATTGAAGTTTACAAGCAACAATTATCATTTCAGGTTTGATGAACAATTAAAAATAATGTCCAATCAATTAATCAATATATTACTAACCTCCATTCAATCCAATATCCCAATCTCCTCCTTTTTTAGTATAATCCACACACTGCTTAATATGTCTTTGCAACATTTCTTTCACTCGATGATTAAACATCAAACCAGGTCCACCCATAAATCCCTGTCTACTATCTCCCAAGGCAAGAGGACAAAAATTCGTCCATTGTCCATAATATTGAAAGAAATTTCCCAAACAATGTGTATCCACATATGAATCCGTATCGACCACAAAATACCAAGGTGAAGAAAATCGTTCCAATACATATTTCAGTGCATAGATAAACGCCGATTGACTTCGTTTCCATTCATTGGACCAATCATCAAATGCTGAATTAACTTTCATGGAAATGGTATTGGGATGGACATGTTCGAAAATATTCACAAAATATTTCTCCACCAAGTCCAATGAATATTCATCGAGATATAGATCTGCCTCATGATGATCATTCAAATGTTCATTCTTCTGTTCAACAATCATTGAAGAATTGTTACTGATTGAATCTTGTTGTTTTTTCACAAGTTTCTCAATTTCTGCATGGGTCATTCCATATTCGGCCATGAAAAATTCTTTACCTTTCCAAAACAGTGGTTCATAATCGGCATTCGTTGTCAATTCATGACGTTTAGGAATGGGATCCAAAACAAACACTCGTTTATGCTCAAAATTTAAAAGCCATCCCATTCTCAACATGGACAGTGTTAAATTCATATATCGAGGTTGAATGGAACTCATGACTCCAACACTCATGTAATGAATGTATTGTGTTTCATCGACGGATCGTTTTTTATGGAATTTCATGTCATGCATGCATTTGGATTTGAGAGAGTCCAATACGAGTCGAATGGTAGTGGAATTGTTGACGACAACATGACCTGATGATTGTGGAGTCGACGATATTAATGTTGTTTCAGTAGTAGTGGTTGGATGGTCTTTCGATGGTAAAGGGTCATCCATTTTGCTCGGATGAAGAGGACCACCATCATTTCTTTCATGACATTTTGGAGATGAAGGTTGAAGGTTGACATCGAATGGTTGGGATTGTACAGTATGTTCTTGCTGCTGCTGTTCTAATAATTGATTAATCTGTAGACTCATTTCTTCAATTTTTTGAGTGAGCTGTTGAATTTCCATATCGAGATGATTAGAATTTCTCTTACTCGATGATGACTGATGATAAATAAAGATGACATTGCACACAATGAATAGAATGAGTAGAAGGAGAATGAGTGTGAAAGAGGACGAGGATTTCATTGAAAGTGAGAAGAAAGAGGAGAGAGGCCATGATGTGGAGGCATTCTTGGAGTGATTGGTATTGAGTGTCATGATGATGTTGGGTATTTTTGTTGTTTACCCCCTTGCGTGAAATCTGGTCGCATTAAATTATTTGTGTCCGCTATCATAATCGATGTTGATTTCTGTAATTGGAAATTATGGTGTCAAATTGCTGACAAGAGCTCTGTGGTTCAATAACTCTAAAATTTTCGTCACCACTGCAATGACAGCGTTTAGGAAGTTGAGATTGTTTGGTTCGACAGTCAAGACCGTTGTTCGATTCCTGAATTCTTTCAAATGTGAACCAAGTTTTTAAATTTCAAAATTTGTATCTTTCGTAGTAGTCAAATAATGAATAGTAGATAGTGGATATAAGAGATTGAAACTATTTGTCAGTTGTTCTTTAACTAATTCATCCATTCTTTGTCTGCCAAAACGATAGAAGTACAAGTGCTAATACTTAGAGCGTGGTAGTTCCAGTGTTTGAAAATTGTTCTTAATCGAGTGATATGATTTTTGAGTTGGTCCAATTGACTTAATGGAATTTTCTCGAGCCCAATCTCTTTGAACTTGTTTTAATTTGCTACTTTTTCATGTTCCAATCGATGTTGGATTAAACGTAATAAATTTTAAATTAAAATCTTTTCTACAATGAACCAAAATTGCCTCCATGATCTACATTTTCATAAGCACTCTTTAAATGTTGTTGGAAAATGATGGCTTTGCTCCCGAGAGCATAATATCATAGTTGGAGAATTGTAACAATTTTCATCATCAAAGGCTCTTATTAAATTTTCACCCGTGGAATTGTTTTACTGCAGAATCCAACGCTCGTTTTGCACCCCGCTCGTTTTTTTGTAATGTTCAAAAAAAATAGAACACGCACGAACGAAATTCTTCTCACACTTTTGTTTTTCGCTTACCCTTCTCCCAACAGCAGTACACAACAACCATTTAACTTATATACAATCCCGAATCCACATTCACTAGTATTGAATCAACATTAACATGTCTGATAGCGAGGATAGCACATCTACAGGTGGCGGAGAACAAGTGATTGAAGACGTTTCTGACGAAAGCCATGATCCAACATCAAACAACGACGATAACATCATGCAAGATGATGAGGAATCAGAACCCGAAATCTCATCAAAACCAACACGTAATACAACAACACGTACAACACGAGGGTCATCACGAGCGGTATGTTTTTCCATCAAGTATTTGTTATTAATTTACTAAATTTATGTCATTAATTTGAAAATTCCAACTCTGATTAGAATTACAAAGAATCAAGTTCAGACGAAGAAGAGAATGAAAACCAAGACACTATCGAAGACGATGAAGAAATCATTTCGACAACCACGACACCCGTTCGTTCTCGAAGGTCAAGAGCTGAACCAAAGGTATGTGCTCTTCTGATGATGATCTTGTTCACACCTTATACTCTTTATTTACCTTATATACATTATGTTTACAATACACTATTGCTCATGATTCATCCTTTCATAATTATTTGATATCATGATGATGATGTTTATTAATAACGAATTGATGATTCCATCATCATCACGGCAACCACCATCATCACCACCAAAACCATCATCATCAACCTTCACACCATGACAACCTTCCTGACATATATTATGTTCTTTCATGATTCTCATTCACTGTGAATCGTGTTTTGTGTTGCCACACACCATCAGAATTACAACGTTGATGATGCTTTCAAACAATTAGAATCCGTGGTGGATGACGAGGAGCCAGAAGAATCAGATATACCGAAGAGGGCACGAAGATTTAGACGAAATCCTTCATCATCATCAGCCTCCTCATCTACTACTGGCACAACCACAGGACGAGTCGTACGGAGAGGAGCCAACAACAAATCTGCAGGTATTGGCGCTGGAGATTATGAGATCCCTAAGCGAGGTCTCAGAGAACGATCCAAAAAGGTCAACTATGCAGAGAACGATGAAGAAGAAGCTATGGAGGATGAAGAACAAACCATCCAAGATACCGCCACTCAAGAAGAAGGCTCCGAAAGTCAAATGGTCGTTGACGACGAGGAGGAAATTGTTCCAGTCAAAAGCAAAAGAACCGTTTCACGTACAGTTAAACGTGGTGGTGGAGGAGGAAACACGACCAAGACCCGAGCACGCACAGCGAGAGCCAAAAAGCCAGCACAACGAAAGAGAGTAGTCGACTCTGATGACGACGACGAAGAGGATGTTGATGACAATCTCACCAGCAGTGAAAGTTCCGATGATGATACCTCGGAAGACAACGAAGAAGATCATGCAGAGAATGAGATTGATGAAGGTCCAACTATTGTATTGGATGAAGACAAGGATGATGTCATTGAGGCCATCCTCGCATGTCGAGAACGCAAGCAAGAGGAAGAAGGTTTGGATGATGACGATGAGAATGCATCTGACGAACAGAATGGAGCATCTTCTTCCGACGGAAAGAAATCAACATCTAAAGGAGAAGTTGTGATTGAATACTTGTGTAAATATAAGAAAAAGTCCTACTTACATTGTGAGTGGATTCCTAGGTCGGAATTGGATGAGGACATTCAAACCAGGAACAAACTCAACCGATTCCACAAACAATACGATGTTAAATACTTTGAGGGATTGGAAGAATATTTCAATCCGGAATTTGTAGAAGTTGAACGCATCATTGATCGAGGTATTTGGGATGGCTCCGAGGTGTATCTTGTGAAATGGAAGGGTCTCTCATATGCCGAAGCAACATGGGAATTTGAAGAAAAGATTGAGGATAAGGATAAGATTGAGCAATATAAGAAATTTAACAAGATACCACCAGCCAATGAACGAAGAATTCCATCTAGGCCAGCTCCAAACAAATTCAAAAAGATGGAAGAGTCACCCTCATTTAAGGATGGCAATCAACTCAGAGAGTATCAATTGGAGGGTTTGAATTGGCTAGTTTTTTGTTGGTATCAACGAAGAAGTTCAATTCTTGCAGGTATGTTTGTGACAATTTTCTAATAATTTTGTTAACAACTTGTTTGTGCGGTGATTTTTATTATTATTAATGTTACTCGTTTACCAACTCTGAACCGTTTCATACGAAACTACAACAACCACAGACGAAATGGGTCTCGGTAAAACAGTACAAACAGTTGCCACTCTCGAATACTTGCGTGCCTTTGAAAACATCCGAGGTCCTTTCTTGATTGTAGCTCCATTATCTACCGTTGAACATTGGAGAAGAGAGTTCGAAAATTGGACTGACATGAATGTCATTGTCTTCCATGGCAATGTTGATGCAAGAAATATGATCAAGAATCATGAATTCTTTTATAAGGATCCAAAGACTGGAAAGCATGTCCATCAAAAGCTTTACAAATTCAATACACTCATTACCACATATGAAATTGTCATGGCTGAATCATCCTTCCTTTCAAAGATACCATGGCAATACCTTGTAGTGGATGAGGGTCATCGTCTCAAGAATCACACCTCTAAACTCACTCAAGTGTTAAAAACGTTCTCAGCAGGTCACAAATTACTGCTCACAGGTACACCCATTCAAAATAACTTGACTGAATTGTTCTCTCTACTCCAATTTCTTGACCCTGATACATTTTATGATTTGGACGAGTTTTCCGAAATGTACGGAGACTTGCAAGGTGAAGGTGGCTCAGAACGAGTGGAAGAGCTACACAAGTTAATCTCACCCTACATTTTGAGAAGATTGAAGGAGGACGTTGAAAAGAGTATTCCTCCCAAGGAAGAAATTGTAGTCGAAGTTGTTCCTACTTCCATTCAAAAAGCATACGAGCAAGCAATTTTCAAACGAAACAGAGAGTTCCTAATGAGAGGAGTCAGTAAGGCTCAAAACATTCCAAAGCTTACCAATGTTTTGATGGAATTGAGAAAGGTTTGCAACCATCCATTTTTGGTGAGTGGAGCAGAAGAGAATATCACTAGAGGAATGTCCGATACAGAAATTAACGAAGCTCTCATCAAATCATGCAGTAAAATGATTCTAGTGGACAAACTGCTGAAGAAACTCAGAGAAGGAGGACACAAGGTTCTCATTTTCAGTCAAATGGTACTCGTGCTGAACATTTTAGAAGATTACTTGAGATACAGAGGCTACACCTACGTTCGATTGGATGGTACCATCAAGGGATCTATTCGTCAACAAGCTATCGATCGATTCAATGACCCCAATATTGATACATTTGTATTCTTGGTCTCTACCAAAGCTGGTGGTGTAGGTATTAACTTGACCTCTGCAGATACAGTCATTATTTATGACAGCGATTGGAATCCTCAAAATGACCTTCAGGCCCAGGCCAGATGTCACCGTATTGGACAAACAAAAGAAGTCAAAGTATACCGATTACTCACCAAAAACACAAAAGAGAAGGAAATCTTTGAGCGTGCCTCCATGAAGTTGGGTCTCGATCGTGCCGTTCTCTCCTCGAACAATGAGTTTGTGCAATCGTCTTCAAAGGGTAGCACACAAAACAAACCTGCCCTTGAAAAGGAAGAATTGGAACTTTTACTCAGACATGGAGCTTACTCTGCTTTCAAAATTGATGATACAGAAGAACAGAAAATGTTGATGGATGAAGATATTGATACAATTATGGCTCGAACAGCAACAGTCGTGAGATATGACCAAGCCTCTCAAGGAGGTAGTGAAAATGCTGGTGCTCTTTCTAGTTTCTCAAAAGCAACATTCTGCTTCTCTGAAGATATGCAATGGGAGAACTTGTTGCCACGTGAGAAAACTGCCACAGGTCTAATGAAGCTACTCAGTGAAGACTCATCACTCGAGACAGACAAACAAAAGGAAGATTACATGAACGATGTAAAAGCTTTGGTAGATGCCAAAATTAACGAAATTGAAAAATTCCGCTATCATCCTGATGACGAACTCGCTACTCTTCTCACTCAAATGATGTATGCTAGATTATTGGATGCAGAGCACAAGGAGAAGGCAAAGGAGTGGTTAGCAATTTTGGAACAGCCACGACTTCGAAACGGTTCATCTAGAGACGAAGCCACTGAAGTTTCTGATACTGAAGATACCAAAGAATCCACCAAGAAAAAGACAGGCGGTTGGTACAAGGCTGAAAGACAACGATTCCAAAAGACACTTTTGGAAATTGGATGGGGTAAATGGGCCAGAATTCGTGAAAGCAAACTCCACAATCATTCCATTGAGGATATTCACTCTCTTGGAGAATGTTTTATTTCACAATTGGCAACTCTTATTGAGGGTGAAAAGGAAGTAGAGTTTTTGAAAATGCTTATCGACTCGGCTGCTGTTCCAGAGGAAACATCAGAGAATACTGATCAGTCTCTCAAGATTGATTTCAAGTCGAAGCCGATTCGAGCAGCTGACCATATCAAGATTCATTTACCTCATGATGAGGATTTATCAACTGCAAGCCTCGAAATTATCAAAGTCGCACAACACGAACATTCAGAAGATACAAAGCAAGCAAGAGTTTCCAAGAAAAAGAAGTCCAAATCTCAAGCCAGCTCTTCCAAGAGTTCCAAGAGCGACAAGAATATGTGTGTACGTTTCTATGAGCTCACTGAAAAGGATAAGGAAAAGCGAACTTGTGATTTGGCTGCACCTGGTTGTAGCGGTGAATACTTTGTGAGATTGAATCTTGCAACTGGCTCAAAAACTTCTCCTAGTTTTAATGTGAATGGTGTACATCCAGTACTTGAGGACAAGGAATGGATCGAGCAAGCCAAAAGAGGAGGCAAAACTTGGGTTAAAAAACTGAAATTCAACTTGTGCTTGACCAAGATTTTGGAAGCCTACAATGGTAAACTCACCACCGATAACATTCCAAAGGTAAATTTGAAACCTCCAACAGATTGGTGGGATAAAGAGTGTGACAGAGATTTGATGCTTGGATTTGAAATTCATGGCTACGGACGATTAGAACAAATCAAGGAGGATACTTCACTTTGCTTTAAGCAAAAGCATGATGACCATGTTGCAAAAGCAAAGAGTAGAAAAGAGAAGAAGGATGCCGATTCTTGGCCATCCATTGCAGCGATCAACAAGAGAGCCAACAAGCTCATGGAACTTCTCACGAAGGAGAAGGATATTTCAGCTCTTTCCATCCTCAAATCGGGTGATGACACAGATGAATTACATTTCGAGGATGAAGCTGAAATTGCTGAACCCAAGTCTATTGTAGAGTCATGGAGCAAGAGAGAGAAGGCAGATATTCAACGTGTATTGATGAATCACGGTTTATGTCCCAACGAAAGTACACACGAGCCAAATTTTGCTAAAATTATCTCGCTGGCTAATCTGCGAAAAACAGAGAGCGCAGTCAAGTCCTATGTTTCTCATTTTATCAAGTCTGCAAAGGCCATTACGAATGCTAGCTCTGGCGACGATGAGGACGAATCCGATGCTGAATCGAAGAAGAAGTCATCATCTTCGAACGAAAAGCTCACAGAGATACCTCCACAAACAGCCAAGAAAGTCTTGACTAGAATTGAACTCATGAATGGATTGTATACCCATGTTTACCCACATTGGGATGAATGTAAAACCAAATTCAGCTATCTCAAATCATCTGGTTTACCAAAGTGGTGGAAATCCGGACAACACGATAAGGAACTCGTCAGAGGAATTAAGAAGCATGGCTTTGACTTTAAGAAGATCTTTGAAGATAAGAATTTCAAGTTTGGCTCCAAAGAGCCTCCAAGAGACGGTCTTGTTATTGGAAGAATTGAAGAAATTGTTCAATTAAGCAGAAAAATTGGTGTTGTGGGCTCACCAACCAAATCCAAGGGGTGGAATTTCACACCAAAGAAGACTCATGTCACTCTCAAATCTCCTCCATTGGCAGAAAAGAAGGCTTCCTCGAGTAGCAGCAGCAGTGGCAGCAAACGAAAGGTCAAACGTCAAACAACACTTGACTTTAAGCCAGCTGAAAATCCAGAAGATCCAATTGAGGAGACCAGCGACCACGACGAAGAAATGAAGGACGAAGGTACAACTACCTCCTCCGCTTCTACTGCTCATGTTAAGGATGCAACAGACCATTCGTCCACCACCTCTTCTTCAACGAAAGAAGAGTCCTCTTCGAGCAAAGAGACCACCAAAGAGTCCTCCTCCTCTCACAAAACAACACCAACCAAAGAATCAGCAACGTCATCCTCTTCATCGTCACAACAAGAAACTTCGAATACAGCACTTGCCACAGAAGAAGAAGACGTCCTGAAGAAGAAGATCCCAAAGAAGCCAGCCAAACAAAAGGAAGAACGATCTCCTTCACTCAAACGAAAGAAGGACGATTTTGGCAGCAATTCTCACAGCAATGCATACGGAGACTCTGACGAAGATTATCATACCCCAAGAAAAGGAGAATATGAACCCAATGACAAGAAACGAAAGACCTCATCACCTGCGCCTTCAGAACACGATTCTCGAGGCAAGTATTATGGAAGTGGTAGCAGCAGTAACCACGGTAGAGACAGTCGAGACTCGAGGGATTATGGCAGAGACAGCTATGGCAGAGATTCTCGAGATCATTACAATCATTCACCAAGTCATCACCACAGAGACCGTGATGATAGAAGGGACCGAGATTCGAGAAGAGACAGCGGTTCATATCGTGACAGCAGAGATTACAGAGATTCCAGTCACAACAGCCATAGAGGAAGTAGTAGTCGTGACCACCGATAATCTGCGTTAATAAGCATAAAATTACCTCAACTTAAATTATTAAACAATTTATGAATTGTTTCACTTAAATTGAATTCGTCCACACGCTTAATTTTAACGTTGTGAATGCTGCTTATTTTAGGATACTGTTTGCAAAATCTGACGGTTCGTCAATAAACTGATGTAATAATATTCAATACGATGCTTTTTCAAGCTACCCTTCTTTAGATAGTACTTTGTAATTTCAATCAACAATCATTTTTGAAAACCCAAATCTTTTGTAATGTTTTCACGAATTCTAATAGACATGTTATAAATTCACTCAGTACCATAATTTGATTTTGTTTTTCGTTATCAATGGCAGTAAATCTGTGTTGACGTATCTATTGTTAATCCTTATGTATCTGATATTTCACTCGTCCAAACCGGGTATCGATAGTAACGATTGAATTATTTCTTGATAATCTAAATCATGCCAAAAGAGACGTTTGATCATTGCTCAAATACAATTGCGTTAGTTAATAATTTTAGGATATTCAATTTTTTCCACTGTACACAAATAGTAGTTGTTTTGCTATCTATTTAAAATCGAAAAGGATCTTGTATTATGGCAAAATTTTCTGTGTAAATTAGTTTGTTTGGGGGTTTTCTGCGACATTTTTTTTGATTTAATTAATATTTAATTTAATTTAACAAATTGAATATTATAAACAACATTAATTTAAAAAAAATCATGTACATAAAAATCTTTTCAGTTACTGCAGTACCAACAATGAATGATTTAAAATTGTTATGGACACTTTTATGCGTTTTTTCATTAATTTATGCATCCTCATCCATCGGCAGTTCTCCAACCATTTCAAAATATCATAACAATATACACAACTCAATTCCTGTAACAAATACTGCAGAACGACCATCCGAGTTTCATAATGTACATCCAACACACTCCGAGTTTCATGAAAATTCTCTCCGAGATTATTTTGTATGGCTCACCGATGTGCATTATGATCCCTTGTATGATGATTCTGTTCCGGCCAAGAATTTCTGTCGGCCTCTTATTCACCATAATGAAGTAGCAACAAAAACTTCTTCTTTCAGTAGCAACCCCACAAGAATTTCACGGAGTTCTCAACAATGGCACGCTCAATCCATTCATCCATCCAAACACGATTTATTCATCATTGAACAAATTGAAAAAGAATTTCATGAAATGAGGCGAATGGAAGAGAAGGAACAAGCCTTTCGCTATTTGGAAGAAAAACGAAAAAAACTTGAGCAACTGATCAATGATGGAAGAATGAGACAACGATTATTGCAGTCTCCAATCATGTATCCTCAACAAAAAACAAAATTTGGAAAATATGGATGTGATGCTCCAGTGTCGTTGGTTCAATCGACCTTTCAAAAAATTGGACAAGTTATTAAGGAAGAACATGCAAAAGATCCTGATTTTATTATCATGACTGGAGATTATAACGCACATCATTTAAAAGATGCACAACAAGCACTGTTAAATATGAGAGATGTCACACGAATGATGCAACAAGAAATTGGTCGTTCTGTTCAGAATATTAAGAAAATTCCATTATTGCCTTGCATTGGAAACAATGATTTATTTCCAGATTATTATTTGCCATTTATTGAGGATCCAGATAATGGTACACTTGCTCTCAAATGGTACGACCAGTTGTGGAATGAACCTGTGGGATGGAGTCAATTATTTGGCCTCAATGAAACTTATCAACGAGAGACATTCCTCCGAGGAGGATATTACAAATACGAATTGAACAAGTTTTCAAATGGTAAACCAAGCAAAATTATCATTCTCGTATTGAATTCCATGCTATATTCAAAGAATCGATGGCCAGAAATGAAAAACGGCCAAATGCCATCCGATCCTTCAGGCCAATTCAAATGGATCCAAACCGAATTACTCAATGTGAAAAATCAAAACGATCAAGGCGTTGAAATCTCTGTCATTATAGCGACTCATATCCCTGCTGCTCAAAATTCATACGACGACAAAGAGTTATGGGAAGAGGAATATTTGGAAAAATTCAAAAATTTAATTCAACCCTTTAGCAAGTATATTCGAACAATATTATATGGTCACTTGCATAAGGACGAATTTCGTTTACTCGTGTCCAATCAACAGAAAGATGTAACCAACACGAGAAAGAATTCACACAACAACGACCCTGTAGATATTTATGGAATGATTGGACTCTCTGTTTCTCCTGTTTTTTCAAACAATGTCGGCTTTCGAGTGTTATATTACGATCAACATGCAACCATTCAAGACTATGATCAGTACTTTATGGATCTCTATTCAAGTAATCAGTTGAATCAAGCACTCTGGAACAAGGAATATTCCTTTTCAACTGCCTATCCAAAAGTATTTGAGAATGAACAATGTATCAATCCCAAGACGATTTCAACGTTATTGAAAACACTTAAAAATCCAATGCTCACACCTGATGAGAATAACACAATGATGACCTCCTTGATGAAATACTTGAGTTATTACACTGGCATGTATATTAAGGATCGTTACAAATTTTATTGTGAATTCGATCATGCAGATGAAGCTTCATTTTTGCAATGCATTAATAACGGAACAGATAGTGGATCATCCTAAAAAGAGAATTCCATGCTGCTCACTCTTCAGCATTTCTTAATTATTGAACGAGAATTCTCAGAGGAAAATTTCACACATGGAAAATATTTGCTCTCCTCATTCACGCACGTTTTCATCATCACATTGTTTGAGAAGCAACAACGTCGAGTGGGCCAATAAATGACACTCATGCGATGCTACTCTCGCGAAACCCTTGTTGTCAAAAATGACCATTATGGAAGCAATGAAATTGTCATGCATAAATACCCCATGAGCAACATCGCGCCACTACACTTTGCATTTCAAGTTTCGAGTTACTTCAAAAGTCAATTGTAATCGCACAGCATGCTAATCCTTATCCTACCAAATTATCGGCATGATGAAATTACCGTACCACACGTTGCATCTGGGGATCGCAACTCTAGATGGTGCACATAACTAGTTCGTCTGTAAGAGTCGCACTTTTCCATCCTACTTCTTTAAAAGGAAGGCATGAAATCCTTATCGAAATCTGACAAGCGGTTTTTTGTGGCAACAACAAATATTTCAGTACCAATCAGCGATTTGTATTAGCCGAAGAACGAGCAAAAGAAACAACAAGGCTAAACTCTGGACCTACTAAAAAATACACTACTGTCAGTTGTCAGTTCACTCAACCCATCCTTTTACTCTTCCAAAACAACCTCACTAACAACCAGTTCCTCTTATCTCAAGCATCATCCCTTGTTGCTCCTTTCTTCATTCCTTCATCAAAAGCATTAAAAAAAATTTTTCCAAATTTATCGAAAAATATGTCTGTAACGACTTCCCCTTCTCCTTCCATCAACACCAACAATAACAGCAGCAACACTCTTTCCTCCTCTTCCCAATTTTTTCCAAATTCTTCTTCTTTCAATTCTTCTTCTTCCGAATTATTGAATCATCAGCCTTCGATATCGGTAACAGGAACAACAACAACAATAACGGAAGAGGAAGAACGAAAATCATCATCCAATGTCCATAATAAGAATTCTATTCGTTTCAATAATCACCATCATTCAAATATAACAAACAACAATAATAATAACGTAAATACAATTATTCCAACAACAAGAATAATAACTGATGCATCATCAGTTGATAGTAACATTTCATCATCATTGACCACTACGGAGAATCGGCTCGTGGAAAATAATGATCAAGGAGGAATTTCGATACCGCTGTCAACTGTCAAACCAACTGCTACCAACAACAACAACACTCTCTCCCAATCACAACCACTCGCCATTCATCATCAAATTGAATACGCTCTTCTCCATTCCACTTGTAATAACACCCATAGTAGCAGTTGTAGTAGTATGGACGATGATTTGGATGAAGACGATCAATCCGTGTCCACTCCAATTTCAATTCCAAGCATCCCTTCCACTCCTTCTCAATCCAATATTCTTACAACCGCCACGACAACAACAAATGAATCTGTCAATCCCTCTTCGACAACAAGCTCAACAATGAATTCGACCACAAGCAGCAGCAACAACAACACGGTGACACCCATCCGAAAACAAACCGAAGAGCTCGAAGATTGGGAAATTATTGTTCGAAATCGAAATGCTCAACAAATGAATCGAATGGCGAATACAAATTTATTGACTGATAGTAAACCTTCGTCGACGGTTTCAACACCCTTGTCACCTTCAACGCCCCAACATGCCTATCATCAACAACCTCAACAACAACAACAAAATAACGACGAACCATCCGCCGATTCAACATCTTCGACACCAATTTCGATGGACAAGAAAAAAGGAAATCAATTATGGTCAAAATTGAGAAAATCATTCAATGTCAAGAAAAATGCATCCTTCGAAGAATCGGTCGTGTCCTCGAATTCGAACGGCTTTAGTGGAGGTGGTGGTACGGGTTCTTTGGGATATTCAAGCTCAAAAAGTTCATCATTTAAAAGCGTCACTGATTCTGCAACTTCATTGACAAGCTCAAATGGTTCTATCGGCGTGCTGCCGTCACAAACCGTGCGAGTCCCTATTGGATCAGCCGTTTTCACCAATTCTCAACAACAACCAAAGAGTATAGAAAATGCCTCAAAAGACCAAAGTTTTTTAGAATTTTTGGATAGCGTCGATTGTCGAATGAATGTGGTTTCGATCGATTCGTTAGATGATGGAATTTCTGTAAGCTCCTCAACCATGGCCTCTTCATCTTCGACGAGCATATCAATTGCACCTGAATTGAAAAAGTCAAAATGGTGGAAACCTTTAAAGATTATCAAGAGCACGATCAAGAAACAATTACGAGAAGAAAAGCGAGAATCGAAACAAAAGACACAAAGCAATTCGACGAATAGCAGCGCAAGTCTTACTCTTTTGACAAGTGGCAGTAGCAGTCAAACAGCACCGTCTTCAAGTGACACTCTCTCAACAACTACCTTACAAACCAGTAGTAGCGATGAAAAATTTAGTGTATTGGTTGTGAGCAAACAAGCAACAACCATGAGTGCTGCAGAAGATGAAATGCGAAATTGTTTACAAGATCCAATTTGTATGCAATTATTTCATGATTTTTGTTGTCAAGAATGTTCTCAAGAAAATCTCGTGTTATGGAAAGAGCTCAATAAGGTCAAGGCTAATTTCAAGAAACTATCCGATCGACGAAGAAGTCGAAGTTTAAAATCCATCCATGCCAAATTCTTTGCCCCTGACGCAGGTGACAGCTCCGCTTTGGAAGTGAATGTGAGCGGAAAAACAAAACTTCAAATTGAGGAACATGCAAATAGCAACCGAGTGAGCCTTCAATCAGGTGCCAATGTGTTAAATAATTTGCAACGAGATTGTATGAATAATTTATGTGACAGTTTTTCGAGATTTATTTTAACAGAAGAATATCGACAGTGGAGACAAATGCGATTTGGTTTGGATGATTTTTATGAAGATCCATGTGCAAGTAATACCACTTCGACCACGCCTTCAACCATGATGCCTTCGACCACCAATACTACGACTTCATCGAACACAGATTCTGAAATTAAATAATTTTGTTTCTAAGGTCAGCAATTTTGAATTATTTTCTTTTTTCAAAGTATAAATACGACAATTCAATATTTGATTTTGTTTTATGTAAATATTACCCTTTACAAGACCATTAAATAGTTCTTAATTATGAATATTCAACAATGAATTTTTGGAAAAAATGTCTTTACCCAAATCAAGCAATACGGAATACAAGGCAGAAATTGCACAAACTCGGTCCTTCTTGAGATTATATTCGGATCAGGCTCAGTGTTTGAAATTGGAGAAGGAATATCAAGCAAAAGTAAATTTGAATTCCAATATTTCACGACAAGAGGCTTTCAATGATGTTGAAGAGCCTCCTCATTCTTCTTCTTCTTCCGATGATGAGAATGATGATGAATTATGGAAAAACCAAAAGTCTTTTTATCCATTATGCATGGCAACTATGGATTATTTCAGACGATGGGTACCCACTAATGATGATGATCTTTCATCTTCCTCTTCTTCAACAACATCTCTTTTAATTTCCAAGATGAATGAAGAAGAATATTATCAAAATAAGTATAATGAGAAGAAGCAGAAACAACCTTCTTCATTGGAATGGAGCTCACGATTGGAAAACTCGGAAATGATTCATTTCAATCAATTTCATGTGAATTCTGCTTCTGAAATCAGTTCTCTTCAACAGTTTATAAAAGACCATTCACATCCTTCATCGTGGATGGAACAAGCTCATCAAAATGAACAATTTATGAATCAAGTGAAGAGAAGTCGAATACGAGATGTCATGCCTCAATTTTCCAATCGTCTCAGAGAATGGAAAGCTGCAAATCGTGGTGCGTATAAGGATGTAGAATCTCAGGATGAAACTACAAAAATGTTTGACATTTTCTTGTCAGATGTTAAAAACAGACTTGCCAATTGTTTGGCTAACAAGAAAACCAAATGGCAACAAGTGTTACAAATCAATGACAAGTCTCTGAAGGCAACTACTCCTCTCCACTCAACACATGAGGAATTAATGGCAAAATTTGCATTTGCTCATTGTGGTGCCTCCTATCACGAATTATTGTTTAAGGGAGTTATGATGAGTTGTGAAAAATCATTGAAAACATGTTTAGAACAGCGGCTGTCCTTCATGAAGAATAATTTTCGAGAGAATTTGGAAAATGAAAAAGTTGGTCCCATATTCAACTGTTCAGAAGAATTACTTAATGACGGCAACTTGGACTGCTCCAAATTTGCAAAACAACACATCTTTGACTTGATGAATACACATCTCAAATAGTGGAATAACCTTGATTATGATTCAACAGAAGGGTTAAGGAAATACCTCAACATACATCCATGACAGTTTTACAACACCAAATGCAATGTACAATTTCCAAATGTCCTTTCTGCCAACACTTACTGACATTTGACAGAGATATCTAAAAAAAAATTCACTGCTGCTAGTACTTTCCATAACCACCTGTTACATTCATCATGTTGTCTTGGCTCACAGGAGGAGAATCTGAAACTAGTACAAATTCTTTTTCATTTCCAACGCATCCCGAAGTCACCATTCTTTCAGAACCACAGAGTTCCGATGTTCCGATCATCATTGATGGAATGGTTTTGTTTTCATATAAAGGTTTGTTGGTGGTGTTTTGATGGGAATTATTTCAAACCATCACGAATGATTTAAATTCTCCAAATTATTTGATGATCAACGTTGGATCGTGTGTGGTTTCTTCTCTAATGTTGATTTTTAATAATTACCAAATTTATCAATTATTTTAAAATAATTATCCTTTTTCTTTAAAAATTCATAGAAATCATGGCGATTCGTGAGGAAGCTACCAATGAACAAGATTACGAAGTTCTCTACGAAGAACCAGAAAACTATCGTCGAATGCTCATCAAAAAGAAAGGCGAAGGTTCCACCGGTGAAATTAAACGACACAAATACACTCGAAGTAATTTTCCATGTTCACCCAAAGAAATGTTTGTGGCTATACGCGATTTTGAGAGAAGAAAAAATTGGGATGATTGATTGGAAGAGAGAAATGTGTTGAGAGTGTTTCGTTATGTCGATAAGGAGTAGGTTTTTTTCTAATAATGTTGTCATGGCAGATGATGAATTGTTATTGTCAAACTCCATGATGTGTGAAATGTTTCAATCATTTTCATAATATTTTACACACTCTAATAATTACGATTGAAATTGTTGACATTTATTTTGAAAAAAACAACAAACGTTTTCAGGAGTGGTCACAAGGTCGTCATTTCTATCGAACGAACTGCTCATAAGGGCGTCTTTCCAGTTCAAGGTAGAGATTTTATTTCCATGACAGGAGTGGTTCAACTCAATGAGTTTCACTATGTGACACTTTCTAAGGCATTGGAATTTCGAATGGTTCCCTATGCAACTACATCCAGTGACAAGACAAAATCTCCTCCACCTCTTCCAGCAGATAAATATGGACCTTCAGAAGGATTTAATGGATATATTCGTGGAGTGAACAAATTTTTTGCCAATGAATGTTTTGGAAATGAAACCACAACGACCTATACAACCATTGTTGAGACTGATGTGAGAGGATGGGTTCCAGCCACTGTGTACAAGTAAGTACAAGCGTGATAGCCACATATATACATAGTTTAAATTTTGAACAACTTGGAATTTATAATATGTGTTCATTTGTTTAATTACAAATGGAATGAATCTACATTACGGTAGTTGGTTTGTCAAGTTCATTCCAGCACAAGGAGAAGGAAATTTAATTAAGGGATTGGAGTGGAGAAAAACGAATGGTGTTGGTTCTGATTTGAATGAATTTTACTACAATCATGACAGCCCACTTTTTAACAAGTAATGAATTTCAAAATGTAGATTTGCCACATCATTGTACATATCTCTTCACCACGTTTGCTTTAAGTAAAAAAATACTCATTCTTTCGTTTTTACACTAGGGTAATTTTCTTTCAGGCCGTGTTTGATATGCAACGCATTTAAGTACCTCTCAAATCAACACGCATGAATTCTTTAACAATTTCCCACCAATTGTCTAAGCTAATATTGAATTTTGAGAACTTAACATAATTGAAAAATCAATCATTTCATTCATCTTTAATGAGATATTCCAAAATCCACTCAAATATAATTTCAAATAAATATTCATATAAAAATCGCCAAAGGATCACCATAGAAACAAAAATACTTAATCGAGTCACCCATGTGTTTTTTGGAGAAACAATGACATCAATAATTGTGAGTGAGGTCATAAAAATTACCAAGAAAATGGAAAAGAGAGTTCTGCCAACTTTTTTCGAGTAGGCAATCTTTTCCTCTCGTGTGGCTTTGTGTCGTATTGGATAGTAATGTTTGTGTTTGATATGGGGATGAATAGGATCAATCACAGAATCGACATCTGTGTAGGTGTTGGTATGAGTGGTCGAAACAGAACCAACACTCAATGTGGAGTGGTCTTCATCTTCGGAATCTATGGGATGATGATTGGTTGTGGTTGCTTCTAAAAGCCTTTTATGGTGATGAGAGGAGGCAAATTCTTCATCCTCATCCGAAGCTGCACTTTGGTCCAGGTCCTTTCCACTCTTCTTTCTCGCTATCCATGTATCATGACGAGGATCCTCTTCCTCGTGTTTCATGCCTATATTCCTCAGTGCAATCTTTTCAAACTGTTTGATATTCAATGATTGTAGGACAGGATGTGTTGATGGATCATTGGGTTTCTCTTTTAATTTACTTGTTGTTGTAGGAGAAGGCAAGTACTCTTGAGGTTCTTCCTCAATTAATCGTACATGATGATTGTTACGGCTACCACTTGAATGACTCACTGGTTGATGAAATTGAGAGTGATCTGCCATACTAGTCTCAATAATTTCCTCATTATCATCATCATACTCTCGGAATCCCGAATCACGGAGTGTTGTATGATGAACGTGTTCAAAGTCATCATTTGATGATGAAATTCCCAAACGATTATTATTTGAGAGTTTGTAATTGATTTTGTTCCGCAACATTTTTTTTGCATTGAAAAACATTTTTTATTTTTTCTAAAAAAGGACCTTATTATGTATCTAATTCTTTTTTCCTTAATAAACAATTATAAGCAGATAATAAATAATAAATACTTCATTTAATAACTCTATTATTCACCATTACAACACTCCAATGGGATCCACCACTTAAAGGGCATCCATTCATCGGAACATCATTTCTTGGTAATCTTCTTTTTTTACAACCTTCTCACAATTGCATGGAATCTTCCTGTTCCTCCTTCACGCAAAGCATTCCCAAATATTCCGACAAGGAAAACTTGAGCACCACCTCTGGCAAATCCTCACATGCTTCCATCACTAAATAAATTGGAAAATCATCACTCGATTCCGATAAACGGCACACGCACAATGCAGAGTCGCTATCGCCCAAAAAAATAAAATCATCCTTACCACGGAACCATTCAATGTGTTCGTATTGATCGGGATCCATGAGGAATAGTTGATGTTCCATACAAATTTCTTCATCGTTCACTTTGGATTTATCGGCAACGTAGAGTGAAGAGCCTCGTTTCCATTGGATGGAACCAAACAAGCTGATGGCATCGCTCAACACCATGTCCCGATAACGACGTTTCTTAATGGAGAGAGGGAGTTCTCCGCCCAACTTTTCAATCAACTCGCATACTTTAGGACTTAATGGATGTGGCCATGCAGCTGCATCTTGGGTTGGTTGTTCTGATTGAATTTGTTGTTGAGCTGCTTGTTGAGCCTTCTTAGATTTCTTAGTGGGACGCTTTTCCTTCTTTGGAATGGGTTGAGCTTCCGTTTCTTCTTCCAATGGTTGTTGTTGTTGTTGATCCACATTTTCCTTATCATCATGCATCATTTCCATCTCATCCTCCTCATCCTCATCACGAGAAGTGGTACGCTTTTTACTGGTCTTCTTTGAGGTTGCCTTCTTTTTAGAAGTCTTTCGTTGTCTCTCTTCATATGTATTATGAGAAATGCTCTCCTTCCTCTTCTCGGTACATTCCTTATAATTCACATGCTTTCGACGACGAGTACCATGAACAATGTTTTCCTCGGCAACAGCTGTTGGATTTTTGAGAATTCTCTTGGAACGATCCTTTGGTTTGGTCTTGAAACCATTGACCAAGATGATTCGTTCGCCAGTGGCTTCATCCATCACGACACGAGCAGTGGTTAGTGTGAGTTTCTCTTCGGGATGATCTGGTTTGATTGATTGAGTAACTGTTTGAATGGCTGTCTTGTCAGAGTCAGTAAGTTCACCAACTTTGACATAGACATGACCGTCTTCGGTTTTGAATTTACGTCTTGCAGCTTCCTTTGTCATTGGTTGTGTGGAGAGTAATAATTAATTTTTTTTTATGAGTTTTGAGAAAATGTAACGTTCGTTATTTTGGTGTTAAAAGTGTTAACGGTCGTTTTTGGCGGGGGTTATTGCCTAATGCTAAATAATCAGCCTTTTTTTAAAGCAAAACAAAATGCCATTCCAATATTTGATCACTGGCTTTCTCTTGTTTTTTATTGTCACACAACTGCATGTAGTCCTTTCTGAGAACACTCACACTCGGCAGGATGCATCATCACTCCATTCCGAGACCATTTATTGGATTGGAGGATTGAACGGCATTTGGCAAGATCCGAAAAATTGGAACCTCGGTTACCAGATTCATCCATCGACTTCCTTACACTGCATGTACAGTGTCATGCCACCTACAGATTTGGAAAATGGAGGAAAATTTCGTTTATATAGTGACAAGACATGGAATTGGTTCCAATGGTTGAATCGAAGTTCTGGACATTATTGTCATCCTTCGTTGACAGAGTCCTCTCCTGTGAATTTGTTGCTTAATATTTCAAGAAAAATTTCACCTCATGATTCCATTCATAATCCAATGGAAGAAACCCTCATTTCAAATATTGACATTTTCAAAAGTAGTACTAATAACAATGAGGATGATACATTCATCTTGGATGAAGTTTTTGGAATGCCTTTTGCCACACACGAAATCTCCATCATTATTCCAAGCACGAAAAACATTTATCAAAAATTGTCCTCGGAAGAACATGAAGCCATTGTACAACGAGTGGTCACATCCATGGTCAAGATTGCAGGAGGTGTAACCACACTTCCAGGTAATATTGGTTATTGGATGTCTCAACATTCATTCAAGCAAGAATTAGTGAGCGAAGAGATTACCATTGTGACCATGAATATTCCCAACCTGACCAAAGAGATCAAACGAATGGTAAAAGAAATTGCCGTGTCTGTGGCCAAAGATTTGAATCAAGAAGCTGTTTTTGTGAAAATTGATACACATGCCTTTCTAGTCACACCTTAACTCGTAGTAATTGATTGGAATTACGATCGCTCATGATGACAACCATCAGAATGGACAATATCTTACAATGGCAATGAATACTGTTGTCGTATTGTGGATCCGCCACGGTATTCAAATTGTGTCACGAGGACATGAATGGACACCAGTAATAACTGTCGTCCTTCACCAAAATCATTCATTTCGCTGTTTGAGGAATTTTTCAAAATGAGAGATAATTTAACTTTGTGACCACAAGAAGACACTGGTTGATGTTCCAGAAGTACTTCATAACCATTTGTAAGCCGGGACTAAAAAGCATTCTTTTCAAGCTGTCATGGTTGAAGAAGGAGGAAACACATTCATTTGGAAAATAGTGCCACGTCGCTTGTCAAACACTTTCGCACCCAAGCGCTACACAATTTTTATCGAACTACTCCATTCATTCAAGTGGCATCCATCTTTGAACATTAAATCCACAGCAGACACAACAACAAACAAAATACCTCTTCGAAGTACTAGACGAGATTTTTAAGAAATCTCTTCAGACCATTCAACGAATTTTATTGTTTTTGAAACCAAAGAGTTGTTTGTGAAAATGTCAAAAACAACATGGCGGAGCAGTGTCATCGACAATGATAATAACCATCTTCACGATGATGATGATGATGAATCCATTACAAAACATCTACAACCCATCATAACATTATTCAAACAACAAGAACAACAATCATTACATGGTGAAAAACAAACCTCTCCAACATCCATCTCATCATGTTCTGAAATATTCTCAAGATCCTCCTCCTCCAACAACAAGAATTCATTTCGAAAACACAAATTCCATCCCAAAAACGTCGACTACTCCCTATTTCACATCATGATGAAATGGATCATTCCTTCCTTCTTGTTATATTTTCATGTCTTGACTCTGATAGAACTCTTTCGTTATTACGATTCCAACTCATCGCATGATCATATCATCCACCAACAACAACAACAACAACATCATTCAACGAATTCGAACTTTTACCCGAGTCAAGGCTTGTGGATAAATCCATCACATGTGAATGATGAGGACACATTGGGCAATACTAGTCATCAAGTTCACACTCGTAGTCGTCGTCGACACATGTCAGAGTTCATGTCATGGCTGTTATCAGGTTCCACATTTGGAACGACAACAAGAACGATCAACTTTTTTGTATGGGCTCATCCAACAACAACAACAACAAGACGACTACCACAACATCATGACGTCGACGATGTATTTCATGAACAATCCGCATTGGAAAGTTGTACACTTTCATTGGAACGATGGACACAATTAACACAATTTCACGATTTCAAATTTACACCCAATTTGTATGGTACGTGGCGTTTGACACATTCTACGGAAACAGCACCTCCGAGTAGTATGGGTTCGTATGTCAAACAAGATCCCATGCCATGTCCAGACATGATTGAATTTACTTCCATTTCTGTGAGCGCTTCATTGTATCGTGAGACATATTTTGGTATTTCCATTGAAGCTATTTTCAATCAAACGAATTTTAGAACGGATTTATGGGCCATGGTCTTTCAACCTCGTTTTTCGCCAGTGTTTTTTGAAATGTTTGCTCATGTACGACCATCACTCGAAAATAATGAAGTTCAAGTATTGAATCAAGAATTAATTTCCAATGAGACATTAAGGGATGGTTCGTACAAGATTTTACAAATGGGTTCTTCACAGAGAATGCAACCGTTATTGATTCGAAAGAAAGTTTTTGGATTCCAAGTGACGTTTCAAATGAAACTTGAATATTTATTTATGACTCGAGAGGTCAATACGACGAATGTGATGAATGTGACGAGTGACAGTGTACAAGATTTGTCAGCACTATCAAACAAACCTTCTCTAAGAACCTTCTTGCTTTCCAATACGCGTGAATTACCTAACAAGATTGAATCCAAACTTCGCTTCAAATTACTCTATTCCAAATATCAAGCTCCCTTCACATATCCAGTACAAGTGATGGCTCCTTACGGAACCAATTCGTTATTCTTTGATGGAGTTTTTTCATTGAACGACGTAGCACAAGATGATACTTTATTACTTCAGAAACGAGTCCCTGTGGCCAATAATGCCATTTCAACCATCATTGTCATTCTGAATGGAGTCGTAGCATTGTGCGTGTTGACATTATTGATCTGTTTTAGAAATACGGAACCGAGAGCTTCACGTGGTTATTTGCCCTATGTGATTTTCATTCAGGTCTTGATTAATTTTGCAAAGGATTTTGTGCAGTCGTTTTTTGGAGAGGAATATTTATTGATTGCATTTGTGTTTGGTACCTTGTCCATTTTGAGTTTTAGTTATCTCATGTACTTGTTGAATACTTTATTATTTTTCTATAAGAGGAAAGTGTATCATGATGTGTATCAAAAGATGAAACGAGATTCATTGTTGGATCATCAGAAATCTTCGAATGCATCGAGTATTGAAAAGTTATTGGCCACAGAACATGGTGGTAGTTCTACACCTGTCAATAATTCTTTGAATAACATTAGTCATGACAACAAGAAAAACACACCAGATACTTCCAATAATGATGGAATGAATCCAAGTAATGGAATGGAAACAGCTCATCCAACAAGAACTGAAGACAATTCCACACCAATGAAACAACAAGCAGAAAATGGAACCAATTCCAACACTCTCGTGATGGAAAACGATTCGGCCGTTCACAAAACAACCTCACAACCACGTGTTTCCAATCTTAGCATGAGTGGTGGTAGTCTCGATTCGGCGGCAGAAAAATCTGTGACAAGCTTGAAATGGATCAAGTCACGAAAAGTTCGAACGGGTATGACCATTGGTGTTATTTTTGTGGTATTACTCTCTCTGAGTGCCATCATTCCAATTCTATTGTTGACCAATGTCATTAACGTCTTGTTGGCCATTTATATCATTTTAGGATTTTTAGTAGCTATTGGTTCAGTACTTGTGATTGGATCTCTCTCATTGGACATGATGTGGAATTGGAAACGTCTCTTTGAAAAATGTGAATGGAAAGCTTACTTTTTCAGAAATGATCCACTCTATTATCGAATGGAACTTGTCATTCATGTTTTCACAGCTCTTTTTTATTTGGCATTGGCCATTTCACTTCTCATTCAACGAGATCGAGTGGATAATTTACCATTATTGGCTTCACAAACGTATGGAGGTGTAGTCCCTGTTGCAACTTTTGTTTCATTACCACTCGAATGTTTGGCAGTTTTCTTTGAAATTATGGCAGCTGGAGGTGGATTTATTTGTATCATGACCGTGTATGAGAAAATTCGATTGAGTAATCAAGATTCGACAATGACGAGTGATTTGATAAGTGTGTACGACACGCCCTCTCAGGCCGATCCTCAAGAACAAGCTCCAGAATTTCCAGCATCGGCACAACTCGAAAAGAAATCCTCCTCAATGCCAAAACTTCGAGCCAATATGAGTTCTCCCTTAATGGAATTGTTAGGTGACGATTTGTCACGACTTTTCATTGACGAGAAGGGCTACGAATTATTACGATTATACTCCAAGAGTGAATTCTCTATTGAAAATGTGGCTTTCATTAACGATATTGAAAAGATTTATTCACAACTTTTCTGTGAAATTGAACGAAATTCTCTCAAACAACAGAGAAGAGGAAGTGGAGGTAGTACACCAAGTTCCTCAATGAGACTCATCAAACCCACTCTCAAACAAAATCTCCCTCGTGAAACATTAGACTCCATTCACAAAACATTGAGTCACGATTTTTACGATCTCTATGTGAGTGATCAGGCAAAACTTTCCGTGAATTTTTCATTTCAATCCAAAGTGATTTTTAACAAGTGGCGACAACAAGGATTATGGAGTGACGAATATGTCAAATCGGATGATTTCACCAATGATATGGATTTTATTGCATTGGATGTGGTACGAAATTTGAGAGATACTTTTCGAAGATTTCAACTCACACAATCGTATAAGGATTGGAAAATTCAAGCTCGAAAACAACATGCCTTATTGAGGAGTGCCTTAAAAGCGAAAAAATCGTCCACATTGGCTGTTGTTGTTGTTACTGAGGACAATCAAGGAGGAGGAACCAATAATGGAAATAATAATAATAATAATAATACTATGATGAATCATAACTCGACTCCAACCATGGTCGAATTGGATTTAGGAGTAGTACCAGAAGAGGAGAAGAGGAATAGTGGAACAGATGCAGAAAATACTCTTGTCGTGTCCTCAAATGTTGTCTGATCATGAATTTCAAACTAACTAAACAATCGACAATTTTGGGTGAATTTCACACAATTTCGAGTGTTTCAACAATTTTTCCAATTCGAACAAAAAAACGTCTTCAACAACAACACAACCAGTTCCATATGAAAGACCTCGTTTATTTCATTGGGATGATGTAGAAGATGAAACACAATTACCATATTTTCTTCGGAATGGCAATATCCATTCACAACAAGTCAAGGATGATGAATTGGGGAGAGAAGAGAGTAAATTCTGGAGAAGGCAAGATGTATTAATTCCAGGAAAAACCATGACTATTCCATCGAAAATTCATCAAATTCAGTTAGTGGATGAGAATGAGTTGCAACGAGATTTTCAAAAGTTTGTACGAAAGAAGAAGATTTTTGGCGAGTATGACTTTCTATTTACAAGTGATAACGAAGTATCGGAAGATGAAGAGAAGGAAGAAACCGTTGATGATGATGTATTAAATGTTCTTGAAAATTACTATGAAACAACATTAGAAAAACCAAAAAACAACAAGGCTTGTGATGACGATGAGGAACAAGTCATGAATCATGATCGTTGTTTTTATATTGGTTCCGTATTGAATTATTTGTTGGAATGTAAGCCTTTGATAGAAGCCACTAGAAAATTAGGATATTTACCGCTCGATCAAGAATATCCAAAAGAATATAGAAATAGTGAACGAGTGTTGGTGATTTCTAAAAAACTGGCGGATTTGTTGTGGCGTAGAATCAAGTAAGTTTGTGGGCTCATGTGAATGGATTCGGAATGGATTCATGTGTTTACTGTTTTTTCTTTTTCAAACAAAGACCTCACATCAATGAGGATGATCTTAAAGGAGTACGACCGTATGGATTTGGAAATGAAGGTCATTGGATTCCAATAGGTATCCATGAATGTCTTCGATTTAATCGATATGCCAAAGATGCATTCTTCAAGGTAGGTCAATATCCATGATGATTGAATTCTCAATAACGAAAAAACAAATGAACCAATATGATGTGACCATTATGCAATGATATATTGTATCATCACGTATGGCACGACATTGATTGGTGAAAAAATAATAATTATTTATTATTATTTAATACGAAAAATGATACACAAATTAAGCCTCATCAAGATGCCAAATTTGTTAAAAACAACGATGAGCAGAGTATTTTCACAGTGTTGATCTATCTCGATGGAGGAGAAGCAGGAACTACTTTGATGAAAAAAGTACATGATCCTCAGCAAAAGAATCCTAGAATTTTAAAATTTAAAAAGCTTGCCACTGTTCAACCTCAAATGGGAGCTGCTTTAATATTTAACCATGATCTCTATCACGCGGGAGATTTGGTTCAAGACATGAAATATGTACTGAGAACAGAAATTATTTTCAAGCGTGTCGACTCTGAGAGTGTCTATCAGATGAATTACAGAGCCGATCATCGATATTTATTGATCAAAAAATTGCTAAACGAGTCGAACATGTTGGAAAAAGAAGGAAAAGTGAGAGAAGCAACCACTAAATACATTGAGGCTCAAAATATACATACCTCCATTAGTCACTCACTCATGGGAATCAACAACAGCAAAAAAGTCAGCTTTATTGAAACACACGTTCCTGAAGAACTTTTTGCTCATATATTCAGCTTTTTGAATGCGGAGGAAATTTCTAAAACTCTCCTTCATGTGAATCGAGAGATGAATCGTTATGCTAGAAATTCAGCGTTGTGGCGAGAATTATATGCTAGAAAATGGAAAATTCATGATGCAGAGAATGAACGGAACGAGTCAACAATCACTAAAAATTGGTATCACATTTTCATCTCACGAGCGAACATGGAAAAATACTTTTCACCTGTATTGTTAGATCTTGGAATGGGCACGTATCGATATGCAGTGATGACTCGTAATAGCAGTACATTTAGATGTGGTCCTACTATTATTGGAAAGCCATGGCACAATCATTTTGATTTGAATGGTAGGTTAAACATTGACAACAAACAGCCACAACAACTTTGAAACATTGTTAACCACTATCATTATTCATGAAAATTCCAGGATATGGATTTGAAGATTATGTGGCAGGCGATCGATTTGATGGACATTGTGAAAAGATGGACATGCTTTCCAAGCCTGAAGGAAATATCTTGGACAGAAATCTCTTAAAGATTTTTGTATATCAATTGTATAAAGATGATCTCCAAGTGAACCTTAGAGAGCATCCACTGGTCATTAGTCATCCAGTATCATGGACAAGCAAGGAGAAGGAGGAATTTACTCAAGATATGGTATGTGAGTGAATAATTATTTGGATTGTTGTTCATATGAACATTGTGATTTATTATAATATCATCAAATGATATATCACTACAGTTTTCACTTGGTATTCCATTTGTGTGTTTGGTGGACTCAACTCAAATGTTATCTCTCAATTATGAAGTGAAAAATTTCTTACGAATTCATGCAGGTACATCTGGAATTCGATGCATACCTGTTTTAAATGGAGAACCATTTCAAACTTGTCAAGTTATAGAATATCCGCCAATGTTAACACAGTTGCATCATTATTATGGAACTGCATCTGAAGAAATGATTCCATTTGAAAGATTTCTTCAACTAATTTTAATCTCTCCCAAAGATGACGATGAAACACGAAAGCAATATTATGAATACGAAGGTGACTATTATCTTAATGGTTGGTATTGGAATGTTTCAGGACATGTTCGAGCTGCTCTTGGAGAATGGTATTGGAAACAAATAGTCAAAGCAATGGACAAGCTCGTTGATCAATTATTATTACTCTTGACCAATCAGAAAGAAGAGGAAATTCAACAAATGATGAAATGTGTCATTTTCACAGGTGGAGCCTTTATGGATGTGAGAAATCTTGCCAAACGTTTGCAAGACAAGTATTTACAAAAATTACATGTGGAATTTGAATTTGGTACTGTGAAATTTATTGGAGAAGTCGAATGCAATGATGAGGAAGACGATTCTGAAGCAGTTGGAATGGACATTTTGAAAGGAATGGAAATATTTGCAGGATTAAGCACGTTTAAGAGTCAATGTCAAATGAACCCTGTACTCGCCAGTGATGAATAAGACACAGCAAGACATTTTCAATGACACTTTATGTATCATCATCATGTTTTTTTTGACCATGAACCATTGAACAAAATTTGAATCATTTCCAAATAAAAACACACATCTCAAAATCTTTTAATTCTGCTTCTTGTTTCCATTCCATTTCTCTGGCAATACATAGACGACCAAATACAAAAATCTCAATGTCGCGCTCATCACAGAAACAATCACTTGGGAGACCATCTTGGTTTCCAGCGAACCCTTTTCCATCAACACGGAAGCAATGTGCAAACAATCTCCGACCAACAAGAACACAATACTCCATTGGAAAAGTCCCAATTGAACCAACGTCTTTTGTTCCTTCTGTGCCAACACTTTACATGTAATGAAAAGCATCACGTGCATAAATCCAAAAGCAATCAACATCATTCCGATAAATCTCATTAAAAAGTGAATATTTTCATCACATGGATACAACGTAAATAATTGTTGGAGGAGAGACAAGGTCAAATTCGGAGGTAAGATGTTTCGTGTGAAATAACTGAGAAAGAATGGACTGGTTGGAATCAAGTACATGAAAGATCCAAGAAAGAGTTCATTTAAAAAAGGTTCTGCCCATAAAAAGATGTAAATGATGGTGAGAAGGAGAGGTTGTTTTTGTTGTGGAGAAGAGTTTGGAACTGTGATGAGAGGTGGCATCTTGTCAGTGATCAAAGAATAATAATTTTTTTTGTGAACTGTTTGGCGTGTGTGCGCACAAGAAGCATACTTTCGGATTTCCTTTTGTCGCTCTGTGGAATGAAGTTTATTAATCGAGAAGTAAGAAATAATAATAATTACAAATTTTCAAACTCTCTCAACAATTTGTGTGAAAGAGAAGCAGGTAATTGATCAAGATCAGAATTTTCTTTGAATAATTCATTTCTGTGATTCACTCCAAAATCAATCATGATTTGAATCACTTCTGAAAATAAATCATTTTCAAAATCCAATGAATTGGCAATTTCAAAATAATTATTGCAATCAATTTGAATGGATTTGAATGCAAGAGAAACTAATTCTGACATTTCATTCGCTGAAGCTGTTAAAATGAGTGAAATGGCATGTTCTGGTTCAATCTGCTCCAATTGATCATAACAATATTTGACAATATGTTCCAAATTAATTGCATCTTCAGGTGTGGAAGGAATGAGTGTCAAAATTTCATCTTTTTCATCATATTTCAGATCTTCCAATTCATATCCACTGTTGAACATGGCTTCAAAAAGTTTTCCACGAGAACTCAATATGGTTCGATGACCATAAATAAATGAGTTGTCGTTCTTATGAGAGAGTTTGATTCGAATGTCACTCGTACGTTTGTCATTCCATAATGACTTGATCATTTCGTTTGGTGATATTGTATTTTCAATCGACTCTTCAAGAACGATGGGAGATATCTTTGTAATTGAACACTTTTCAAGAATTTCAACATAATAAGGAATACATCTTGGATCTCTTATGATGCCAAAATGTCTTTCTCTTAATTTGATTTGAATAAATTCCAAACAATAATTCTTCAACTTAGTCATGATGGAATGAGAGGGTTGTTTTGTCAAGTATTGTTCAATCATCAACAATGAATCAATGACATGATCAGAAGTCATGTGTCTCTCCAATAATATCGAAATTAAATAGTTTTTCAATTCCATGAATTCACCTTGAGCAAGACCCAAAATGTACAAGTATTCAATAATTTCAGAAATCATTGTAGGTTCCACAATCGTATCTGGATCATATAAAACAAAATCAATGACATTTTGAATCAATTCAAGTTCACGACAAGACATGTCAGAAAGTAAATTCAAATCTTTCAAAATGGTGGAATGAAAATGAGGATAAAGTTTTTCAAAAAGTGGTTGAAAAACAATGAGTTTGGTGTTGGGAATCATGTCTCTTTCATATTTCGAAATGTGTGAAATGAAAGGAGAGAAATGTGAAAGGGATGGTTGATAGGGGCTATCTCCATTGTATCCTTGAGTTCCATTTCCTGCAACGGTTGTGATCATTCCATTTTTCATTATTTTTCTAATTCTATGATTACCGGTATCTGCAATATAAACTTCATCATTGGATGAAACAAAAACACTGTGTGGATTGAGTTGTGCATTTGTTGCCAATTGATTGTCTCCATTATATCCTTGAGTTCCAGTTCCTGCAATGGTTGTGATCATTCCATTTTTCATTATTTTTCTAATTCTATGATTACCTCTATCTGCAATATAAACTTCATTATTGGATGAAACAAACACACCCTTTGGATAACTGAGTTGTGCATTTGTTGCCAATTGATTGTCTCCATTGTATCCTCGAGTTCCATTTCCTGCAATGGTTGTGATCATTCCATTTTTCATTATTTTTCTAATTCTATTATTACAGGTATCTGCAATATAAACTTCATCATTGGATGAAACAAACACACCCTTTGGATAACTGAGTTGTGCATTTGTTCCCAATTGATTGTCTCCATTGTATCCTTGAGTTCCAGTTCCTGCAATGGTTGTGATCATTCCATTTTTCATTATTTTTCTAATTCTATGATTACCTCTATCTGCAATATAAACTTCATTATTGGATGAAACAAAAACACTCTCTGGATAATTGAGTTGTGCATTTGTTCCCAATTGATTGTCTCCATTGTATCCTGGAGTTCCATTTCCTGCAATGGTTGTGATCATTCCATTCTTCATTATTTTTCTAATTCTATGATTCAAAGTATCTGCAATATAAACTTCATCATTGGATGAAACAAAAACACCAAACGTTTGCAGTTGAGCATGGATTGCCATCATCATTTGAGATTTGGATGCTTCCGATGATGATGGTTGAAGAGAGAGGGCCATTTTTTTGTGTTCCTTCTCTCCACTGAAGACACAGCCATTGCCTTTGAGTGGCAATTGCCTATTTTTTTTTGTAACCTTTCAAATGAACCTCTTTTACGAGGCCACACATTATGGCGGCGCATCCGACGTTGAAGCGCACTAAAAACCTGTCAGATATTCGTCAAGTCAAAAATGAATATGAAAGCATAAAAAAATTTATTCGTTGAATGTCATGCAGTAGAATTGGTAATAGTTCTGGTTTAGGGTGCTAGCAAGGATCTGTCTTCCGTGAGCTGTTCGTTGGCACGCTGTTGTTTTACAAGCTTCAGCTGAAGCGAATAATGGTGTAACGTCCTATGGCCTCTATATTTCGTTTCAGTTTGTCTGTTGTTGCAGTAAGAACCCAAGTTGCTTCGGTTCTTCAAACCCTTGCAAACCAATCAGGAAGAGACTCACTCATTTTATTTTTGATTCCTTTGGAGTTTACTCAAATCAGCTGACGTGGGATTGACGAATATCTGACAGGTTTCTAGTACCAATTGCGCCGCCATACTGTAATTACCAAAGCTTGCGTTATTAAGAAAACGAGGTTTAAATAAAAAATGAATCGACGTAAATATAAACATTATGGAATACCCTCTGATCATACATATGGAAACAGGGAAATCCATCAGCCACAATTCGAGGACTTTATAGCACAACAACTCTTGCCTCAGTTCCACTTCAACGCCATTCCCAATCCACCTTCCAATGTAGTATTCTAAAATTTTCGTTATTATGTGTTCATCATTACGAAATATATTAAGGATGCGTTTAAAAAGGAATGTTGTGGCTGAAGAGACAGGATTTCGTTGATTCAGTTTATTTCAGGACGTGAATTCACTTTTTGTGTTCACTAATACGCTGGGGTACCAATGATCTAATTTGATATTTCAATATTGAATATTATCATATACTAGCAGAGTTTCCATCAAAACAACCCTCTGAAAAGTAGATTTGAAAGTTTTTCCAAAAGCTCAGTTGCATCCCAAGCTTATGGAGTGAGGCACCATCTCTCACTCTTTCAAGACAGGTTTTCCTTCTTGACAAACATGAACACATTGGAAGGAGTAGTCCATTCAATCGACTATTTCAACCCTTAACCTCTTCTCGAGTCGAATGACCATCAGGTTGTATTTATGCACACATTAAATCTTGTCTTGCTGTTCCTCATCCAATTTAAAATTCAATTGTTTTTCAATTTCCAAATAATTCTCATGAGTATGTTGAACCATAGGATATTTTCCACCCTGATTCGAATTAAGATCGTTCCCATCATATGGAAAGGGTAGAGATGGTGAAAAATTCCAAGTCGCCACTCGATACCACACATGAAACACTCCAAACAATGAATCTCCACTCATCAAAATACTACATGCAGCACACACGACCAAAAATCCTTGATAATAACTATGTCCAATATAACCATTCACTTCTTTTTCAACATGAGAAGAGGAATTGAATAACCAACGTGTGAAATGAATGATGAAAAGAGAAATAATGGCACAGAGTGACAGGATGATGGAAATTCGAGATTGAATTGAGGAATGAGTAGTGAAGAAACCAAATGCAGAAATTCCAATCATTTGAAGACACGTAAGGAATACAATGAAACTCAATGTCATGAATATACTCTCTTTCCTTAATATAAAATCTTGTAAAGTATAAATTAGGAAATATAAAATTCCACACCATCCAAAAAGTATTCCAACGCTGGTCCAATCCACTACTCTCTCAAATATGAAATCTCTCAAATAGATGGTCACATGGTAGAGTTGATACGATAATATCATAAACACAATGGATACAAGAATGGTATTCAACAGTGGAAATTCACTCAATCCTCGAACGATTAACACACTTTTCGCATTGTCAGTCATCAAGACATGATGTTGAAGTAAATACGTTTCCAAAGTCACCACTCCAATGAATTGAAAGCTCTTCATGTAGTAACTTCTTAACGTTGGCGTTGCATTTCTCAAATACACAAAACACATGATGGGAACGACACTAAAATACGGATGAAAGGAATTGTATGTGAATTTGGAAGTTGGAAAATAAATGTAACACCACAGAGCAATCATGCTGGAACATAGAACTATTAAGCCAGCACTGACAACATGTCCCTTCTTCTCACACTTGTGAACATGATTCAACAAATCCTTCAAGGATTGATAATTTAAGGCAAAAAGCATTCCAAAAAATGCAGAATAATGATCCAAATAGGTTCTAAAATAGAAATCATGATAGGCCAAATTGGAGGACCACAAATATCGTTTCCACAAGTCACGAGGTCCAGCACATATGAAATGATACAAGGATGGAGTTTCCCAAATGGCATAAATTAATAACAAGTTGACAATCAATTTGATTCGAATTCTGAGAAAGTGTTGATTCCATAATGGTCTTCCAATTCTCATCACGACAAAGACCATTACAAAATACAGAGTGTGAAGCGGAACAATATAATAGAGAAAATAACTATTTCCTGTAACGAGACAAAATGCAACCGCAGAAAAATTCAATCTCCAAAGCATTTGTAGAAACCTAGGGAATGTTCAACATATTTTCATTGAAATTGAGTAAGTTGGGTTTCAAATGTTCACTTACCTGCCAAACGACATGTCACCCTTATTGTAAAAGTATGAAAAATTTCCAAAACCAGACATCCACACGTAACTACTGACAAAAACTCGAATGGGAGCATACAATTCTTGAGCATTGTAATAATGATACAGTAAAAACACCAATTGCATCCATCCTTTCCATTCTTCGGTTTGTTCTCTGGACAAGATGACGTCCGAATTTTTCTCAACTTTTTGCAATGTGAAAAATCCACAAATTAAGGAAATGATACAAATAGAAATGAATAAATCTCTCGAATATACTCTTTCTGTAGTTTCAAATAGCAATGGATTTTTCGTGTGTCCCAAATACACAATTAATAAAATTCCACCTAGAATTCCTAAATTAGTAATTAGAATTTCATAATTTAACAAATAATTTCCAAATTCTTGGAGCGATCTGATATTTTCATGAAGAGATGACGAAGATGAGTGATGTAGATCGTTCACGGTCTTGTTTGGACTAGTTTCTTCTGTTGCTTGTAATGTGTCATCCTCTTCGTTTGGAAGTAATGAATAATGATTTCGAATTTTCAAAATATGATGTGAAGAAGAACCTTCTTCTTCCATTTGTAACGATTTATCAAAGGAGGAGGATGACTCCTTCGATCGAGCATCGTCTTTTTCTTCTTGATCATTTCTAATTTCCAAAGTGTCCATTGAAACATTTTGATTACTGACAGAATGTTGTTGTCCTTTTTCTTGTAATGCTGACCTTGCTGCCAAACCTGTCATCTCAATTTTCAATTTCCGAATGGCGTCATCATCATCGTCATTACTATTCGTTGTATTTCCAATTGTCTTTTTAAAAAGAACAACAAATTTATACAATTTCAAACCAACAAAAAGAAGAATCCAACTCGTGACAAGAGTGATCATTTCTTGTGGTTGCGAATTTGGTTGGACACTAGGTGTTCAATAGGAATCAAAGAGGAGAGAGCTCGAATAGCGTTTTTTTTTAAAGAGTTTGTTTTGACTTTTTTCAATCATACCTTTCCATTGCTGTCAGATTTGACAATTTTTGGAAATATGATAACAAAAAGAGAGTTTTAACAACAGGATGAATAATGTTGTATCATATTGTTTTAAATGTGATAAAGATGGTTAAATGGAAACAAATCACTTGTAAAAACAATTAAACTAGAAGCCTGAAAATTGTTTGTTATTAAAATAAATTGAAAATTGTCATCATTTCAAAACAAAAAAAAATAAGAACGTTGTACATTCCGATCTCATTATCATCCGCAGAGTTTGTCTGTCGTCATCATTTACTAGTTGTAATTTTATTATGGAATTAATTTTGTAGAACATCAACGTGTTCCGACAAGTGACAGCAAACAAGTCAACACAATGGCAAACCACCACATCATCTCCTCATTATCACCCAAATATCAATTTCTCATCACTCTCTCCATTTCCATCTTTTCATTAATTACTACTTTCTTTCTCTTTGCTCAAGGAATACTAAAATGGGAAGAATATCCGCGGACTCCTGTTCAATTCCAGCGAATTGCTGACACTCATAAAAAAGTTGTCATTTCTGTTCCTTCTACAGGAGGACTGTTAACATCCGAAATTGGTGTCACTTCTACACGAGATGATTCATCCTCGTTACGAATGAAATCATTTGAATTTTTACAACCTCCTTTACCTTTTAAATATTATTACAACGAGACGGAATATTTTCACAAGTACACATCATGGAGACAAGTCGATGAAAAATTGAATCTTTTTCAAAGCAGTTCCATTTCAAAGAGTAATATTGGAAAACCACACTATGACTGCTCTAAAAAACATTTTGATCCAAAATTAGTGAAAGTTTTTGGACCATTTCCAAGTTCGATGGAACATGTGTATTTTTTACGAATTGAAAGTTTCGATCGATTTGATTTGGATTCTCCGTATTTTCAATTGTTTCATGCAAGAATTGTAGAAAAGGAGCATTCTGACCATAATCAAGTCAATATTGCAAATTCAGGAGATTTTGACACTTCCTTGGCAGTTTCTTTTACAAGATTTGTTCCAATTTTAGAAACAAGAGAATTCAATGAACATTCCATGCAATACGTGAAAGATGAAGAAGACAACTCGAGACATCCAATATTTGTGGACCTTAAAACATTGACTTCCAAAAAAAGAAATAAGAGAGTGTATATGGGTCAATTTTTTCTTCCAAGATTGAAAGGAGGAGAATTTCAAGTAGATGTACGAATGACTCATCATTGTTTCTCTCCACGAGATTATTCAAGTCCAAGTATGGATTTTTCTGAAAGTCATGGAATTCAAATTGCAAGAATTCCATTTAGAATTGAAAGAACGAATTGGTCAAATTCTAACTTTCAAGAATCTCCAAATCATTCTCATCGTTACATCATGCAAGAATATTTCAAATTCAAGCAATTTCTTGCACATGAATTATTTAGAACGTATGAACTTGACATGGAATCGACCCAAGACCCATATTTGAAACTTTCCAAGAAAATATTCGATGAAAAAATTGGATTTTGGATGCAATCCAAATCTGGAGAATGTGATCAACTAGTGTGTCGAACGAATTCCATTCCATATTCGAACCATGAGAAGAAGGATTTTTCAACACCTCAACACGACGATCCTTCCAAACAAGTTGAAAATTCCACTCCATTATTGAATCAAATGGTGAGATCGAATCAAGTATATGTTCCTGTTGCGTCTCTTTTTCAAAGTAAGGGAGAAGAATATTTCAAGAATTCACAAGAATCATCGAATTCCTTCACTCGACCCTATGAGATTTTTAATCCACGCCAAGTCATGGATTGCTTTCATGGAAAAAAGGTTGCCTTTTTTGGAGATTCTTCTTTGGAAGAACAATTTTCACACATTCTTGAATGGATGTATCAAGTCGATCCTTCGGTCAAGTACAAACTCTCATTTCCTTCTGAATTTAATGGTAAAAAATTAAGCAAAACCAAATTTAGATATTCCACATTGAAACACGAACATTTTGAAATTCAAAATCGAGGACTCGCTCATGCCTATGTCGATCATAATTGGGGAGGCATTCAAAGTATTATGGAATTAGAGGCTGCACGAAAAGAAGTGCAAGAAATTGCTACAACGTCAGATGTCATTATCATGACCTTTACCTTTCATGAAATGGCTGGACATTACGGACGAGGAGGTTTTCGAAATTTTGACACGGCATGGATTCAACATGAATTATTTTCACACATTACAAAATTTTTCGAATGGGTTTCTGAATGGAAGAAGCATTCGCCAAATTTGAAAATTTTGTGGCGTGAAGTCATTCCTTCACATGATCCTCGCGTCGGTCCAGAATTGATCTTTTCACTCACCAATTCTGAAATTCAACGTCAAATTGCATTACGTCAAGATTTTATAGACTATGTACCATTGGAACAAACGACTTGGGGTAATTCATTTAGAGGACTCTTTTCAGATGGATTGCATTATACGGAACAAGATAAGATGATTTCCAAGATGAATACGCAAATAGTATTGAATCACATGTGTCGAAAGTAACAAGAATTGAAGTAGGTCATTATTTCAAGACTTGTGCATTGGAAACGACCTTGTGATCATGTTGTAGTTTTTCCAAGTTGTCTCGTAAAAGGACAAGACTTGAGGTTTAAGGATTACATACGACGTGATTTGTGAATGACATTTGATACATTGACCACCATTCAACCTGTCACTTGTCCAATTCAAAAAAAAATCTCTCTCATTCAAACATGCGAATTCCCAACCACTCTCTCTGAATGTCTCCTGGAAGACATTGAAGAACCATGTACTCATCAATGCACCACATGCAACTCATCTCTTTGCAACTATCACACCAACAAGCACAAAAAACAACAACATCAGTGTCGTGGTTAGCAAGAACACGATTACCAGAAACAACATTCCTCAATGTCCTTCACATGACCAGCCGTTGAGAATGTTTTGCAAAGCTTGTTTCAAGTTACTTTGGAATGTACTTATTCACAACAACATAAAAGTCATTCCGACCAAATATTTGTCTTCTCAGAGATGGACAAGGAGTTGAGAGACAATTTGAAACAACAAAAAGAACAAGTTCCAAAATGGGCTACTGACGATTGGTGGAAATTCAAAACTGAAGAAGAAATTATTCAAGATCATGAAACGTCTCAAAATTATTACAAACACTATTTTAAGGGACTGAGAGAATTCTTTGAACAAATGGAACAAGTTGCGGTTGGATCGATTTGTTATGGATAAGAGAATTGAATACCTGAGAGGTGTCACAGAAAGAGTTTCCAAATGGACTCAATTACGAAACATGAACGAGCCTCAAGATTTGTATCAAGTGTTTGATAGGTTGGAGAATTTTCGACAAGTATTGACACAAGAAATTAATGTCATGTCCGAGTTTAAAGATCATCCTCTCTTTTCGAACAAGAGATTTGAGAACAGGAACGATAGTGGGTTTGAACGTTGTTATGAATATATTATCAAGAACGCTTTGGCTAACTATACATGTGACAGATACGAATATTATAAGAACCCCTTAGAACAATATGTGAACAATATCAACTACAATCCAAGTTTGATATTATCTCGTGCATTCTTATCAACATCGGAGAACGATAAACTAAAGGAGTTAATCTTTACTGCTGTCAATAATTGTGACTCGGATTGGAAACATTTCTCGTCTATGGTAAACGATTGGTTTTGCAAAGACAAGGATTTCATTTTATCTCTAATTCCAAAGCAAGCTGATGCTTTTAATTGTGCTGAACAATCGTTACGACGGGATAATGAGTTCATTAAGAAAGCATTGCAAGCAAACCGTAAAGTATTTCAGAAATTGAGTTACAATGATTGGAATTTTGTAAAAGAGATTCTAATCGCGTTTCCTGATATAGTAATTCCTGAGCAATATAGAAAGATAGAATGTGTAACCGAGTTGGCAAAAGAGAATCTTGAAATATTGAAACAGGTACCTTGGGCAATAGCTTTTAATGTTTACCATAACTTAAATCCAAAAAAAACAATCCCAACGTTTAAGCTTCAAGAAGGTTGTTATAATGACCAAACCGCACAATACTCTTCCCATTTGAGTCATTTGAACAAACGAATTGATATTCGGACATGGTATTTCTATTCTCAAGCCTCGACTTCAAAGTATGAAATCACTAATGGACAAGAAATTGGTGAAAAAATTTGGAAATATATTTTTGGGGACAAATGAACACCCAAAAGAAGTTAATGAATTTTAAACAACACTATCCAAATGTAATATTACGAATATATTTCCATAAACAAAAAGACAGGTATGAATGTTTTGATTGTAAATAGGACAGAAAAAGTATTTTAATGATGATTAAACGACATTCAATTCCTTTTCCAAAGTCTTCTTTGCCTTATACAAATTATATTCTTGAGTGAGTTGTAATCTTCCAAATGTATCTTTCAAATTAAGCCATACATCTTGTTTCAAAGTATCTAAAACTGTCATGTCAAGTGTTTCCACTGGTTTGTCATCCATTCGTTCTGGAATGTGATCCATCGATTTGGAACCACTGAATTTACTGACATCGTCAGCATAAAGTCTCTTTCTAAAACAGGATAATACCATTTTTCTAGTGGTATTTGGCAAGTTGACCTCCAAAACAGAGTTTTCATTCAAGTAGGTCTTTAAAATTTTCAAAATAATTCGATCAATTTGTTGTGTGACACTTTCTCTATTGTTATTCTTCATCAAATTCTTAACAGAAGGAGAAGATGGTTCTGAAGCTGACACAACGCTCGAAGGAGAAGTTGGAGAACCAGGTTCGTCAACGTTTAAATGTTGTTGTTCGGGTGGTTGATGACTTGGACGTGGTGAGAGAGAACCAGAAGATGAGTTGACCAGAGTATTATCGGAAGATAACATGGCGCTACCGGATGAGCTCTTTCCATTCTTGACTGAAATGGAAGTTGTGGAAAGGACCTCTCGTTCTTCAACCATTTCTCCAGTCACAACTGATGGTTTTGCAAGTGCAGGTGAAATGGCAATCTTGTTGACCGATCCTGGATGTTCCTGAGAAGCTAACACGGCCAATTCTTCAACAAGTTCGAAAAGTAAATAATTTTCCAAAGAAAATTCACGTTCACAATATTGTTGTAACATGACACGAGCTTCATCGTCACACATGAAGAGTTCAAATTCTGTCTTCTTTCCCAGTGTTGAACCATCGTTGAGTTTTGATTCTGGAACTGGAAGTAAGGATTTTCTTCGAATTGCCATTCTGCTGTACTGAATAATGTAAACCACTGCAATAAATCCACCACAACCTAACATGACAAGTGAAAACTCAAAAAGTGAATAAATCAAGCCGTGAACCAAGTAAACAACAGCACGTTGATTCATGTCAAACCAATTCAACGTGTTATAATATTGATCCAAAATGAAGAGCAACACTCCGAAAATGACAGCTGGAATGAACACACCAAATTCCAATCTAAAGAAGAGTGGATCGTCTTGAATGAGGTACCAATGAAGTCCTTTCTTGACGACCTTCTTTGCATTAATGATGGCATCCACAATAATGGAGAGAATGGCAGTTGGAACGACCAATCCCAATAAACCAGCTAATTTCGTGTAAGTGGCAATGGTAGAAATGGGTTGATCGAAATTGGAAGCAGTTCCAGTGACCACTGAAATCAAAATGAACAATGAGAGGGCACAAATCACAACCAACACGAGAATGACACCCACAAGAAAGACCTTCCAAGATGCAAGATTTGCCAACAATCTCAATAACTTCAATTGACGTTCCTCAAATGATTGAGATCCCTTTGATATCTTTTTTCCATGATGAGTCATTCTCTTGTCCTTCTTCTTGGATTTGGAATCTGATGAAAAGTTAATTCTCATGGTACGATACAAATTTCTCGAGAAGAAGTATCTCATGGCTGAAAGCACATACAAGAATCCCAAAACCAAATAAAAGAGGACTTCCATAGAACTGACAATACTGTCATAACTGGGTAAGGCAGCAGCGAAAATGATACCTAATAAACCATACACAATGGCGACTGCACATACAGAACCGTTAATCAAGAAACGAGATTTCACAGGTTGACTCTTTCTTGAAAGGACAAGAATGACCATAATCAACAAACTGAAGAAGAGCACAATGGACATTCTCAAATAACGCAATTGTTTGTAAGTTTCAGTAGGATTATAGTGGAACATGGAATAAATTTCAACAGCGGATGCATCTTGGAATGAAGAAACAGATTGTTGACTTTGCATTTCTGCACTTTCACTCATGGGCTGGTCATTCCACATGTTGAACTTGTTCGAGGTGGAATCTGAAGAACTTGTTGTTGTGGCAAATGAAGTGGGTTGATTGAAAAAATCAGTCAAGTTATACACGACAATAAATTGAGCAAAGTTGCTGTCCCAATCGGTAGCAAGTCGTCGAGTAAGAGTTGCATTCATCAATGGGAAATAACTACCCACGAGAGCAAAGAAATAAATTTCCTTATTGCTTGAAGAAGAACTGCTGCTTCCAACCATGTCTTGATAGCAATTCGTGGTACGGAATGTGAAATCATAGGTAGTGACTTGATTTTCATACGAATTAAGAAGGGCATTACGACCAGTTTTTTGAATGATATCCATTGTAATTTCGGATCGAGTTCTCAAAAAGTATGGCACTGAAAAACCATTCGAATCTACAAAGGAGGTGTCTTCAATCGATCGATTTCCACTTCCAATCTTTTCAATGATCGAACCAACGGTGACACTTAAATTGGATGCAGCTTTGAGAGCAGAGGTATCCACAAGGAGAGGAACCAAATTTCTTGCACTGGTAATTCCCTGAGTGTTATACAAAATTTTAGTGCTTGTAAACACATCTCCGAACGTGAGATTGAGAGAAGACAAGGGAACATAATTGGCAAAGTTTGGACGAGAAATGGGATTCACTTCACCGAGACGAGAACCATCTCGATAGCCACCCAAAGACGAGTAATAGTTCACAGAAAGAGTTGCATCCGTTGTGGCAGTGGAAGCACCATTCATAGTTTTTGTCCATTTTCCTTTCACATTCGATGAATAGACATTATCTTTTCGTTGTGCCGATTGAGCAGAAACCTTCTTGATGGCACTCCAAAGAGCTCCATTGCTTCCATCAGAAAAGCCATAAAACACATTGACAAATCGACTGGAAATTCCAACACTGAGTCGCCATCTCAAACTTTTCAATCCACGCATATTTACATTATTATTCACATCGGTCGAGTCTGCAGTATTTACATATCCATTCAGTGCACAACTCGATGAGAAGGGCAATAGATCAGTCATGGTACTTCTCTCTTCCCATTCTAAAACCATTTTCGCAGGTAATTTGGATGATGTCGGTGGCATTACGACAGCATTGTCATAAATTTCAGAGTACGCTTGTGGAATGACTTGAGCATTAATGGAATATTGTGATGATGATGATAGTATGGATAGCAACGATGATAATGCAAAGATATAAAACATGATGGTGGCTACTGAAGTGGAAGGAGATGATGATAATTGTGTGAAAAAGGATGGTCGTGTCCTATTTGGGAGACGCGATTGATGTGATGATAAAGGTCGTCTCTTCATCTTTGTGTGGTTGCAACAGTCAGCTGCAATCGTCTTGTTGACACCTGTCATGTTGTTGTTGTTGATGTGAATTAAAACGAACGGCACGTATTTTTGTTTTAATAATACAGAAAGCAACTTGATGTTGGATGTTGAGAACTACTAAGTGTGTGCCGTGACAACGACGTCGTTTTGGAATCAAATGTCATCACGTGTTTTTGTCCGTCAAAAATACACAAGGTGGTGTTGATTATTATTAAAGAGGAGATTAGATAACAATGAAGAAGAAGGTAATTTTCATCATCATTATTTGAGAGACATTATGAAGAAACATAGAGTTTGACCATCATTCCATGTTCGAGATTTTCGCAAAGGTAATAATATTAGCGACCACCCGATTTTCAAAGTTCAGTATGTTTGGGATTGATTTTTGCATGTTGTATTATGATACAGCAACATGATGAACTACTACTACTTACGCAACGGACAGCCAAATAGCACGTGTGGTTCGAGTACGAGCAAAGAGGCTGCAGAGTTTTAGGATCTTAGAGTGTGTTGTTGGTGTTGTTGTTTTTTATGGTGTCGTTGATTTGGTCCTTCCATACAACCAGTCACAACCTCAACACGGCTTTGTTTTGCTGTGTAAAGACAGGGCGAACGAGCTTGGCTATTGGCCACCAAATGTCGAAAGTGGTTCTCCAAACGGTTATTTCTCTTTCGGAAAATTAATTTCCTTTTAAATACCGCTGTCAAACCAAATGAACAAGAAGGGTGTTCAATATCGAATCAATGACAATTGGAACACTATCTCAAGTTTGTGATAACACTACTTTTAAAGTCTCCAATGAAGCTCATGGTATGCACATACATTCAACAACTCGAGTTAAGATGCACGTCGTGGGTATTAATATTGATACGAGCCAATGGTTGTAGATCATACCCTTTTTGGCCTCAATGTTTCCTTAAGGAATTCAAAACAGATACCATCATCATGTGTATTGTTAATTAATTCGAGTTTTTGAACCCCGAGTACACATAGTTTCTATCGAATTGGAAAATTACCGATGACTCATCCAAGGAGAAGACCAAGTTTTCAATTTCTGCAAAGAGCACCCGATCTTTTTCAACAAGCTCCTCCAATGAAAGAGAGGGCTGTGGTGGTTTTCTAGAGGGAGGTCGTGGAGTGGATGTTACTTCTCCTAATGTTGACGAATGACTGCTCTTTGAGGCATTAATTGAATCATACCGTTGTAGTTCCTTTGAAACCACATCTTCTACGTTTGAATCTTTTGAAGAGTTTGTAACTCCTACAAGTTCGTCTGCTGGTTTAAAAGTCGAATTTGGGCGTTCGATTAATTGTGGAAGCAATTCAATAGAAGGCTCATTATTGGACTGATTGAAAACTGTCATTGGTGAATAAGTGCTTTCTGAAGCACCTGAAGGAAGTGTTGTTAACTTCTTTGAATTGTTTGCAGGTATGTAGTCATCGACACTTGTTTGAAGAATGTGCAATTCGTTAAAATTCTCCTCATCACTGTTGGTGGAGGTATGACTGAAAGTTTCACATGACATTCGATCCTGCTCTGCCCTATCAAGCTCCTCAAAGAGTATTTTGGGGCTGAAATACTTGCTTTCCATTTGGAGCTGCTGCTCAAATTCCTCAAGATCCAACTTGCCAGAGGTATTTGATTGATGGTCATCGCTCAAAGAGGTTGACTGTATCACTACATCATCAATTGGTTCTTTCAGAAGTGGCAAAGCATCTCTTGTTTCATTGTTCTCACTTGCGACTGTGTTGCTCCGGATGTCTGTGATGGTTTCTTCTTCGTCCACTTCTTCGTTGGATTTTGTTTCTTCAGACTCTGCGTGTTCTAGTGGAGGAGGTGGAGCCCTTCTAAGGATTGGAGACAATGGCGGAATAAGTGATACTGGTGAAAAGGATATACCCTCATTGTCTACCAACTCTTGGTTCAAGTTTGTGGTTACTTCCAATGGTATTCTGGTTGGGGTGTTTGAAGAACGATTAGTGTTGTTGGTTGTTTGATCATTAGTGCCACTCTCTGCAGACACATTTTCCAGGTCCTGAAATTGTGGTAATGATGATAGTTCTCTGCTATCATCCCTTCTCGATGACAATGATGAATTGGACTGGAACGAATCTTCAACGATACTGCTCGACTCCCTATTTTGAAAATCAATTGGGTCTTCAAACGACAATGCTGCTTCAGGTGTTAGATCCGTATTGGAATTGTTGTTTCTATCATTATCAAGTCTTGATTGAAGCTTGAATACTCTGCTCGACAAGGTTTTTCTTTGTGCAGAACGGATTGGTGTGCTTGGTACATTTTGCATGGTAGTTGATTCAGCACACTCGTGTGATTGGTTATTTGATTGCAATTGGAATCGCTTGGGAGAAATGGAGCCAATAGTTTTCACAGATCTGTTGAACGCTGAGTTGAGTGAAGGAATTGGTGGAGTTCGTTTTGGAGTAGAAGATGCTGGGATGCTATCATTGCGTTGTTCGTTTGGCGTTGTCACAACCGCTTGTTGATCATTCATCACAACTGGTGGTGATGGATGTTGAGGACTTGATTTCGACATGTCGTGCATGTTACTTCCTCTCTTTTTCTTCTTTTTGACTTTCTTCAAAAAGGTGGGTTCCTCTTTTCTATGAAGAAAACTATGCTTATCGATCTTATTGGATTGTTTAATAGGCCCAGGTGTGTATGGCTTTGCAGGATTCATTTCTATACAGAACTGAGACGCTAGATATTTGATTTGTCTCGCATAGTCTTCAGTGTCATAATTTTCCAATTTAGCCCGTTCCATTTCGAACAGTGTTGTTTGGAACATACTCCTTAGTTCTTGCACTTTTCGATTGAAACGATATTTTCTATTGGTTCTCCAGTATTTTTGAAAGCTCACAAAAGTATCAGCATGTTCAAGGATGTCTAGCGCTAGTTCTGGACCGAAATATGCCTCCAAAGCCATCATTTCTTCTTCAGAAGCATGGTACAGCTTTCGGTTTTGGTATTTGTGTTTTTTAAGACGTTGTTTCGATGATACTTGTTGAACTGGTTTTCTTGGAGTGGAGACAAAAGGTTTCTCCTCCTTGATGTTTTTTGGGATACGAACTACTCCTATTTGTTGGTTCTTGTGTAATTTTGAAGGTGGGTCCAAAGATTGGTAATATTCAGGTACTGGGCGGCTCTCATCATTATGGTTCTGCAAGCCATCTCCTTCTCTCCTGTTGTAGGAGTTGTGGATCTTGGTGTTATTTATGGTTGAGAATTTTGCTTTGTTTCGTTCGCTACTGAATGTTGTTTCTCTCATAATATTCCTTATTTTAGTATAACATTGTTCGAACGACAAGTTCAGGAACCAATCTTTTGAGTTTCTTATAACCATTTGATGCAACAAGTTTTCCACTACAACATCCTTGTTGCGAGCAGAGCTTTCAAGCATCTTCTCCATTAAGGAATTATTTTGTGAGAAGGCGATTTTATGCTCCATTTGCTTGGTGGTCGAATGAAGGAAACGTTTAGAGTCTTTGAGTGCTTTTCTAGCTTGGACTTTAATTTGAATATCATGCTGCTCCTCTCCGGACGATGAACTTGTGTATGGATGACGCTGGATAGCATCCCCATAACTTGAATGGTCCTCATCATCACTACTGTTTTTAACTCTCTCTACAGGTTCCTCATTCATCGTAAAATCATCATCCGAATATTCTCGTAATTCCTCATCCTCGAATTGTGGCTGATGGATTTCCCTGTTTCCATATGTATGATCAGAGGGTATTCCATAATGTTTATATTTACGTCGATTCATTTTTTATTTAAACCTCGTTTTCTTAATAACGCAAGCTTTGGTAATTACAGTATGGCGGCGCAATTGGTACTAGAAACCTGTCAGATATTCGTCAATCCCACGTCAGCTGATTTGAGTAAACTCCAAAGGAATCAAAAATAAAATGAGTGAGTCTCTTCCTGATTGGTTTGCAAGGGTTTGAAGAACCGAAGCAACTTGGGTTCTTACTGCAACAACAGACAAACTGAAACGAAATATAGAGGCCATAGGACGTTACACCATTATTCGCTTCAGCTGAAGCTTGTAAAACAACAGCGTGCCAACGAACAGCTCACGGAAGACAGATCCTTGCTAGCACCCTAAACCAGAACTATTACCAATTCTACTGCATGACATTCAACGAATAAATTTTTTTATGCTTTCATATTCATTTTTGACTTGACGAATATCTGACAGGTTTTTAGTGCGCTTCAACGTCGGATGCGCCGCCATAAATTGTTATCATTTTCTGTGTGGTACTACTCTTGTTATAATAAATCACTACTAGTTTTCAATATTGGAAGGTATTTCCTAAATCATCTTGACCAAAATCTACTGTCTTTTCAAGCGCTGGAGTATCTTCGAGTTGGAGGGACGGCAACTCGACAAGCTTTGAAGGTTGTTTGGCCTTCTTCTTGGAGCCCTTCTTAGATTGTTCCTTAATTAATCGGTACGTAATGTACTTGTCAACAAGGAGGATGTACACAAATCCAACACCACACGCGATACCAATGACGAATGAGGAGGCTCCAATAACCAATGAATCTAGCACAATTCCTCCGTCACACACGCTCTCGTTCACATCATTCAGTGCAGCAGGAACATAGGTGCATTTGAGAGGAGAGCTGAAATCTGAGATGATTTTTTGCATTGTGTCTGATAGCAAAGTGGGAGCGAGTGCCACAGTGTCATTTACGAGTTTGGTCATATTACTGGACAACTCAGTTACAATATTTGAGATTTTAGTTGGAACAGGCGCCAAATTGGTCTGTAGGTCGTCATTAATGTTTGAAACTGTACTTTCAATTTCAGTTAATTGCTGACGAATGCTCTGAATAATTGTGCTACAATCATCATATTGTTTTGTGGCGTTTAAATACTCTGCGTACCTGATACAGAGTGTTTGATTTTCTCTGCCCACACAATATGAACGGATAGAGCTCATATTTTGAGATGAATTAGCAAGCTCTGTTTGAAGAGTTGCGTTTGCTTGGTTACTAACATTAAGTAAATCAGTTTCAAATGTTTTCAAGCTTGAATTAAACGAGGATGCCATTGAATTGTAGTCAAGGTTCAATGCGTTGAATTTAGACTGCAAGTTATCACCAATTGCTATACTGTTTGTATCAATGGTCATGGAGGCCGAAAGATCATTTAATCCGCTCGAAAATCCATTGCCCATGTTGAACTTGTTGGTCACAAATGTTGTGACAGCCTCAGCATTTCCAATTGTGGAATTCACAAAGTTGTCATACTTTCCACAATTTGCAACGCCATTAATGAGTTGTGATGTTGGTAATCCTACAGATGCTTCCAAGTCTATACCGGTCATATTTGTGACAGCGCTAACAATTGTGACACCTCTTGTTGTTATATTGAAGCAGGCATCATTCAACACAATATATACAATAATATGGAGAGCTGAAAGCAGGAAGAGGAGCCAGTACAATGTACATGAAAAGCATGCAGAAAGTTTCATAAACCATTTGACTCTAAAACAGATACCCACCAAGGCAAAAAGGTACATAGATAAGGGAACGACAAGAATGACCATCTCAATGGATATTCTTACAGAGTCACCAATGTTTACATAAAGGGTGGCGTCTGAGACAGTGTCGGGCGGTATTTTCTTGAACAAACTCATGGCAACCCCCAAGATATTCAGGATGCCAGATTGAATGGTTGAAATGGCTGATTTAAAGGGGCCATTTTTTGTGTCTCCAATTTTTGTCTCGATGGAAACAAAGTTAATAAATTATAAAAGTAAAGCAACAACTTACTTCTGCATCAGATATAGTATAGGAGCATGACTGATGTGTTAATACGACCTTATCTAAGGCATCATCGATTGCAGCATTGGTGGAATCCTTATACAACAAAAAGTTATTTCCGCTTGTGAATGAAGACAATAAATTTGAGTCTGGCTTGGAAATGGCGCTTGCTCGAAAGACGAGTTTCGACCTTACTGTTTGGGCCAAATTGGTTATTGTATTGACATTGTCATCAATGGATGATATCTGGTTTCCAACAATTATCATGGTATCTTTAGCTTGTGTGAGTAAAGGTTCAATAGTTTGAACATTGTCACACAGTTGCTTTGCTGGTACTATGGTCTTTTGCTTAATCGATGAAATGGAGGCAGCCACACTCAAAGGCACACCAATCACAGTGGCATCGACTGCTGCATTGATCGTTCCGTTGATATTCGAAATTATTACTTCTGCAGTAGAGATCACTCGTCGTAAGTTGATCGAGAATAAGGCATTGAATGCGACAAACACTCCTCCCAAGATCACAATCAACACAAATGTCGAAAGAACCATGGTACCCATACATCGAATACGCCCTTTTGTGTAGGCAGGTCCTGAGTAAGGATGATATCCCTATTGAAAAGGCCCAGTAATGTACCACAACATAAATCCGATAGTAATCAACAATATTGGTTGTGATTTGTGTAAAGGTTTCCAAAACCCGCATTCATCATCATGGATGATAATTTCGAACGTATTAGTATTCTCCTCAACCTACCTCCAATTTGGATCCTCCACAACAATTACAAACTCTACGGGAACACCAAATGATGCAATCCATGGACTCGAGCAGAATGCCAATCAACACAATACACACAGCAACTATACCAACGAAAATTGCATAATCTACCCACATCCCCAAATTCAAAAGATTTGCATTATCGGGCCAGTCGGTTCGAGGACCCGAAGGATTCACCTCAAGAGTGAGGGCATTACTTGCTGCCGAAACAGGACCAGCAATCGTTAAACCTAGAATGAACATCGTTACCAAGATCGCTTTGAAATCATCACTTTGAAATTGGCCCTGCATTAAACCATGTGTTTGATGTTGATGTTGAAGGGAGGAAGCCTCTCCACTCTTCCGCATCTTGTTCAAAAGAAAGCCTTGAAATAAGGTCATCCTTACTGCAAAGCCTTAGTGGTGCTAGAGTGAGTGTTAGAGGGAAGACGTTGTTTTTTTTACAGTTGGTTTCTTTGAATTTGAAACGAAAAGGAAAATTGACGATACCCTGGCTCTCCTTGCACTCCAATATAGCTCAAAGGAGTGCTATACGTAACAATTGTAATGGTTTCCCGAAGCGATTTGGTTCTCGCTTGGTTTCAAGCAACTGTTTGTCATGTTTTCTGCAACAACGTTTAATAATGACTTACAATATTTGCATTCACCCAAAATACATCCTCTTTTAAAATCGGAATTGAAAAATTAACTCAAGGATGTATTTATATTTCAATCTCGTCCATCGCCATAAGTTCAAAAAGTTTCATGTTGAGAGTTTTGAATTTTTTTTGAAGTGTTGCAGTTAAAAAAAAATGCCTGGAACAAGAACCAAGAACAAGATGGGCGGTTTGGGAAAGACCCTTCTCAAATCAAGAAACAAGAAGAAGGAAAAAGTATTATCGGATCGTCATCAGGAAACACTTGCAGCATCGATACAACAAGATCATGATGAAAAAGTGGGTTCCGATGAATTACCTATTGAAGAAGAAATTTTAAAAGAAGACACAGTCATGCACAATATGATTAATAGAGGAAGAGGAAAATTAGAAAGTATAATTCAAACCAATGATTTACAAGATTTAATGCTAAATGCCAAGATGAGTTTGAAAAGGTATGAAAAGGAGAGTGCAACATTTTTGATAAAGGACGGAGATGGCGCTCCGAAAGAGTACAAAGTTGTGGAAGCACAAAAAAGTAAGTTTAACAAACACTCAGATGGTAATCATTCGATAAAACTTTTTGACACAATTTCCATTCCGCAACAAATGTCTCAATTTAACCACATGTGTATCAAATCAATGGAACACTTCTTTGTGATGCACAACCAATGAAATTATTTCATCCCAATAGACTCTGACGATGAGGATGAGGATGACATTGTCGACGAGGAAGCATATGCAGAAGGTACTCTCATTCTCAAAGAAAAGACTCAGGAAGAAATCCTCGATCGTGTACGAGAAATGCAAGAGCTCAATGTTCAACTTCCAATTCCTCGCAGACCTAGGGAAGCCTATGAATTATTCAAGAAAAATTCTGACGATGAAGATGAGGGCGAAGAAACAAAGAAAAAAAAGAAAAAGAAGAAATCGAACAATGCTAGCAAATTACAAGCAAAAAAACAGCTCATTCAAATTGAAACAGATTCATTCTTGAGATGGAGAAGAAGCTTGGCTGAAATCGAGGAAAGTTACGACGCCACGTTAACACCCTACGAAAAAAATATTGAAGTTTGGAGACAGTTGTGGCGTGTGGTTGAGAGAAGTGACATTGTTGTTCAAATAGTGGACTGTCGTAATCCCTTGCAATTCCAATGTGAAGATTTGGAAAAGTACGTCAAAGAAGTTGATCCAAAGAAGGAAAACTTTTTGTTATTGAATAAGGCTGACTTGTTAACGAAAAAGCAACGCTTCAAATGGGCATGCTATTTTAAAAAGAAGAAGATTAATTTTCTCTTCTTCTCTGCCAAGAATGAAATTACAAAAATTGCCAATCGTCAAATCACACGAGAGGAGCTTCTCAAGGAGCAACAAGAAGAATTGGATCAATACGATGTGACCAATTATGTTTCTCCACAAGAGAGTGACTGGACCTATATCTTTTCACGATCTGAACTACTATTTTTCTTTAAGAGTCTCATGAAGAATTTTAATCCAGAGCAAAAGAAGAGTGATACGGGACGTGTTGTGGTGGGTATGGTGGGTTACCCTAACGTTGGTAAAAGTTCTCTCGTGAACGTGTTGTGTGGAAAAAAAAAGGTTGCAGTAGGATCGACTCCTGGCAAAACCAAGCACTTCCAAACTCTACCCATAGGAGACAGTGTCATGCTTGCTGATTGTCCTGGTCTCGTGTTCCCATCCATTCAAACGACGAAGGAAGAAATGATTGTCGATGGTATCTTGTCTATTGACCATCAAATGAGAGATTATAGACCACCTATGGAATTGGTGTGTGGACGTATTCCACGACGAACTTTCGAATTGACCTATGGTTTAACTTTCCCCAAGATACCAGGCAAGGCCCGAATGACCTTTGTGACCCCAGAAAATTTATTGAGAACGTTTTGCAAAGCCAAAGGTCTCATGTCACAGAATGGTGTGCCAAATTATCCAATGGCTGCTCGTAGAATCTTGAAGGACTATGTGGATGGTAAAATTCTATTCTGTCATGCACCTCCTGAAAATGTTCAAGTGACTGACTTGGAGGAAGGAGATCAATTGGTATCCAATAACATGATACACACAGATAATGACCATGAAGTCATTGTCATTAATCATGACGAAGAGTTGGCCGATGACGACGAATACTTTACAGAAAGTGAGGATGGCGACGATCAAGAAGATAACCGGCTCGATCAAGGTGATGAGGATGTCCTATACAATTCAGATGGAGAAATTATTGAGAATGAGGACGCTGACGACGAGGATGCTCAAAGCGACTCTGCCAGCGATGACATGGAATGGGAAGGAGAAATTGATGATTTCAACCTTGTCAATGTTCACACAGAAGCTCTGGAAAGAAAGAAGGAAAAGATTATTCAATACAAGGGTTATGATCCATTTGAATTGGATGAACAAACCATCATGGTTGAGCAGAAACCAGAAGGCAATTCTCAAACAGGACCCATGAAAACTCAGGATCTTTTCGACAGCTTGACTGAAAAACAAAAAAGAAGAAAATTCACTCACCTTAAAAAGTTCATGTAAGCGGTGAATATTTAATAAACAAGAATAAAATGTTTTAATCTATTGGAGGACTTGCATCATTACAAATTTTCAAACTCTCTCAACAATTTGTGTGAAAGGGAAGCAGGTAATTGATCAAGATCAGAATTTTCTTTGAATAATTCATTTCTGTGATTCACTCCAAAATCAATCATGATTTGAATCACTTCTGAAAATAAATCATTTTCAAAATCCAATGAATTGGCAATTTCAAAATAATTATTGCAATCAATTTGAATGGATTTGAATGCAAGAGAAACTAATTCTGACATTTCATTTGCTGAAGCTGTCAAGATGAGTGAAATGGCATGTTCTGGTTCAATCTGCTCCAATTGATCATAACAATATTTGACAATATATTCCAAATTCATTGCATCTTCAGGTGTGGAAGGAATGAGTGTCAAAATTTCATCTTTTTCATCATATTTCAGATCTTCCAATTCATATCCACTGTTGAACATGGCTTCAAAAAGTTTTCCACGAGAACTCAATATGGTTCGATGACCATAAATAAATGAATGGTCGTTCTTGTGTGAGAGTTTGATTCGAATGTCACTCGTACGTTTGTCATTCCACAATGACTTGATCATTTCGTTTGGTGATATTGTATTTTCAATCGACTCTTCAAGAACGATGGGAGATATCTTTGTAATTGAACTTTTTTCAAGAATTTCAACATTGTAAGGAATGAATCTTGGGTCTGTCATAATATTCAATCCTTCTCTTAATTTGATTTGAACAAATTCCAAACAATAATTCTTCAACTTAGTCATGATGGAATGAGAGGGTTGTTTTGTCAAGTGTTGTTCAATCATCAACAATGTATCAATGACATGATCAGATTTCATGTGTTTCTCCAATAATATCGAAATTAAATAGTTTTTCAATTCCATGAATTCACCGTGAGCAAGACCCAAAATGTACAAGTATTCAATAATTTCAGAAATCATTATAGGTTCCACAATCGTATCTGGATCATATAAAACAAAATCAATGACATTTTGAATCAATTCAAGTTCACGACAAGACATGTCAGAAAGTAAATTAAAATCTTTCAAAATGGTGGAATGAAAATGAGGACAAAGTTTTTCAAAAAGTGGTTGAAAAACAATGAGTTTGGTGTTGGGAATCATGTCTCTTTCATGTTTCGAAATGCGTGAAATGAAAGGAGAGAAATGTGAAAGGGATGGTTGATAGGGGCTATCTCCATTGTATCCTTCAATTCCATTTCCTGCAATGGTTGTGATCATTCCATTTTTCATAATTTTTCTAATCCTATGATTAGCGGGTAATATTTTTCTAATTCTATCATTACAGCTATCTGCAATATAAACTTCATTATTAGATGAAACAAAAACACTGTGTGGACGATAGAGTTGAGCATTTGTTGCCAATTGATTGTCTCCATTATATCCTCGAGTTCCATTTCCTGCAATGGTTGTGATCATTCCATTTTTCATTATTTTTCTAATCCTATGATTCCAGGTATCTGCAATATAAACTTCATCATTGGATGAAACAAAAACACTCTCTGGATAAAAGAGTTGTGCATTTGTTGCCAATCGATTGTCTCCATTGTATCCTCCAGTTCCATTTCCTGCAATGGTTGTGATCATTCCATTCTTCATTATTTTTCTAATTCTATCATTACAGCTATCTGCAATATAAACTTCATTATTAGATGAAACAAAAACACTGTTTGGACCTTTAAGCTGAGCATTTGTTGCCAATTGATTGTCTCCATTATATCCTCGAGTTCCATTTCCTGCAATGGTTGTGATCATTCCATTCTTCATTATTTTTCTAATTCTATGATTACCTCTATCTGCAATATAAACTTCATCATTGGATGAAACAAAAACACAGGATGGATAATTGAGTTGTGCATTTGTTGCCAATCGATTGTCTCCATTGTATCCTTCAGTTCCATTTCCTGCAATGGTTGTGATCATTCCATTTTTCATAACTTTTCTAATTCTATGATTCCAGGTATCTGCAATATAAACTTCATTATTAGATGAAACAAAAACACTGTGTGGACGATAGAGTTGAGCATTTGTTGCCAATTGATTGTCTCCATTATATCCTCGAGTTCCATTTCCTGCAATGGTTGTGATCATTCCATTTTTCATAACTTTTCTAATTCTATGATTCCAGGTATCTGCAATATAAACTTCATCATTGGATGAAACAAAAACACCATACGGAAAATTAAGTTGTGCATGGATTGCCATCATCATTTGCGATTTGGATGCTTCCGATGATTGAAGAGAGAGAGCCATTTTTTTGTCGTTGCGAAAAACATGCAACCAGAGTCTTTAAAACAATGAAAAACACTCAAGTCTTGCGAGGTTACAACATTTTTTTTCGACTTTTCTTTTCGAGACTAGTTGCGACAAGTTCTTGTAACCTTGCTTTTTCGAACTTTTCAAGACTCACTCTAGCTGAAGTCTTCTCAAGCAAACTGCTTCACAAGATTTTCTCTACAGAAACTTTTAGCGAGTGGGGCTTTGAGAACACGATGGATGTACAAAAAGAATGAATCATGAAGCAAAGACACCTGAAGCTTTCAGGGACGATCTTTCAGGCTTAATCAACAAGTAGTTTCGTTTGATTCATCTACAAATAAAACCTTCCCCAGTCACTTGGCTGAAAAGACAAAGCCTTCAATACAAAAGTTCCAGACCAGAAAACACACAACTGAGTGTCTTTCTTTGTTGTATCGGTGGCGTTTCTTAATTTTAGAGTATGAACGATCAAGTTCTATCACTCCAATGCAAGGACTTGTCCTAATTGGTAAGGTGGAATTGAAGCTCAACCAAAGTTCGTCAACATTAATTGTTGTTGTTGTCGATGATGTAAAAGAAGCACACAAAGTCCTCAACAACAACGCCTCAACCATGGAGTTCTACCTTTCCTCAAGGAACCAACACGTCTGTACAAATTACAATGACACACAGTGGTTTAACTAGCGCCAAAGTTTGTTGGTGTATTGGTTGTTGGACTCTCTCGTCCTTAATAGAGATTCAATACGAACCAATGATGCCATTTCCTAGGACTCATCAGACTCTTCATCAGAAGAAGTATCACTATATTCATCACCCACCCGCTCGTAATCGTGATCCGTTCCATACTTCTGCCCCTCACGGCTCGTTGTTGAGTAGTCCCTTATTTTCAAGTTTCATCGGCTGTTGTTGTTGCTGCCATTTATCAGTCCCTTATTATCATGTTTCATCCAAATATTGTTGTTCTCACGAGTTGCAAATGTTCTGCATGTACTATTTGTATTTTGCCAAAAATCGTTATGCAATTCCGGGCGGATCTGCCTAAAGCTTTACAAGGCATACACCCTCTCGGTTGGAATTGAGGCAAGAGTTGTGCAATAAAGTACATAAACAAAAGCACTCAAATGATGCATCAAGAAACGTTGACGTCTTCCACATTACCACTGTTGGTACTGTCACTGCAACAAGTAGTTGATGGCTTTTAGTGCAAGGTCATAGTGTGGTTCAACGCAACTCCCCTTTTGTGTTAGACCCTCGCCAACTCGCCAACAAACTCGCTGGAGTATTTTGGCTCGGGTTAAACCACTATGTGTCACTCTTAATTTCGTAAAGACGTTGTTGTTGTGTTTTGAAAAACTTTTACAAAAAAAATGAATCTTGATCGAAGCGCCGTTACGACTACGGATTCATCCTCCTCCTCCTCTGTTCTTCATCACACAACCTTGGAACAAGTCAAAGGAAGAAGTAAGAGAGCATCGTCCAATCCGTTAGCTCTCTCTTTGAAAATTACGGGTATGTATCATGGATGATCAACCGTGTGATGATTTATTGAATTTAAAAAATTGCCAATATGGTTTGCATCATCAATTATTGGATCATCAATGTTGCTAACAAAAATTCGGAATATTTTGGATCGTTCATTACTTTTTGGAAATTTGTAAAACACAATCCAATGCACATTTGATCATCGATTTGATCGAACGTGGACATTCACCAAAATTTTCACGATCATCATGATATCATTATTAATTTATTTTTTAATGACATGTACAGTTCCGGAACCATCTTTTAAAAAGATTGATGTACAAACGTTTGCAAGCATGATCGGAAAGGAAAGCGTGTTAATTATTGACGTGAGGTATGAAATCAATTGATCTTTGACCTTTTTCAAAATGTGTTTTTTGTATGAATCAACTCATTTCCTAAAATTAGAGATGAAGATTATGAAGGAGGACATGTCAAAGGAAGTCTGCATTTAGATTTCTCAAATTTTGAGCAAGTTCATTTACCAACACTTATAAAGACATGTAAAGAAAAATCCTCAAGTTTGGATACCATTGTATTTTACTGCATGTATAGTGAACAGCGAGGACCTCAATGTGCCACAAGTTTTGCCGAAAAGATTGCAGATGATAAGGAATTACAACATTTGAAATTGTAAGTGTGTGAAAATGATGGTCGTCGAGAATTGTCAAATAATCTTATGGAATCAATGAAAGATTTGTACCCTCTGGAGGATTTAATTCATTCCTGAAAAAGTATCCAGCTCCCAACGAATACATTGATGATTATTCGGCCGAGTTTTTTTATGAAAATGAAGATGGACAATTACTTCACAAAATTGATGCTCAATATCTTGATGTCATTACAGGAGAAAAGCAAAATTTTATTCATCCTCATCACAAGCAGGAATAAATTTGTGTATTTGAAAAACATAAATTTTTTCAATCGAAGACGACTTTTGAACACTACCAGCGAAACTGTCAAATGCCAACACCTAAAAAAAATGTCACTCAAAGCTAACATAATCTCGGAACAACCACCACATTCACAACAACACTTCTCTCATCGTTTGATTGATTGGCTTCAATTCCTCACAAGTCAATACAAATGCATGTCTCATTTAAATCTCTTCCGAAATGATCATCACTTCACAACTAATTCTTCTACTCCAATTTCCTCACAAAAAATTTGTGAAATTTATCATTCTCAAGACGAATTCTTTATGAATAATGGATTATTATTTATTGGAATTATGAATCATTATTTTCCGAAACATGTGAAAAATCCTGATTTGGCAAGTGTTAACTTTCAAAAAGAAATTGAAGTGGTATGGACTTTGGCACACACTCAGCTCGAAATGCCATGTCATTATTCTCTAGAAGAATATCATTCAAGTGGCAAAGGAAATGGTTTGAATTTTTCTAAATTAGGAAAACAAATTGAAGAATATTACTTCTTTTTTAATAATGATGAAAAAGATAATGTTTCATCTTTAGGGCAGAATTATACAAACTCACAACGAAAGAATGACTCGAAAAAACAATGTGTCATCTCATCGGCAAGTTCCTTAGTGACTGCACTTGGAAATCAATCCGTGTCGACCACAATTTCTTCGAAACAAAACTCTCCAACCACACAGAAATTCAATCCCAAAATTGAGGACATCATTGTCTTGGAATATAATACGCATCAAGTGGCAGGTAGTACGAATCCAATGAAAATGACTAGTCATGAATTTATTCAAAATTCAACAACAAAGAAACCTCTTCCAACACTTCCTGTCACATCATTTCAAGACAAGACAACGTTGTCATTAAACAAGACAAATCCTCAACTAGAAAAAGCAATCACTCAACTGATCAGTGAAGATCATGAAGAAAAGGAGCAACCAGTTTTCTTTTCAAAAACTGCATTCGTCGATAAGGAAGACTCTGAAGTATATTACCAAAAATTCAAATATTAGTACCTTATAAGAAAAATTTTGTTCACGTGAGATCCATGTAAGGTCTTGTCAACAACAACTTGATTGTAAAAACATAAGCCAGAATCCCATTAATTGGTTGTAAAATCTAACTTGTTATGTTTACAAAATTATACAAGTCAATTGTTTATAGCAAGTACAATATTGAGAGTGTAAAGAGCTCACCACAGAGAATAAGATTATTCTGTGATTTGCATGGCATCCTTGGTGCTGCTTTCTTCCTCAACGATCAACTTGGATTTCAATTGCAGAACCTTTTCATTCAAAACAGCAGTAGTACCACGTGGAATGACATATTCACGACGATACTTTCTTCCTGATGGAACATCATAACCACGAATATAATTTGCAACTCCATCCTTATTAATGACACACAAATCAACATTGGAACCGCTTCCCAGATCGTTATAAATACCTGCAGAAATTGCCTTATGAACAATTGCTTTGGCTTCTTCTTCAGTCATATCATCTTTATATTCACTTTCAAAAACAGACATGGCAGCCAATGATCCCGAACCCATAGTAACAAAAGGTAATCTATCAGTTGATCCGTGAGGATAAATTGTGTACAATGCTGGACCATTCACATCCACACCACCCAACACAAGAGCAGCACTGATATGACCTTGATATCTCCACAACATTCTCTTGAACATGGTCATGGCTGTATCCACACGAGATTGCTTTCCAGTAGCATAACGATGAAGTTGTAATTTTGAACTGATCAAAGCTGTTGTATTCTCTGTATCGGCTGCAGTACCAGCACCACAACAATAAATATTAGGAGCAATGTAGTGAATCTTCTCACAATTCTTATCGGCCACAATGGGTCCATTGGTAGCTCGGGTATCAGCTCCCAAAACTACACCATCCTTGAACACGACACCACAAATTGTAGTACCTGTTTTCAGAGTTTTTGGAGGTTGTACATTGAGATTGTTTTGTAAATAAATATTACGTGCAACATTGCCAAAATCAAAGCCTCCGATGACCTGAGAGTTGTTGTGTGTTGCTGAGGACATTTTTTTTTTGATTTTGGCTGAAATATTTTTAGATTTCCTTTCCTGCTTCTTAAAGATTGAAAAATTGGGCAGGACGAAAATGAATTGTTAAAGAATTCATAGTACAACCTTGTTCTTTAACTTTTCATGCAAATTGTTTTATCGATCAGGTGGCTGTTATTTTGGCCCACTTTGGACTTGAATCATTACAAATTTTCAAACTCTCTCAACAATTTGTCTGAAAGGGAAGCAGGTAATTGATCAAGATCAGAATGTTCTTTGAATAATTCATTTCTGTGATTCACTCCAAAATCAATCATGATTTGAATCACTTCTGAAAATAAATCATTTTCAAAATCCAATGAATTGGCAATTTCAAAATAATTATTGCAATCAATTTGAATGGATTTGAATGCAAGAGAAACTAATTCTGACATTTCATTCGCTGAAGCTGTTAAAATGAGTGAAATGGCATGTTTTGGTTCAATCTGCTCCAATTGATCATAACAATATTTGACAATATATTCCAAATTCATTGCATCTTCAGGTGTGGAAGGAATGAGTGTCAAAATTTCATCTTTTTCATCATATTTCAGATCTTCCAATTCATATCCACTGTTGAACATGGCTTCAAAAAGTTTTCCACGAGAACTCAATATGGTTCGATGACCATAAATAAATGAATGGTCGTTCTTATGAGAGAGTTTGATTCGAATATCGCTCGTACGTTTGTCATTCCACAATGACTTGATCATTTCGTTTGGTGATATTGTATTTTCAGTTGACTCTTCAAGAACGATGGGAGATATCTTTGTAATTGAACACTTTTCAAGAATTTCAACATAATAAGGAATACATCTTGGATCTCTTATGATGCCAAAATGTCTTTCTCTTAATTTGATTTGAATAAATTCCAAACAATAATTCTTCAACTTAGTCATGATGGAATGAGAGGGTTGTTTTGTCAAGTATTGTTCAATCATCAACAATGTATCAATGACATGATCAGAAGTCATGTGTCTCTCCAATAATATCGAAATTAAATAGTTTTTCAATTCCATGAATTCACCGTGAGCAAGACCCAAAATGTACAAGTATTCAATAATTTCAGAAATCATTATAGGTTCCACAATCGTATCTGGATCATATAAAACAAAATCAATGACATTTTGAATCAATTCAAGTTCACGACAAGACATGTCAGAAAGTAAATTCAAATCTTTCAAAATGGTGGAATGAAAATGAGGATAAAGTTTTTCAAAAAGTGGTTGAAAAACAATGAGTTTGGTGTTGGGAATCATGTCTCTTTCATATTTCGAAATGTGTGAAATGAAAGGAGAGAAATGTGAAAGGGATGGTTGATAGGGGCTATCTCCATTGTATCCTTCAATTCCATTTCCTGCAATGGTTGTGATCATTCCATTTTTCATTATTTTTCTAATTCTATGATTAGCGGTATCTGCAATATAAACTTCATCATTGGATGAAACAAAAACACTATCTGGATAATTGAGTTGTGCATTTGTTGCCAATTGATTGTCTCCATTGTATCCTTCAGTTCCATTTCCTGCAATGGTTGTGATCATTCCATTTTTCATAATTTTTCTAATTCTATGATTATCGGTATCTGCAATATAAACTTCATCATTGGATGAAACAAACACACTCTCTGGAAAACTGAGTTGTGCATTTGTTGCCAATTGATTGTCTCCATTGTATCCTTCAGTTCCATTTCCTGCAATGGTTGTGATCATTCCATTTTTCATTATTTTTCTAATTCTATGATTAGCGGTATCTGCAATATAAACTTCATCATTGGATGAAACAAAAACACTATCTGGATAATTGAGTTGTGCATTTGTTGCCAATTGATTGTCTCCATTGTATCCTTCAGTTCCATTTCCTGCAATGGTTGTGATCATTCCATTTTTCATTATTTTTCTAATTCTATGATTAGCGGTATCTGCAATATAAACTTCATCATTGGATGAAACAAAAACACTATCTGGATAATTGAGTTGTGCATTTGTTGCCAATTGATTGTCTCCATTGTATCCTCCAGTTCCATTTCCTGCAATGGTTGTGATCATTCCATTTTTCATAATTTTTCTAATTCTATGATTCAAAGTATCTGCAATATAAACTTCATCATTGGATGAAACAAAAACACTATCTGGATAATTGAGTTGTGCATTTGTTGCCAATTGATTGTCTCCATTGTACCCTTCAATTCCAGTTCCTGCAATGGTTGTGATCATTCCATTTTTCATAATTTTTCTAATTCTATGATTACCGCTATCTAAAATATTAACTTCATCATTGGATGAAACAAAAACACTATCTGGATAATTGAGTTGTGCATTTGTTGCCAATTGATTGTCTCCATTGTATCCTCCAGTTCCATTTCCTGCAATGGTTGTGATCATTCCATTCTTCATTATTTTTCTAATTCTATGATTCCAGGTATCTGCAATGTAAACTTCATCATTGGATGAAACAAAAACACTGTATGGACAATAGAGTTGTGCATGGATTGCCATCATTTGCGATTTAGATGCTTCCGATGATGATGATTGAAGAGAGAGAGCCATTTTTTTGTCGTTACGAAAAACATGCAACCAGAGTCTTTAAAAGAATGAAAAACACTCAAGTCTTGCGAGGTTACAACATTTTTTTTCGACTTTTCTTTTCGAGACTAGTTGCGACAAGATCTTGTAACCTTGCTTTATCGAACTTTTCAAGACTCATTGTCACACATTTTTCGCAATTCATATCGTTTTTTTCCATTCTTCGGTGGTCATGAAATTTGAACGACAAACGTTGTGATTGATCACGCAAGCCAAACTGAACAAGGAGTTTGAATTGGCGTCCTTTTATTTTGTGGCTGTGTCATTGGGAAAGGGCTAAAACGCTTCATACAACGATAACGCAAGTTTTTAGCCGGGGCAGACTTACCTAGCGTCGTTGTTGAATGAGAACACACACTGTGGAGGGAATGTGTTACTTCTCACTTAAATTTTCAACTCCAATCCATTCCAACGCAAATACATTTGTTTTTCCACACAAACTTGCTCTCTTTTTCATCCACATGTATTTAGTTTCATTGGGAAGCAATAAAAAGCCATTCTCTTCAAAGTGATCCATTTCAAATCGAAGTGAGGATTTATCCAAAGTGTCTCGATACTGCTCTCCTGTCTTGATAAATAAGCGAGTGAAAAACGATGGAGCTTTAAAACACGTGATGGCTAATTTCACATGGCTTTGGGTTTCTTGTTCTATTTGAAGTTTCAGAGATGGTTTTGTCATTTTGTATACCTTCTTCAATTCACATAGGAAATGAACTGCTTGGAGAGTGTGTTGAATTCTTTCGTGTTGATGTGAATTATTGTTGGTTGGTCTAATTATTTCAATATCGAGAGAGCATTTTAAAAATCCCAAAGTCTTTTGTTGCAAAATTTCACGACTCAGTGGCAATGAATAAAGAATCTCACTTGCCATGTCATTGTTTGTGGAATTGAATGCCTTTTCGCAACACGATGGAAATTCAGAAATTTCTCTACTCCACAACTCTTGTCCATTCTCATACGAAAGCATTTGAATTTTCAAAAGTTTCAATTCAATCGAATTGTGTTGAAATGTAGAATCTGAAGTGAACCAAAAATCTAATTGTTCAGTAGCAGCGTGCTCATTGTCATGATGGTCCATGGTAATTGTGATCGCCGAACATGCAATGGAGAATAAATAGGGAGCAAAAAAGTCCTTACTGAAATACTGCAACAATTTCCACGTTCCATTCCATTCTAGAGAGGACCATGAATTACCAGGCCTGGCAATAATAATGTTTGAGAGTACATGCATGAATATCCGTGAAATATATGAAATGAATAGGATATTCCAAGAAATACTGAAAACTACTACACATACCAAATATCATTAAGCTGCCAATAGAGTGCTCCAGAGCAGATTTTTAATTGTCTTCTCCAATGTTCACATGCAGTTTTGATAGCAAGTGCTTGATTGACTTGAGATAAATAGACAAAATCTTGGAATGTTTTTGGAAATCGGAATTCTCTAGAAATGTGTTCAAGAATGCACTTGTTTCCAACATAGCTTCGTTGTCTTGACTCCATCACTGTTAAACATTGTCGTGAGAATATGAAAAGCATCTAATATGACCAACATGTTTTTACATGTACCAAAAATACGTACCTGGTGAAGTAATATTCAAATCTTGTTCATCACCCTCTTGTTCAATAATAAATTGAGCCAATGTTTCAAGACTTGGTAACGATTGAAAACCAAATTCTGAGCTAAATCTAGGTATGACTGTTAAATAATTTGAAAATGGCTTACCACCATGCCAAACAGCCCAATAATGTGCATCTCCTTGAGTTAAATCTTGAGGATTTCCATACTTCATAATTCCATTCGATGGAGAGCTTGGCCAAAAAGGTGGAGTATTAAATTTGGAAGAAGAAAACTCGTGTGAAACAACATGATAAATGGTATCATAGTAAAGCTTGTGGTAATCGACAACAAGTCGTTGTTTGCTTTCAGAATTGACACATTCAGGCCAACTCAAAAGCGCTTCCTCATTTTCATTATTTCCAGCAAAGAGAGCGATACATGGATGATGTTGTAAGTGTCGAAGTTGCTGAACCACTTCTATGCGGCAAGATTTCAAAAACAATTCATCTGATGGATATAATGAACAAGCAAACATGAAATCATGCCACAGCAAAATACCATATCGATCACAAAATTCATAGAAAAAGTCGTATTCGTAACATCCACCTCCCCATACGCGTAGCATGTTCATATGACAATCATGAGCACTCTTGATTAAATTGTGAATATGGTCTTTACCGTGAAAGCATCGACTTGGAAAACAATCGGAAGGAATCCAATTACTGCCTTTGCAGTAAATCGCACGATGATTCACTTTGAATTGGAATTTGTGACCATATTCGTCTTTTGAGGTATCGAGTTCAATTTTTCTTACTCCAAATAAAATCTGCTTTTCTTGGTTAAAGGGTTCATTATGGATGGCCACTTTGAAATGATATAGTGGTTGATTGCCATAGTCATTGGGATACCATAATTTCAAATTTCGAATGGATCCAATACTCAATGTGGCGATATACATGTCTTCCAATTCCGTGTCTTTTTCTAAATGGTCACACCATAGAGAATGGACATGAACTTTTTGATGTGAAGAGTCATCAATTATGGACACTTCCACTTGTCCAATAGCTTGCTTGATTCTTTCACAGCCATCAAAATTTTTGCAATAGAAATATAATTTGGCAGTGAGTGAAACATGTTCACAGGTTTCGTGATTTCCTGTCGTTCCCATGTCAGAAAAATCATGTTGATACAGAGCAATATCTTTCAAGAAAATTATCGTGTTAGCATTGATGGTTTGTGTCAGAGGTGACCACTGATTGTTCAAAGCACTGTGACTACGATTAAATCTCACCAAATAACAAGGCTTATGGATTCCAATAGATGCAAACGCAGGTCCCCAATCCCATCCCAATGCACATCCTAAATAATAACAAGTTAACATTCAATGAATATGATGCCACCATGACACGAGATCAACACACACACACTAGACGTACCTTCTTTTCTTAGAAAATTTCTTCCTCTCGTATCAAAGTCTCTGGTATAGGAAGGACATGGGATCTCATATGCTTGTTCTTTGAGATGTTTTTCAAGTCGCTTTCTCGATTCCACTATGGCTGATTTAAAATCAATCTCAATGTGCAGAGAGAGTTTTCCAGGGTGATCTTGTTGCAACCATTCAGAAATATCCAAAATATGATATTGAAACATGTTATCACAGGATCGTACCAATGTTCCATTCACTTTAATGTCGGCAACACAATCTAGTCCTTCCAAGACCAATAACCAAGACGCGTATGATATATTATTCTCTTGAACGTTATGGATGACACGATCCGATGATCCAATCTCGAACCATTGTTCCAAATCATCTATAATACATTCCATTTTCCAATCCGAATATCCGACCCATAATTGTTTTAATTCTTCAAATCGAACATAGGGATTATTCACTAATTGGTGTTCATAGAGAATGGAATGAACATTACATGGAATTTGCTTAATGGGAATTTTATGAAATTTCGATAATGATTGCTGATGATCATCATTACGCGGAAACACTTCATATTCATAGTCGGTTGTTTTCATGAGTTCTTTTCCATCTCGGAATTGAGTCAGTGACAGAAACCATTGAATATTTTGATTTTTAATTTTATGGATTGGTTGTTGGTGTTTCGCGTCGCTGTGTGAATCTTGTGCATGAAAAGAAGAAAGTGGAAGAATCTGCACCATTTTTTTTTAAGGTTGACTTTGGAAGACGTGACATTGATCATGGTTGAATATCTTTCAAAACACTAACTGTTGTTGAACTGGAGGTTACAGATAAATTAAATGTGGCACTATGTCCTTTTATTATGCAATCTATTGTCTTGCATTTTGAATCATATATTCCTTATTAATCAAGTGGTTGGACTTTTCGACCAATTGCAACAATTTGACAATATCGTGGGCCCACGAGTTCAATACGTCATTGTCTTCTCCATTTTGTACTTGCTTGAAAACAATAACACCTTGCAAACGATCCATCTTGGCATTAATGGTCTTGTTGGTGACCATTCTAGAGATGAATCCTTCAACTTCGTCTTCATTAAGGTACAAGAGTTCAGAAATGCGTTTGGTCTCAATTCTCGAATAGAATTGTGCAATTGTACGAATATTCTTCTCCACGACTCTACTGCGAAGGTCGGCATAGGTTTCAGGTGATTTGGCGAAGATTGGGTGATTCTTAATGATGGCCCCGAATTGGGCTTCGAATTGAGGCCAATTAATGACGCCACGGCTCACAAATTGTTTCAAGAGCATTCTGAAAGGTTGTAATTTTGGTTCTTCCAATTTCTTCTCCTCAAAGGTTCGATGCATGAGATCATGTTGCTCATTTCCATACTCAGCCAATACAATGTACAAGACCATGTGTTGCAAGATATTCATCCATTCGTCATCATTGGATTGAATGCTAGGTGTTGTGAAAATTTGTTGATAGGAACGGAAAATGTCCAAATATTGTTTCTTTTGAGAGTAGAATCGAATCATGAGTTCATAATAACGGATCTTTAAATCTTGATGATCCACTTCAGAAATACTCTTTTTAGTAATTTTCTTGGAGACAATGACTGCTCTCACATAATCTTGCTTTTCGAGACACAATCGAATCGATTCAAGAATAAAGTCAATCTTTTCTCTGATTGCCATGCTATTGATGGTTTCTACTTGTACATCTTGGAGAAGTGAGGCTGCTTCGGAAATGTTTCCTTCTTCCTCTCTGATTTTGGCAAGCATTCGAGTGACTCGAGCTCCCTCCAACTCTACAAAGATTTTACCTTCAGTGATTTTACGAATTGTATTGATGAGTTCAATCTTTCTTTCCTTGCTAGGTGTCAAGTCAATATATTTCATGGCTTCTTGAATCATTTTTTGGGTGGCTCCTCTCGATTGTGATCGTTTCTTTGCAAGAAGTGTCAATTGATCATTCAATTCATCCCAAGCTTGAACTTTGGCACACAAGGCCACAATATTCACTAGAACTTTGCTCAAATTTTCATAATCTTCAGAAAGACGAACGGTTTTTTCGAGAGCCAAGACTGGTTCCAAAGCTTGCTTGAGTGCAGAAATACCACCCTTTTCAATGGTTTGATTAGCTGCGGAAAGGGTCTGATCAGTTTGCTCGGAATAATCTACATCCATGTGCTTCTTTTTTCGTTCTTGATCGACTTCATTGGATGATGGATCTTCAGGGTCAAAGGTTGGTAATGGCATTTTGATAACTTCTTATTACAGTGATTCGAGCAATTGATATCAAGCTATTAGGAATGATGAGGTTTGGTAATTATTTAATTCAAGAGGATTGGTCTTGCTTGTTCCGAGAACGATGATGAAAAAGTGTGCACAACACCAATACAATTAATTTTTTTTTTTTGATGTAAAAGAATTATGGATTTAAATATTATTTTTAGCTTTCTATTCCTTTGCAACTAAATTGAGGTACTTGAAAGAATAAAAACAACCTCAAACTCATCAAGCTGGTTGTTTTGAGTTCAGAGTTGAATACTACTTTTTTGAGTCGAATACATGGATTATAGTAAGAACCGAAAGAAAAAACATGCTATTGCCAAATGAAACCAAACACAGCTGTTTGAATTCATGAATAGTATGAAAAACAAAAAGACGTTTGTCGTTCAAATTTCATGACCACCGAAGAATGGAAAAAAACGATATGAATTGCGAAAAATGTGTGACAATGAGTCTTGAAAAGTTCGATAAAGCAAGGTTACAAGATCTTGTCGCAACTAGTCTCGAAAAGAAAAGTCGAAAAAAAATGTTGTAACCTCGCAAGACTTGAGTGTTTTTCATTCTTTTAAAGACTCTGGTTGCATTCTGATCTTGATCAATTACCTGCTTCCCTTTCACACAAATTGTTGAGAGAGTTTGAAAATTTGTAATGATGCAAGTCCTCCAATTCTTTGTCATTGGTAAATTTACATCACTTCCTTTATTGTGTTAATAAACGGGAATCTTCTGCTCCAACTACTACTCGTTGAAGATTTGAACAAATTCAGTCTTAGATCGACCAAAACATTCAGGACAATACATTTCTTCGACATGGCTTGGAGGTGCCACAAAAGATCCAATGCTTGTGGCACGTGCAATGTAGGAATAGGTATGAGAACCTTCGTAGAGAATTCTAGCAAATGCTTCCACTCGTTCAGTTCTGATATTTTGATGCTCAAACCATCGACTCCAATATTTGGTCATGTCAGTAGTAGAATCATTCGATGTTAGATTGATATCTTTCAAATCTAAATGTTGAGATTCCAATTCTGGATTTACAGGTTCCAAGCCTGCTGGTAACTTGTCCATTAAGGCAATGTTATATCTTCGAGCCGTGTTGGTAAATGTGAGAGTGACACGAACAAGTTCACCAGATTTGATTTTCCATGAATTTCCATTCTTATCAAATGTGACATGCTCCTTGTGAGTAACTCCTTCATAGGCTCTATGGATTGAGAATCCTCGATCGAGAGCTGGTAGTGTTAAATTTTCAGGCGTATAACTGAGGGCAATTCGGTAATACAATCGTCCATCTCCAACTTTGGAAACGACCAATTCTTTGTTACAATTCAAATGTTGTTGTGGATCAATGACTTGTTCATCCATGTATTGTCTTGGAATAAGGGCCTTCACAGGTAACAATGTGGTCATTTTATCTTTGCATCTTCCTTTCCAAGTTTGAGGACCCAAATAAAGTGTTTCGTCTTGCTTGGTGGTGTCTACAAGCCATGTGTTCACAGTCATGTCAGGAATGTCCTTTTCAAACTCTCTGAAATAGTCAGTGACTGAAATCATACATGAGGCATTATCGATGGTGTTTCTCCATCTTCCATATGGATGGTTGTTTCTTTCTGCCAAAACACTTCTCAACAATTTTTGAATTAAATCACTCGACTCTTCTCTATCAATCTCCATGAGAGCAGACATGACATTGGCATTTGTTCTCACATCGGAATGCAACATGACCATCTTGGCTGTCTCATCATCTCGATACGAAGATATAAATTCAGCATAAACTCCAGAGTCAACAGTGACATTCTCTTTAAAATATGATTTCAAATGTTGCAGCCATTCGCTTGCAGAAAGACCTTTTTCGAACAGGAAGGAGAGGAAACCGGATCGTTCTTGGTTCTCCTCACTTGTTTCAATGGTTGAGCGATGCAATGCAACAGATAACCATGCTGCACAATCTGGACTCATTTTTCCAGTCAAATCATTCACGTCCTTGTAATGTGAAAGAAGTTTTTCACAACGATCCCTTACTTGTTTCTTTTCCTCGTCTGATTCCATGAGTAAAGAATAAACATAATAAGCAAAAGATTTGATCGTATCCTTGAGAACTTGTGGCCACAAGAATCCTAAAAAGAAGAGTGATTCAATACGTAAGAGAATTCTCTTCAATGATTCCAATACTGTACTTGGTATTTCATATCCATATTGTCGACATTTGGCAAAGCAAAGTGCCACGTGACAAGTCAAAAATGGATCTCCAATTAAGATGGTTTTCCAAACTGAAAATGAACCATCACTCTTTTGTCGGTCAAAGATCCTTTTCAATTCATCCTTTACGAATGAGTCAATTTCTTCTGCAGAGCTAATGTCCATTAATTTTTTCAACTGTTCTGGTGTGTAGAATTGTAAAATAATATCCTTCATACACACAATTCCAATAACTTTGCTTGCAATTTGTTCCGTGCACTCAAATGGATAGGTATACAAATAAATGAGAGAATCTGTGAGTGTTGAGAGAGCAGTGGTACTGGTGGAAAAGCTAACTTCTCCAAAGTGTGAAATGATTCGCTTCTTTGGAAGTGCAATGGGTTGAGCAATGACAGCACTCTTGTCTTGAATGTCTCCATACGTTGCAAATGCTTCAGTCGTAGCTGGTGTGAAAACGTTGATATCATTCTTAACAGCATCACTCCAACCAACCATATCATTCACTACTGATTCCTGTGCATCGGATGAGGAACAAGCTGGAACTGCTCTGATAACACGAATACCAACATTGATTCTTGCCTTTCCACATTTTTGAACTTGCACAGGAAGACGAACTTCCTTTCTTTCGAGGCCCTTCAAAACAACAGTAATTCCTCTCTTACGTTGTAGCTGATTCTTGTGGATCAATCTCAGATTGGTTGTGTGACAAACGAGTGCAACAGTTAGAGTTGCTGATGTTTGATTTTGCAAAACATAGGTCAAGTCACAAGCATCTCCGTAATTCAAAAAGCGAGGTAAGGATGGTCTGCAACTGAGTGGAAGGCATGTTGTAATTTTCGAGGAATTCACTCCAAATCGATCACTGGAAGCACTAGCCAGTGCAGTGACACGGAATCGAGTCAAGCTATCGGGAAGCTTGAAATCAATTTTCACTTTTCCTTCATGATCGGTTTGAGCAAATCCAACAAAATGAGCATCTGGTCGAAAATCTGTTCTGACATTGAACTCGTTTTGACGACCTTGCATTAAGGAGGCTGCCATTTCATGGTTCATATTCACACGCATGTTTTTGCATTCTCGTAAGCGACAATTCTTATGACACGAGCAACCACCGCATGTGGCCTCATACTCCTCACATCTTCGTGAACATTTGCAACTAGGCAGTACACTAGCTAAGGATATACCACCAAAAAACGAACACGACTTGCATTTGCTACAGCTGTCTGATTGGCACAGCACAGCATCCAGTTCTCCCGTCATATCCTCTAAAGAACAACCTCTGGAAAATGCCCCACCTCCTCTACCATCAAATGCTTGTTGCTGTCTTTGAGAGGCTTCGAATTGTTGTTGCAACTCCAATTCCCGTTGATTTTTTGGTGGATAATACCAATATCTCACCAATTCTCTATTGTTACGAAATTCAGCAGTACAGCTATTACTTGGCAACAAGGCAGTTAATGGATTTGAAATTTCGTGATTTGCCATGTCAAGAACTGCCTCATCCGCCACAATTAAACACACTTCACAATTCGATTGATTGGTTCCTTGCTTATCAGTGACAATGACTTCAACTGATGTTTCTGCGCCTGGTCCTACGACACTATGTTTTGGAATGATGGCAACATCCAATTCATGATGTTCTTTGGAGACGTTGAGTGTCAAGCGTCCTGTGGCATAGGTAGGACAAGAGCGGTTCTTATCATTCTCATCAATATATTGATCTTGACCATACAAATTAACAATAACTTCAATATTCGGTCTGTATTCTTTTCGAATAGGAACTGTCAATTGTGCATAACCAACGTTTGCCTTAATTTCGAAATATTCCTTTTTCACAAGTCCATTACAAGTGACAAACATGAATCCAAGAGAATCTCCAGAAAATGGGTTGGCAACATAAATTTTTGCTTCTTCACCAGGTAAATAGTGATCATTGTCGAACTTATCGCTCACCATATCCAGAGTCGAAGAATTGAGAGCAGCGTATCCTTTCGTTTGTAAATGACTCTTGAAGCCAAATTTTCGAATGGGAACGCTCGTACGGTTCACTCCACTCCTGAATCGTGGTATGCTTTCCTCACGAACTTCACACAAAATACCATATTCGGCATACGCTAAATCTTGAGTATCATTTTCCAATGAGAACGAATAAAGTAGTGGCTCTGTAGTAGAAACCAAACCGAATTCACGAATTGGTGTCACGCTATCCAATGTTTCATAACCAACCGATGAGGCGTCAAATTTTACAATTTTCACTTGGATTGGAATTCCAGCTTGAGGCTTTCCTTGAATGTTGGTAACAATGAAGAAACAATCAATTTTCTCATCTGCTTTCATGACCACTCTTTTAGTACATCGCACACCAACGTAATACTTGCATGCATGTACAGTCACAGAAGCTGATGTTCCATGTGTTTGTCGATTAATATCCTGCACATTGGATTTGCATGAAATTGTAAGAGGATATACAATTTGTTTTTCTGGATCCCATAATTGAGCCATTGTATAGCAGTTACCGTCTGAACCTGTTTGAGAGCTCACATATGCCGTTGGTTGAAGCTTGATCTTATCTTTCTTATTTAAATTGTAAAAATAGCAACAAGTTGATGAATTGGCAGATTCTTGGAAAGTATAATTGCTCCATCCCTCAGGTGTGAAACTTGTAACTTTGGCATCCAAGTTCGACGTTACTCTTGCTGAGCTGAGTGCAGAACCACTGTAATAGTTTGCTTCAGTCTTGAAAACTATTTGATCCCCGATAAAGTTATTGGTTTTCAATGAGGAGGGAATGACCGAACTTTGTACATTGTATTCGGGTGTTCTAAATTCTTCTACTGAAAATCTTGAATAAAAAGTGTATCCATTGCAGATGAAGCGAATGCTGTGCGCTCCAAGATTGACATTGTCAGGAAGTTGTACATCCAAAGAAAACGTTCCATTCTCAGTAGTTTCAAATTTTCCTTCAGCATAGGATACATTGAGGCTATCATTGATGACATAGGAAACATTGCAGTTTCGAGGATTTCCAACAGAGTATGTTCCAAACAGGTCACTGCTCTTGTCATTATTAAAATCAATAGTTCTAAAATATCCTTTCACATGAAGAGTTTCCTTTGGTTTGTAGAGTCCTCGATCGGTAATAATGTGTGAGGTGAGGTAGGATGTACGAGCTGAAACGATCGCTATCTGTGGTTGTATCAAAATGACGCTATCAGTGTCAGTTTTGACGATCAATCTTGAATAATACATTGCTCCATGGACAGGAGTCAAGTATCCAATACCATTCTCATTCGTGGTTGCCTCCTCACTCATAAATTTAACTTCTACGCCAACCTGTCCGTAATACTGAGGTGAATATTTGAAATTAAGAGAAGCATTTGGAACAGGCTTACCAGTTCTGAAATCGGTCACGAATACAGAAACTTTGTCATCACCTGTGACTCTGAAAATTTCAACGCAAAGATTGCTTACTTGAATCCACTTTAAAACATAATGAGTATAGGACTTGAAGATCAAACTTGTGTCTTTTGGTTTGTACTGCACTAAGAGTTGACCAGTTTTTTGTGTAGTATTTTGAAGGTATGGAGATAGGGAAAGTTGAGTTGAAGCAACTTTGTCCTTTTCAAAATTGACAGGTTTCACCTTTTCATCTAAAACCATCTTTCCGATTGATATTGGTTTTTTGGGATACCAATTAAAATATTCATAGTTATTGGAACTATATGTGTTTTGTTGCTTGAGTTTTGGAATGGTTGATTCCACATAGAATTCCTCTGGATCTATTTGATTGATCACAACATGAGTTTCTGGAATATTGACAGAGTCAAAATACAGGAATGGGTCATTATTGTCAAACAAAGATGGAGGTAATATCGAATTCTGAGGAAGTGTGTCATGAACTGTTTTTCCCTGTCCACTAATTTCAAATGTCGTCACATAATCACTCTCTAATTCTTGTCCATAAATATCTGGTAAACCTTTCTTAATAATTACAGTGTATTTCTCTCTGGGTTTCGTGTCACCTTGTATTGAGATATAGGTTCCATTTCTAGTCACTCTCATTTGTTCAATAGAAGGCTCCACACTGATAAAGTCTTCTATATTCTTGAACTTTTCTAAATCGATAGGGTTCGAAAAATAGAAGCTAAATGATGAACCTGGATAAATGTTACTTCCAAAGATTTTGTCAAATATACTCTTCTTTGGATAATAATCAGTAACTTTCATTTTTCCATGTCCATAAAAATAATAGGTAAAGGGAGAAGTTGAAGGTCTTGGTCCTTCTAACGATGGAATACCTTCCTTAATGGTCGCGAGAATTTTTTCTCCAAGTCCTATCTTTGGATAGCCCTTTCCAGCGTTAAAGGTATCATTGTCGATCAATAACTTGATCCAAAAGTGTCTCTTCGAAGTTGCACTGTGGTTCTTTAAGACACTCATATACATGCTGTACACCTGTTTGAATTTTTTCTTAAATTCCAAATCTTGCAATGTCTGTTCTATCAGTTTGAGATCTGTAAATAATTCGAAAGAAATGGCAGTTCCACGGGACAGTAGTGACGACGTTTGAACTGTTATAAAGTTGAGCACTTGTTGCGGATCGATATCTTGATCAAATTCAAGGTAGCAAAAAGGAACTTGAGAAATTGGAAATGATCCATATGGAACAAATCTGGAAAGTTGCATCGTTTGCGTTTTGAAACTCACTTCGAAAGTGCTTTCCAACACTTGGCCATAAATACTCTTGGTTTTTTCTTGCAAGACTCTGTATGTGAATGACGAGGATCGGTCAAATCTAAACTTTGGTTGGAATAGCAATGATTTTGTACCAATCCATTTCCATTTTCCTTCCTTGATATTCTCAGTGACAGGAACAATTTCTACAAAATTAATGGCCTCAAATGGTAATGGCTCTGCATCAAACTCTTCGATCATATCATGGCTAAAGGTTATACAAATGAAAGGAACAGAGCGCAATTCTGTTTGAGTGTTGTCACCGGGCACAGCTCTGACAATCTTGAATTTCTCTTTCGATAGTTTGTCACGTTTATGGTCACGAACAATGTGACCCACAGATTCCATTGGTACAGTATTTTCATCGTCATGATCATTTCGAGGAGGAAATTCTACTTGTTTTTTCACTTCATTTAAACCTGGTTCAGGAGGTTTCAATGAATCCTCTCTCATCAAGAAATGTAGAGCAATTTCATCTTGCTCTTCCGTTGATGATTGTTTGGAATTTGATTCATCCGATTTCAAGAGCTGAGAGAGAAGTTGTTCCAAACTCTCCTCATCCAAATCTTCAATATCTAGTACCGTAGATGATTCCAACGAAGAAGAAGTTGCCGTTTCTTGATGATCAGCAAATTGATCTTGGATCCTATTACAATGATCCAAAGATGTATGATGAATATGATCATCATCATCCACAAATCCAGCCTCTTCTTTCAACATGGCCAGAAGAACATCTGCCTGATCAGCCTTCCGACAATGCAATTTGACCGTTTGAAACGAATTCAGTTCCTTGGCATCTTGCTCTGTAAAGATTTCTTCCAATGAGAGAGAACATTCAGGAGGTAAAGTCGAAATTTGTTGTTGTTGTTGATGCTGTTGTTGTTGTTGTTGTTCGGTGGTATCGGATGGTATGTTGCTGGACGTTGCAGAAGAAGATGAAATCATGATGAAATGGATTTAATTTTTTGATTGGATTGCAACTGTTGTTGGAGGAAATGTTCAAAAACATCCAAGTTCATTGTTCACACAAAAAAAGGAAAAAGATGTCACTATGTGTGACCACTCGATCCTCATTGGTCCTCATCATCATTTAGATTTTTAGATCTTGGTCATACCGAGGCAATGATTAGTGGAGGACGTGTCTTGTTTTACAATTTTCAACAAGTTCTGATACACATTTCAAGACATGGAGAGGATTTTGTGAAAATTCCAGCGGTTCCTTAAACAATTTAAATTCCAATTCTTTGAGTAGATCAATTAATTCGTGCCACGTGGTGAATCGTTCGTTCAGTTCGTTCACTGAGAAGAGTTGGAAAAATAATTGATTATGTAACACGACATGATCCGAAGTGACATTCCATTCTGCAATGTTTGGATTAAAAGCACACGACCAAGTATGAGGTTCATACACACTTGTACGTTTTTTTGAACCATAATCATTGGAAGGGTCGGATTGAGAATTCATGACTGAGAATTCTCCTTCAAATCCAAAAAAATATTCCCTTAAAAAGTTCATCACTTCATTTCCAACTAAATGACTCCATTTCAACTCAAATTCATATCGTTTTCTCAAAAAGAGATCTCGTTGTGTCAATTTACTTAATTTCTTCAAATCTTCAAAGAAGCTCATTCGAATCTCTGGGAATGCTTTCAACACGTTCGAACATGAAACATCCGACGAACTTGGAACTTGATCCTGTGCCTCAATAAATCTCTCAACAGCACTCACCAACACATTTTCATTTCCAACCACATCGACCGTTTTAAATACCAAATTCAATGCACTTCTCATCGATGGATCAAAATCACATGAAATTTGTAATCGTCCTCTCTGTTTCTTATGTTCCAAATAATTCTCAACACCCAACGGTTTCATCATGAACATTTCCAAATTTCCAAAAAGTGTCTTGTAACTCGAATCAGAAATTTCATTCAAAAACGAATACAAACATGGAATGGTATTAAGGGAACCTTCTTTTCTCACAAAAAAGATGAACATGAATCGAGTGTCTGGTGTGAACAATTCAAGAGGACCATCCACATATAAATGATCACGATCTGTCAATTGTTCAATATAGTGGAATTGTTCAGGTGATGAAAATTGAAGCAGCACATTGGGAATGGTTAAAAACGTTTTGAGAAATTCAGAGCTTCGTTTGGTTTTGGTGTAAATTGGATTTTTGTAAACTTGTGACAATGTTTTCGTGGAATATAATAATTCTATCATGGACGACGTGGAATGAGAAGTGTTTGCTTCCTCTTCATGATGAGAGAGATTTTGAAAGAATTCTTCATTTTCTTCATCTTCCAAAGTCATGACAAATTGAGGAGAAGGCATTGGATGATTTCCATGTGAATGCACGTGCACATAGGTATGAATAGAAGGATAGAAACGAATTTGAGCTTTACAACGATACTTTTTAGAATGCATGACACATTGATAGATGGAACAAAGAATTCGAGAATGATTTTCCATCATGGTATCTTCATCATTACGTGAATGAAAATTCAATTCACTCCATGTAAACATTTCATCCAAATTCGAACATTTCACATAAACATGTCCTCCGAAAGAGAGGTGTTCTCGTTGACCTGTGAGAAGTGGAGAAATGTATCGAGAAGGAATGACGTTCTCGTTCGATTTTAAAGGAATGATTTTTGTTTGGAGAGTGTGATGAGTTGTGGATGAAATGATTTGAGGAATGTGTAATTGACGTAAATGAGAGGCAAAGCAATTGGAGTTAATTCCGCTACTAGTCGTGTGACTAGATGAAATGTTGTACATTTTGTTTCTGGATCAAGTGAGTGGACTTTCTGTTAGATTTTATTTTGTACAATTTCCTTTTTAAATTAGTAAGGCAAAAAACCACTCCACATATTAATGAAAAAAATCGCAACAACGATGAGCACAACAAAAATAAGTCAATGAGAGAGACAAGGTATGAAAGCACTTGTTGGAAGACCTGTTTCAAACGCTCTTTATTAAAAAAGAAGATTACAAGAATTCGCTAATACGAGGATCAAACTGACGACCATCAACCATCCAAAACTTCCAAAATTAATACCACAAGCACCATTCACAGCTCTACCAAATACGGTATTGAAATTTGAGCTCGTAGCAAGTAGCTTTCCATTGTACGAAAGTGTCAAGATGTACCATCGATCCGCAACTTTTGGCATACATTCAACACTTGCACTTCCTGAGGTCGAAGTAATTACACAACTAATGTCATTATTCACAGTATTCAAATTGCTATAAAAGGACTCCACTTTCACGAGACGAGGATCTAATTCGGGTGTGATACTATTGTCAGAATCTCTAATTTGATATTGGACTGTAAAATTATATCCTGTCTTGAATGAATTGGATGGAACTGTGATCGAACCATATTGTCCAATTTGATACACATAAAAAGAAGGAGAATTGAATGATTGTGACGATCCATAAATTCCAGCATTTGGAGTATATGTCAATGACAGAGTCATGTATCCAGTACTCGTTGGTGTATAGGTCACACTTCCTTTACCGTTTACAATGCCTGTACTTGAGGATGAGCCGGATTGACAATTGGTACATTGTAAAGTACCTTGTTGCCAATCATCAGCATTACCTAATCGATTTCTCAATTCAGTATACATGGTGATTGATTTTCCAAGGTAAACTCTTCCATTTTGATGATAGGTGTATGAAGAAGTGTAAGGAGGAGTGACACAACTCATTTGAACATTGAATCGAATGGCAGAACTAAAGACAGCATTGGAAGAACGAACTAACATGTACATGCCAACTGGGTCCTGAAAACGAAAGGCTGGATAAGGATCACTGATGCAGGAAACTTGAGCCGTACCGCTTGGAATACTCTTATACGTCGAATAGGAAAATTGTTGATTACTGACAGCCTTGTTCTTGTTATTTTCATCAACCAAATAATAGGTAAAGCCATTGTTGTTGGTATCAATGATATTGACCAAACCAATGCCAGGAGCTTGATCGGAAGAGCATGTAATCGATGAGGCCACCACATAGGTACTAGCTGGTATGGATTTTGGACAAACAGGATCCACATTGCAATTGCAAGTAGGACAAGAACAAGATTGTCTTGGTTGTTGGAAGGAGGCCATGGCTTCAGTAGTTTGTTGTGCGGACGGAATCATGATATGACCCATTTCATCATCACGTGTGAAATTTGTAATAGAAAAAGCAACCACGGGTATGTGAACAGTTTCTTCTTGAGAGAAGGCAAGCACATGAGTGACGACCAATAAGATCATCAGCAGCAGGAGAGCAACAAGGTTTCTGAGATGGAACGATGTGTGGGCCATATTTTTTTGTGATGAGATGTCAAGACCAATGATTTCTTACCATTCTTGGTGACGTGAAGTTTTTAGGAATGGCCTGAGGTGCGAAATGGTAGGCTGAGACTTTATAAACGTGTGAAAATCAGCGAAAACGGCTAAATGGTTTTTCATGATAGTTGTAATGGAAAGATGGTTCATTCGTATCTACAACTTATCGAGCCACCAAGCGGATTGTTGTCAGAGATGTTCTGCTGTGAGCCACACTAAAAAACATGAATTTGGTTCAATCAAAATCCAAGAGGGTGCTTGTTGAAATTTTTGATGGTTTTCCTCGAGTCGTTGATGGATTATCTCGTTGATTATTGTGAAATGATATTTTCTCGAAGTGGTAATTGTCCAGCTGATATTGTTTCACCTAGTACAGAATGAAATTACCTATTTTTTGGTGTCTTGTTTGCCATAAAAGGTTCAGTTGAATCTATCTCTTCCTGAGCTTGTGATTCCCCTGATTCCAAATTACCTGACATTTCGTCGTCATCACTATTTGCATTTCTAATAAATTCCGGTGCAACAGAGAATTTTGATGCATTTTGTTCAAAGTTACAAATTATAACATGACGGTCCAGCTTTTTGCTTGGTGCAACATCAGATGTTGTGAGATAAACAATTCTATCTTTTTTCGTTAATTTAGCAGTTTTCTTGCATCCAGAGCACAAACGATAGAAGTCACACACTGTCACTTCACCATTTTCCATTTTCATTCGATTAGAGTGGGTTATTGGTGGACGTTCATCCTCTGCATTGACTTCATGCTTCTTTCGTTTTTTCTTTACGATATCTTCCCAAAGCAGTCTCAAATTTTGTTTGTCTCCATTACAGTATTGAGTATAAGACATGTGAGAAACATGAATGAAAACATGCGAACCATCCAAGTTGTATGCATAGAAATCTATTAACTGATGATCGTCATGACAAATCATAAGTGTTCCTCGGGTAATCTTTTGGAGTTGATAGACCCCTCTATGTGGGCGTTGTTGATGTACAATCTTCGTAACCTCAATGTCACAACTAACGCCGTCTATACTCTTAAGGAGCATTGACACAGGTGAGCTATGAGTTGCATTGGTGAAAGGTTTTAAAAAAAGCAACTCCAAAGCTCTTCGTTTGGTTTGTTTGTCTGTGATAAGAAACTGTATCAAGGAAGTACAATCCTGAACACATGTTAAGCACGCATAGATGGCACTTCTTGCTATGGGGCAAGGTGCATCAAAGCTATCCAATTCAGTATCCTCTTCAGGGTTTGACATCTTGACCAAAAGGCCTGACTCTAACCATGGTGTTATTGAGGTTGCAGAGCAAATGATGCTCTTGTTCAAGTATACACTAACTGAAATATCTTGGAAAGAAAAATTCCTTGCTTTCGAATTATTTGGGGAAGTTAATTCATACCGTTCAATAAATTTCTTCATTCTCTGAATATAATAATCTTTAACCTTATTATTGAAATTCTCTTTTGACGAAAGCATCCATAAAAGTAGTCTTGGAATCCCTCCAGTTTCGAATTGATAATCAGCAAGTTGTTCCAGTGAGGGAGGTGATTTTATCATTTTACAATGAATTGCCAAATCCATGTGAGCCTTGAACTCGTTGGAGGTGTATGGTGAGATTACAATTCCAGATGACTGTTTTGAGGCATCAGGAAAAACATCGAGTGGCAATCCAAAAAATGATTGAGAGGACAGAGCACCAATAAAGACACCGTTTGTTAAATCACCACTTGTCTGAAATGTGTTGAAATATTCCAGCAGCATTGTATTCTTTTGAGTTCTCAAGTTTGTTAAAAAGACATTCCATTGATCTATAGCAACAAGAACTCTTGATTCATGTTGCGAATAGAGTGTTTTGAGAAGCTCTTGAATTTGAGCAATTCTGCTCGAGGAAGGGTTGAAAGTGTAGGTTGGATTATCTTTCAAGAAATGTGAAACATATCTTTCTGATATTGAATTAGAACCAAACAGCCAATACAAGACAACCCATCCTTTTTTGTGGCAATAATTGGAAATGAAAAAAAGTAATGAAGATTTTCCAGTACCAGGAGAACCAAAGAGAGCCTTTCCAAGATCGGATATTCTAATTAGAATTTCATGAATATTGGCATTCAATCTTATGATTGAAACATACCTAGGACTGTCTGTTTCCACTTGGTCAATGTATTCCATGAGATCTATTGCCTCCTTACGGAGAAGAAAATAAAAACCATCTTCGTGCTTAATCATTTCGGCTGGGTAGCCTTGCCAGAACAGACTGTTTTTGAAAACACATGTGCGGTTAACAAATTTTCTTCTTTCCTCTTGAGTATATCCCTCTAGCAAGTCCTCTAACGAAATAGTTGGTTCCGAAGTGTGTAAAACATGCTTGTCCATAGAGGTGTTTGGTTAATCGATCCAATTTTTTTTGAATTGTGGATCGGTTAAATTTGGCGGTTCTGCAAACAATTACGCAAATATTTGTTATCTGCAGAGGATAAAGTTTATTTCAGTCTTATTTTCAAAAGTCGAGAGGATTGTTGCCAGAGACGCTCGACTGTGAGGCACATCCAAAAACATGATCATCCGATGATGTTGCAAGATTGGAAGAGTCACTGGCAGAATTCATGGATGGAATCGATTTTATCACTCGTTCTACTTGTAATTTGTGTCTTTCAACTTCGTTGGATGCTTTGAATTTTGGTCGATCAGGATTTGAAGCTTCTCGAGTCTCTTCAGGCGGTAAATGTAATTTTTCAATGTACATTTTTCGTTTCTTGAGCTTGAATGCATAATTGAGAGTTTCTGGTGTGAAATTATATGTCAGTGAATTCATCTTGAATAACTTCTTGATATAAAAGAGTCCACTATATTCCTTAAATTCCCATTCGCTCACGTCTAGGCCAGCTCCTGTAAAACTATCAATGGAGAGTGATAAATCTGACAATTGTTCGAGTTCATTAAGAAGGGAAGGTGAAACTGAATTAATGGAAGCCTTAGGAATTGTACAAACACAAACGGAAAGGCTGGAACGAAGAAGAGCTTTGAGTTGTGACAAAAATTTGAGCATGTATCGGAATTGAGTTGTCTTGCTGTCATCACCACTATAGAATAGGGAACCCAGTGATTGCAGACCAATTCTAACAACAGCTCTACTCGAAATTTCATTACTCGTGTTGGCAGCATTTGTGTAGTGTGTCTTACTTGCAGAAATTATTTTGGCAATTTTTCGCAATAATTCATCATAAAACACACCAATTTTCTCATCAAAAATTTCATCCTTTTCAAACAGAACATGAAGCCCATCTAAATTGGCTTTGATAATTTCAGGTTGCATGGTCTTACTCAAATCATATTCGCTGCACAACACTGTACCAACCACTCCACTCTTTTCTCCTGAGGATGCACTTGCAGAGGTTGAAGATCGTTGTTGTTTCAATTTCATTTGCTGTTCTACATAGTCTTGATACCTCCATGCAATTTTAAGTTCACTATTTGTGGAATCTTGTGTCGTCGAAGGTTGTGTGTGAGAGGTTGCGGTAACAGAAGTACTTGATGAAAAAGAAGTAGCTCCAATTTTTCTATTCAATCGGTCCATAATACTGTTGGGTGTGTTAGTTGTTGATGTTGTTGTGCTAATCTCGGAATTTTGTGATGATTCGCTTGGAGTTGACAATTTGGATGTAGCATTCGAAGAAGTGGAACTATTCAAAGAATTTGTCAGAGATTGATCCTTCTCTTGTTCCTTTTCTTCTAATTCAGCCTTGTATCGAGAATAATTAAAAGCAAAATACGAGGAGAGTGACGGATGGAGACTGGATAATACTTCGGTTCCATGTCCTCCATTACCACTACCACTTGATAATGAACTCACACCTGCAGAATATTGTATCTGATTAAATAATCCACACGCTATGGAATGTCTATTGGTCATTCCTTCCGATAGGAAATACCTCATCAAATGTTGGCAATATTCACTAAAACGATCCTCTTCAATCAAGACCAAGCTTCCCAATGGAAATCCTCCTCCAATAATTCCATCCAAATCATGAAGTCCTGATGATACCAACAATTGTCCATTGTGCACGGAAGGCTTCGTTCCGAGAGGGAGTTGTTTTTGAAGGGATGCTCCTTTTCGAACAAAAGTTGTTTTCTTCATTTTTTTAGGTGTCGTTTTGAGTTTTGGTTAACCCATAATTTGAACGGATGCAATTTCCAAAGTCTCGCTCTTGTGAGTGTTTGATAGAACAGTTGGATGTCGTGAAAATGACACACGGAACGAGATGATGAGACTTCAATTTTCTAAACCCAGTTCACTTTGATTGTCCAAGCTGGACGTGAAAAGAACTTGTTCGACAAAGTCTGACTGCACGTGTTGTTGTTGTATTCAAATATATTGAAAGCAACTTTTACTTGAAAGAGGTGATGGATTTTGCTAAGGCTTGAGCTGGCGTGTTTGGTGTTGCTTCTACCATTTTGTCTTTCTTATCCAAATCATAGTCTACCAAATCCACAAATGTCTTGATATACTCGTCAACATTCTCTTCTTGTTTTCGTTCCTTAATCAATCGAGCAGCACCTGCAACTCGGCTCTTGTATTTGATAATGTCACTTGGTGATAACTTGAAACCACCAACTTCGAACATTTGTCGTAAATAATCACGTGCTTTTTCAACATAACCTTCATCGACGAGCTTGAACACCATGTGCTTGTATGCTTGGTATGTGGGTATTATTCCTTTTTCTTTCATTTCATCAAAAAGAGCCATTGCTTTTTCTGTTCGTTTCGCCCTACAATACATCCTCACTAACAGTGCATAGGAAATACTGTCTGGAACGAGTTGATGCTCTTGGTAGGTCCTTGCAAAGAATTCTTCTGCTCGTGTAATCCGAAGTGCGTTTGTAAAAACTCCAAGCAATGCATTCATTGAATAGTTATTCACAGGTAAATTACTTTCTTTCATCTTTTCGAAAACTGCTAAGGCGTCAACAATATTTTGATTTTGTTCTTTTGTGAGATTACTATTTCCTTTCACTTGTTGAGCAACACTGTAGCAACTTAGGACAGAAACGTAGGTGTGTTCTGTTGGTTTGATACCACAATCTTTCATCTTTTTCAAAACTTTTTTCATTTTGGAAACATCTCCGTCGTCGGCACATGCATTAATCAATGAATTGATCGTGTAAATATCAGGCTTGTAACCTTGCACTTCCATTCGATCGGCCATTTCGAATGCTTTGTGGCGAAGATCCTTTCGTTTCGAGAATGCCTTAATGATAGAATTGAAAGTTGCCTCCGATGGCTCAGCCATCATTTGTTCTTCCAATCTTCTAAAGAGCATCATTGCTTTCTCAGCTTGTCCCTTAATGGCACATGCATCGATCATGACAGTGAGAGTGACTTCATCATGAGGAACACCATACACCATTCCCATGGCCATGTAATGATTCCATGCTCTCTCTACGTCTCCCTTATCAATACAGCCTTTGATGAGATCTGTGTGGAGGACTGTATCGGTTGGAAGGTTATGAGAACGCATCAACTCTACCATTTGGAAAGCTTCATCGAGCTTGCCTGCCTTGACCATGGCGTGAACGACAATACTATAGGGAACCACATTGGGACTAATTTGATATTCATGTTGCATTTCTCGAAGGTATCCATATGCTTTTTTGTATTCTCCTTGTGCAGCACATGCTTGCATGACAGCACAAAATGTGTGCTCAGTTGGAATCAAGTACAATTCGTCATTCATGTGGCTATTATCACTCAATAGTGATGCTTTTCGTTTCTGTATGATTAATTCGAGTTCAGACTTGGAAGGTCCCAGATTTTTCAACTTTTCAAAGGTTTTTTCAGCAAATTCTAATTTACCCTGAATGGCTTGACATCGAATAAGATAATTAAAGTTTTTGAGAGTGAGAGGTTTGGATTTGAAAAATAATTCTGGATCTGTCTCTTCGGATAACATTTTCAATTTTTCAAGCTGTAAAAAGGTACTGGTTGGAGTTAAAAGCGCTGTGGTCAACTTGGTAAAACTACGATCATCAGTAAAATAAATATCGAATAATCCGTCTGGAGTTTCTTCAAATCGTAATCTGTTTCGAATATTCTCTGGCACAATTTTTCCTTCTTTCCACAATTTGATTAATCTTGGAGACTTGAATGGAACAAGTGTCTCTGGCTTGTCTGGATCAAATTTGTGAGTATCTAGTGTTTTCTCTGCAAGTTCTGTTGGTGTTAGGGATTTGGAAGGTTTCTTTGAAAATCGTTCTTGAAGGGTCTGGTTGGGTGCTTCCATCAATGAGAGGTGTTGCCTATCTATTTGTGGTGAGGAAGATACCTCTTCTGGTCTCCTTGTAGATTCAAGTTTTTGTTTGATAATTTCTTCGTCTCTCGCTTTACTTGTAGGAGCAGCTCTCTTCCTCTGCTTTTGCCTGTTTGTTGCAGATTCTGTCTTGTCTTGTGCTATAAGCTCACCCATTGCCATTTCCAGAGCTTCACGTTGATGCGGAGCGATATTTGTTGGTACCGATGATAATCCCAAATGTTTGTGCAACTTTTCCCTATCCGATAAATCTCCCAAATTTTTCAATTCGTCTTCTTCATTCTCTCTGTTGAGTGTAATGATCGGAGTGTTTTTGCGTTCATAAACTTTCTTAGAAGTAACGGGTGATGATGATTTAATTGTTGTTTTTTTGGTCATTGCTGAACCATAGAGTCCACCTCCTTCATACTGGGAACTTGATGAGTACCCATTCCATAAATTTATATGAAAATTCTTGGCAGTATTCCGATAACAAAAACTTTCGTTACCCAACCACAAATGATTATTAGAATTGTTCAAAAATGTATGATGATGATGTGTATACTTCGACCCATTCAACAATTTGCTGCGGGTCATGGCCGAAGAGGGAGCCAATATTTGATGTTTCAGCATTTTTTTGAAGTTGAATTGGCATTCACCTAAAAGCCATTCAGTTCTACAATTGTAGAGTTGAGTCAATGCAGAACACCTGATAACTTTAGACCGATAAGAAAAAAGAATTCGCGGTCTGCAGGACTCGAACCTGCGCGGGTCGCCCCATTTGATTTCAAGTCAAACGCCTTAAGACCACTCGGCCAAGACCGCTGCCATAATATGTAAAGCATTTCTGAAAGTGAACTAGCTATTCTTGGAAAACGGGCAAGCAACAAAGCGTTCCTTTAGTTTTTTGCGCGTAAACTTCACGAGTTAATTACATGTGGCAAATAAAAATCCAATCAAAATTAGATGATTACAATTGAATGTTAAAGAGTACCTGCTCATGAAAAAGAATGTATGAGAACATGACAACCTTTCCAATTTAAAAGAAATAGAAGCTCCAATCGAAACTTTCTTTGTTCACTCAGTTCCTTTTACAGACTTCTTGCTGTTGTTGTTCCAGTTTGATTCAAATACAGCTTGTTGCACGCAGTCTCGAACACCAAAGGTCTCCAAAAGACCACACAAGCCTCTAGCAAAGGAAATTTTTCGTTTGACGTGCACAGAAAAAGTAATGACGAGCATGTAAGAAATATAAATGTTGACAGCGCCAACATTACGAGCACAAAAACAGAACGTGTGACCTGTGAAACTCACAAAACAAGCATGTGCAGAGAAGAGACCATCACAAAACAAGAAGCGCGGGCCATTTTACTGACAAAACGTGAGATGTGAAGCAGAGAATTACAAAACAAGAGAGAAGAGACCATCACAAAACGAGACATGGCAAGAAAACTACAACAAAACAAGCAACGACTACACGAATAATCTAATGGCTTTGTGTTGTTCACAACTATCAATCTACAACCAATAGGAGCAACTCCTCTTTTCCGATACAAATTTCTGCTCACGAAACTACTTTCATCAAGGAATTTCAGACGATACACCGGCACTTTTTCAAGAAGCTCTGCCATACCACAAACGTAATGGATGTACTTTGTGATGTTTTCTGGTGTATATTTCAATCTGCTCTTATAACAAGCATTCTTGAAAGAATTACCTAGTTGCTTCAACACTCGACTCACCCATGTGGTGCTGTAATCGTAACCATGTTTTTGTAATTCATTTACATATTCATCCAGTGTAGACAATGGTTTTACCATTGACACTTTGTTCACAATAAGTACTGCCTTTACCACGTCCTTTAAATCATACTTGAATTGACGAACACCACCAACATTAGCTTGCACGTTTTCTTCAATTCTGTTTTTCCAATAAAACACAGTGCTTGGTGAGCATCCCCAAGCTTTTGCAACCTGTCTGAAAGAGAATATTTTCAGGCCTGCCACCATTACCTTCTTGCTGTGGTAGTAACCAACCACAACTCGCTTCCTTGGTTTGCTTCTACTTTCGTGTGTTGTCATGTGAATTTTTCACAAAGTGGCGCCATAAACAACCGTTAAACTAAAAATCAAAATTTAATAAAATCTAAAAAAAAATGGCCACTCAATCACAAGTAGCATTTGTTACTGACTTTGGTGGTTTGAATGTTTATCCAGCCATTGACAATCAAATTATATATCCAACAAACACACCTCAAAAACAATCAACAACATTTACGCAAAGCAACACCAGTAATACACCAATGAACAATTCTCAAGTACCACCTTTTTCAAATTCTCAACAATCTACGTTTGTTTATAATTTTACTCCCTCTACACCTAACACAACTAACAATTCCTATTCTTGCTATTGCAGCGGATGCCATCAGAAAGGCCACAACCGAGCAAAGTGTACAAACCCGCCCTGCGATGGAAGTTGTACTAAAGAGGACTGTTCAGTCAAAAAAAAACGCAAAAAGGAAGCAGCAACAGCTCAGCGAGAAGAGAATGAAAGAAAAAACAAGAGAAGACGCAGTTCAAAAATGATGCATCCTTGAAACCATCTTCCAATTCAAAATGGACACACGTAGCCAAAGCAGCACAAGAAACTACCGGTCTAAACGGTCCCCAATTCCTTTCCGCGATTGTAGGACAAATCAAAGATCACATTCAACCCAAATGCAACAATCAACCTCCCAAACGAAAAATTAGCGAAATATCTTGCGATGATGTCCAAAGTTTTGCAGTGTAAGTATGTTGATGTCTTCATTGTCTTTCAATTAACAACATTAGATCCCAATCATCATCAAGCACTGTAGATATTACTGATGATTTTGCGGAAATTGAAGAGATGTTTGAACAACAACCATCGTCTCCTCCTCCGATACCGAACTTGAACAACGATGTGATTGCATATGAGCTTGAGAGGTTGCGAAAAGAAAATGCAGAGATGAAACAGCAAATTCAAGCACTGCGTGAAAGTTTAGATTGTGTTTATTCGTTTATAAATAATGCGGGAAAAGGATTTGCAGTTTTTGCTGATAAATTTAAAACGTTAAAAAATCCTTGCAACAATCAATAAATTTAATTTATTTTAATTATTATTTAAATTGGTGATGGAGTAATTGATTTAGAGACCTTCAACGTGCGATGCCATGAATTTCATCATGACCAAATCGGATTAACAAAACGGGAGGCTTTGCGTGGTCTTTTGGAGACCTTTGGTGTTCGAGACTGCGTGCAACAAGCTGTAATTTATCACAAAAACAAAGACCCACACACGTACGAGGACAAGGAATTGCGTTCATGCTTCGTCTTTGCATCTCCTGATTCATTCTCATAGCGGCACAATTTCCATTTTGAAAATTACCTCCTGCCAAATAAAAAAATGCAAGACCAAGAAATGTCATCTGACAGCAGCAAATATCCCAACAGCAACAATGATTCGCCACTCGTGGCCACATCTGCACAATCTCTCTCTGGAACCGCTCTCAACAACAACCAATCTTCCACCACATCTAGTCAAGCATTACTTCCTCCTTCCTCATCATCATCGCTAAAAACTCAACAAACAACATGTTGTTCGCCAGCAGACAAAAACTTTGTATTGGCGGCAATTGAACCCACGACGACCTCGAGGACATACCTTTTAGCACCTTACACCTTACACTTTAGTGCCGTTTGCAATGGCACGTAGTCCCAAAAAGGAGATACAAATAGCACTTAACACTGGAGTGCCAAATGCAAACAGCACCTGACACTTGAGTGCCAAATATCATCAGCACTTGTCCGATTTATTTTTTTTAATTATTTATTAAAAATTAGCAGATTTGCGACCGAACTTCGTGGCTTGCTCAATGTGAAATGCAAAGGAGCGACCTGGCTCAAAAGAAATTGCTTGAGAGCTTCGGGTCACAATTTGATCAGTTCTCGCTGTACAACCATCATCCACTTCGTCCAACACGTCATTTGAAGATGATGATGAGTACTCAGATTCTGAATCTGTAATAATTTTGCTCTTACGGGATGTTGTTCGAGTTGTTGCTCCTTTTTTCTTCTTTGCCTTTGGTTCTTCGACTTTTTCTTCTTCTTCCGACGTCACTTCAACAATTTCACCATCTCCCACTTCTTGAAAATCTTCGTCTTCAATTACATCATCAGCTTCCTGACCGGCGAACTCTTCCAATGCTGTGCGTTGGTCTGTTTTCAATCCTTCTAAAAAGTTTTCAAGAGCGTCAATAGGAGCGGTGTTTGTTGGAATCAAGCCTCTTGACACTGTGTCAGCAGGCCTGGAATCGAAAGGGTCGGCTCTTTTTCTCTTCTCGTTTCTCTTCTTCCTTCCTTGCTTGGTGTTGTCAGCATATGAAAGTGGCACATTTTCATTCAGGCCCAATAATTTAATGACGCCTGTAACATCCTCTCGGAGCATCATTTCAATTTCTACGATTGCATTACCATCATAAGTGGGTACTCCTGTAGCATTTAACACTTCTTGGACGTTGGTGTTTCTTGGTAGATTATTCTCCACAGCACTTGTTGCAAGTAACAATTTAACAATATGCGACTGCCGCCACCAATCACACCACGACTTCACACCTGGACAATAAAGTTCAATTGCATCAAGAATGGTTGTTATTGCTTTCTCAGACCTAAACTTCTCAATATCACTGGCCAAACCTTCCACTCTCGTCCGTACAGCTTCTTCAACTGGGATAACCTTTACCATCCGTTTCACACTTCTCTTGAAGTGAATAAAACAACCAGATGCCAATTGTTCAACAACTTCTTTACCAGCACTTCCAAATTTCTCCATAAAAGCCTCCCGTAA